AGTTGAGGTGGTTTGGGCATCTGGTGAGGATGCCCCCTGGGCGCCTCCCTAGGGAGGTGTTTCAGGCACGGCCAGCTGGGAAGAGGCCCCGGGGAAGACCCAGGACTAGGTGGAGAGATTATATCTCTGCACTGGCCTGGGAACGCCTTGGGATCCCCCAGTCAGAGCTGGTAGATGTGGCCCGGGAAAGGGAAGTTTGGGGTCCCCTGCTGGAGCTGTTGCCCCGCGACCCGACCCCGGATAAGCGGTTGAAGATGGATGGATGGATGGATAAATGGCCAGCCCAGGGGATGTCATGTCCTAAGCTCAATCTTTGGTCTTAGGCTACTTGGGATCACTAGCTGCTCAGTGCTGTGCCCTTCAGGCTGGTGATATAACAGGCCTTGTTGCACAAAGTAATATTCTCCCGACAGTGCTTTTGCTTGGACGGGACTCACGCCATCAACTTTCACAGCCTTGCTGAAGAGGTCTTTTAGGGACTTATCCTGCCTCTGCAGCTGTTTTAAATCATTGGGAACTGCTCTTAGTTTATAGTTATTTCTGTTCACTGTGAGACAGATTTCGGCTACCAGGTACACATGCTCATCTCCGTTGACACAGCACACCCTGAGGCGTTCCCCTGTCAGCGTTTCAGGCTGATCTCCACGTGGGGTTGCACGAGAATCTGGGTGCTGGGTGCAAGAAGAGCCCTTGCTGGCCTGCCGTTTACTGTTACTTCTATGGTCTGCACCTTGCCGACATATTCTGGCCCTCTAGTAAGGGTCTGGACGGAACACACAGAGCTCTTTGCTCTCTTAACCGGGCAATCTCTAATAAGGTGCCCTGGCTTGCCACAATAGTGACATACAACACTGTCCTTATTCATGGGGGTTATACCTGTACAAGGACTGGAATGTATGACGTACGTGTGCTGTGGTGGGTAACATCTGGTGTTTGGACTCCTGCTCTTCTCGCTATTTCTAGGACCAACTCCACTCCCATAACCGCCAGACTTACCCATTGTCAGTGGTCTGCTGGCACCTTGCTGCAGGTCCTTTGGTCCTCGGTGAGCAGCCAGGAAAGCCTCAACGAGCTCTGCTGCTTTAAATCCCGTGTGTGGGTCATGCTCTTTTACCCAAACTTGCACATCCGGAGACAGGGAATGGAGGAACTGCTCCAAGATGAGGATCTCCCCGATTTCCTCCACCGTCCTGTCGGCTGGCTTAATCCACTTGGTGTACATGTCCTTTAGTCTATTATAAAACTCTCTAGGGGTCTCCCCTGGTTGCCTATTTGGGTTTCTAAACCTTTGTCGGTATACTTCAACACTGATTTCATATTTTGCCTGGATGGCATTTTTTACCTTGGAGTAATCCAAAGCATCACCTGGATCCATGGCTACATAGGCAGCCCGTGCCTTTCCAGTCAGATAAGGCACCAGAAAAATAGCCCAGTCAACTTGGGGCCATCTGTAGGCCGTAGCCAGTAGTGAGGTATTGCTCCATGTCGTCCCCTTCTTCCAGCCTTGGTATAGCTGCCCGGCTCCCTGTGGCTGGAGACGGTGTCACTGGTGGTGTTGCAGGCGGCGAGGGATTTGATAGCGGTGCTGCAGGTGCCGGTGGAGTGGTCGAAGGTGGCCCTCCATTTCTGTCACCCCTCTGCTCTAGCTCATTCCGGAAGTCGTTGAGTTGTATCTGCACATTTCGCCACCTCTGTTTGTGTTTGATAGACTCACGTTCTTGGGTCTGCAGGGGACTTCTGAAACAGACCAGACAGAGCCGCGAGGTCCGGTCTCCCAGCAGTTTCAACCGATTCTCCACATCTGGCTCCTTCCTCCTGCTCCTGCTGGTCATCTCTGGCCTGTCTGCGTGGCATTACCTTTCGTGGCTGGACCCACCTTCCCGGCCTCTTTCTCAGTGTCCACGGAGTGCCACAATCCCACTTCTGACAGTCAGGTGATCATGACAGCCATTCAACTCAGAACCCACTGTACCAGCGAGGGTATGACCATGGGTCCAAGGATTTCATCCCAATACCGAATGGCAGTTAGACTGCCTTTCTCTAGCCTGTAGAGGCCAGTATGTCCCTCCATGAATTTGCCTCCCCAGACCGTCACAAACCACCACCAAACCAATCATGCTGGACCATGTTCCAGGCTTTATGCAGGCTGGCTTGTACAGACCCTTCCACGTCCATCACTGGTGTTTAGGGGGATGCTGCTCTCATCTGTGAAAAGCACAGGGTGCAAGCAACGGACGTGCCCAGTTATGACTCTAGCTAAAGCCAACCCTCGTGGAAAACCAGTCAGATATCAAGAGGGAGAAACTTGAATTGGCCTCCACCTGCAAAACCAGTCATGTAGTTGGGGATTGTGTCATTCACTGTTGCTCCTCTAGTGCACCTGTTGTTAATCCAGTGGTTCTCAAATGTTTAATTTTAGTATTTTATTTATAATCCTTTATTAATCCCACATGGGGAAATTATTCTCTGCATTTTACCCATCCTTAGTAATTGAGGAGCAGTGTGCTGCTGTGAAACACTGTGTCTTGCTAAAGGACACTGAGACGTAAGACTTTATTGCCAATGTTTGAATTTTTTTTTTACAGGTTGAACTTTGTTATTATCCTGAAAAGATATTCACTACAAAACATGTTAATTAGGCTATTACAATAAGAGATTTTTGACAAATACCAGTTCTTTTTTTGCACAACTATTTGCATTGTTCTAACAAAGTGATAGCACATTTTATTTGTTTTTGTCTGATGGAGCAATCTGGTTCACATGAAAGTGACTTCAATTTTCTTAATTCTATTATTAAAAATAAAATCTAAAAAAAAATTCAACATGGACCATTTAGTTACGGCGGTGGGGCCCAAACATTTAATCTGTGTTAATCCCATCAACACTAATGCAGCTGAAACTGACACTCCCCTCTGCTACCAGAGAAGTGCAATTGAATTTATGCCATACTCTGAAAAAAGATTGTTCCTTAAATAGTTTTGACCAGTGTAGATGGAAGCTGTGTGCTCTTTTTTTGTTAGTAGTTTTGTGCTTTTACAACACATTCGGTCTGTGGAAACTGCTGCTGAATTCTGGCCCACAAAAAGTGATGGTTAGCAGAACCTGGAGACAGACTGCGAAATAGCTTCCCTGGGAAAGAGGATCGAGGCTGGGAGCCCTTTGCCAAACTTGTGGGAAAAAACAAGCTCTGAGGAGGGCTGCAGCCATGATGTGTTATGGCAGATGATGCAATGTTTTAGAATCTGGACAGAGTTTATGAATTCATTCAGCCTGGATCTTAGGCATCCACTCAGGGCCTTCTTCCATCAAGGACAAACATTGTTCGAAAGTTGTATAAAGGGTAGTTTAATTGGAGAAGATATAAATATGTACTTTGTGTTTTTTCTTTACTCAGACGCTGTTTGGGGTCAATTCATTTTTGTGGGAATGAGCCCTATGACCATCAGCCTTATGACCTCCTACTGTATGTTGTATGTTGCATCATTATGAGCTGAATGCATATTTGGCTGCAGACACACAGATTCAACTCTTGGTTATAACTTAAGTCCTCTTAAGTAGTCTAATTCATTTTTAATTGACAGCGGAACACACAAGCCTTTTCTGAGCATTAGTCAGAACCGTACCAAACTTAGGCATGGTTTGTCAATTTTTTTGTGAAATACTGCTCATCTCTGGCTGGACGGGCGGACAGCAGGACAGACGTGGACTCCAGTTAGACAGGAGGAAGTGGAGTATTGGTTTACATCAAGATGGTTCATGTTCAACCTTTAGTAGATCAGCCTTGTGATCTGTCCAGTGAATTTGTGGCTGCTATATGCATACGTACGACCTAAATTAAAAAAATGCACTACAGGAACAGTTTCTTTTATTAAAAATGAGCTACAACTTGAAAGATCATGATCAAAATTGGAAGCCTGGTTGGGAACATCTGGAAGGATTCAGCCAAACGACTTCTCTCATTCTGGTAGATTTGTCAGATCACAGGTCAAGTATAAGCGCTGCGTTTGCAAAGGCAGGAGCAGTTCTGTCGACCCGCAGGCCGGAACAACAACTCACTAACATCAGGATGAACATTACATTTTGTATGCATTTTTGTTAGATAAAAAAGAAAAGATTTCTATTGGCCCTAAACTGGCGTCGAGGAGGAGCAGGTCCTCTCGCCACAAGACAAGATCCAATCACATGCAATGTGTGGTCTTCTAACATATGTGAATATAACGAACAAAGCGTGAGTGTTGTGTGGTGCTTGGTGTGTCTCTAAATCTCATCCTTATCAGACCTGCGTCTGTCTGCTTGACACTTTCGGATTTTCCTCTGGCCTTGCACGCAAGACAGTGACTCCCTAAATGAGCACTAAGAGCTTTTGATTATCAAACTCAATTTGCTTGTGGATTGCAGTGTTGCAGAATAAATTATCCTAAAATCCAATAACTTACACAGCCTCACCACTAAAATTCAAACTTTAGGACTTGACATGCGTTGGTGGGCGAGCGCAGCAAAGAGGCAGAGGACACATTTTCTTTTTTGATCTTTCTGTTCAACGGGAGACGGATGGACATGCATATAAAAAGGTCTATATCCTCAAAGGGGGCTGTAACCGATATTTATCCCCATCCTAAACAAGTCCTTTCCATTCTTATCACAGTGGGCTATACCTTCAATAAATTACAAGATACATGGTAAAAAAAAATAAAAACCCTGCGCAATTGCAAGGTCATTCTGCTTGGTGAGGAAACAAATAAGGAAGATTGTGGGAACTGCAGGAGCAAGCTTGTGTGTGTGTGTGTGTGCGTGTGTGTGTGCGCGCACACACTCACCATCTCTCCCCCAGCGCATCAGTGTGCACTGTGGTCTTTATTAGCGGAGCAGTGTGGCGTTGGTGCGGATTACTAAACTCGGAAATGGAGTGTGTTCACAATGGTGACGTCATTGGAAAATAAAGTGGTGGATTGTTGCCAAAGTAGTGTTTAAATCTCTCGCATTCAGCTTGAGGAGCATCATAAGTATGAATAGTTTTTATTGGGGTGAAAAGGAAAACTAAGAACGAGACAGCATCCATTCCCTTCATCCTGGATCCACTTCACGTACGTTCACATTCCGTTGGTTGTCATTTGGATCCTCTCCTATAAATCAAACATTTATTGAATATCTGTATGTTGGAAGCATCCCCGCTCAGTGGCTCTTCCAGAGGTTGTCAACTTTTACTGTAACGTCTTCTTCCTTCTCCAAAGCAAAGTCAAAGAACAGAGGTTGTCCTCGGTTGTAAAGATTGTAAAACCCTTTTGCTTTTCGAGGTTATGTTTCTGTTTTCATGAGCTGACATCCCCCATCACACTCAGCCCTTGATTAGCGGGTCACAATGCGTAAAGGAATGATGTCATCATTCAGTCCATGTCGACTTGTCCTTGGGCACATGGGGAGCTTCTAGAGCTCTGCAGCCTATTTATCTTCAACGTCGGGTTGAAAGCTGCATCTTTGACATCCTCACAGTCGGGATGCAGAAGTACAGTAAGCTCGCGTCAGATTGTTTATTTTTATATGTGACACTTAAAACATTTACACTACTAAATACTACTACTAAGAAAAGTTAAGATCATTTAAAATTTTTAAATATTTTAATATTTGATGCCTTAAAGTCAGTTTACATTCCAATGTGGATATAGAAGTATTAATAAAATAAAAAATCACAAAATTGTTGTCATCCTCAATCGTCACACGTGACCCTCGTCTGATGAGGCTTCACTACAGCCGACGGTCACTGCGATTGGCCACGCAGCTTCTCGCCCAGCTCTTGTAGCTTAGTGATGAGTTGTTCCAAAGCAGCGACACCGTCCTGCAGCTCGCCGTGGATCAGACCCGTCGCCACATCCGTGTGCATTTGCTGAAACAGATCAATGATTAAATATAATGTATTAGGTTGTCAACATTGTTCATTTGACAGGTTAATCGTCTCTGATCTGGATGTGCAGAGAACATGCGGTTGCCATTCGTTCAATGAGGACGCAGAGAAGCGCAGCAGCCGAGTGAGACAGCAGGCGGTTTTTATCGTGTTACACAAGTATAGAACTACACAGCATTCAGCAATAAATATAGATCCCCTTTGATGGAAATACCCATCCAAGTAACGGAGCTATTATTGTCCAGTGTGACCTGGTGCAAGCACTTTATTTCCTATTTTTGGTCCAGGCAATTCCTTGATTTAGACGAAGTGATTTCAGGTTCATTAAAATCACATGGAGGCAGCCGACGGCGTACAAAACCAATCGATACAGGAGGAACACGTGGGGACCTTTCTGTTATTCTCACAACAGCTTGACATATGTGATTTAGAGTAATCAAAAAAAAAAGCTTACGCTCAAGTATAATATCCAGGACTGTCAATTAGAAACAATTTACCAATCTCACATTTTGAAATTTCATTTTCATTAATTGCGATTAAAAGTTTGGTTTTAGAAAAAAAAAAAAGTCTTATTTTAAAGTAATTAACGATTACTTTAGAAAGTGAGTATTTTAGATAATATTTTTAAAAAACAAAACTCCACTTGATCATCTAGGACGGGTGGAACATCAAACTTCAATCTCCCCACATTTGGACATCAGGTTTTCCATTAGGGACACAGTGGTGGTCCTCTGCAGGGTAGATGTTGAGATGGATGTAGCTTAGCAGCTAGCTACATGTTACCACGTTAGTCTTTGCCACAGCGGTGACGGGCGGGTCCCCCGTCATCTGTTCGTTGGTGCACTTTATTTTTAAATGGTTTATGCTCTACCCCCCTAACCCATAGCCTCACATTTCATTTCTCTTGCACATGTTGTCGTATCGGTCTTGTTCCCCATTGTCTTACTGTCTGATGTCAAATTCCTTGTGTGTCCGACATATTTTGGAAATACATGTTTTGTGATGAACACGTTAACTGACAGCCATCATAGACATTGTAACGGTACCTTAGCTTTGCTGGCCAGGCTCTTGAGGCTGAGGCGGGTGGAGGAGAGCATCTGAAGAGCTTCTGTTGAATTGCTTTTCTTCTCACAGTAATTGAAGGTCACTAAGAAACAGATTCAGAGGATCAAAAACTGGTTGGATTAGTTGCTTTTGTGTTATGTCCTCATTTTACTCTTTCGAGTGTTTAAAGGATTCCTTGATGCTCATCCAAAGAGCTTCGGACTTCACTTTCCTGGTTAATGAACGGTATACGTTTAACAAGTAATTAAATAGTAGCAGCCATTAGAGAATAAGCATTCATGACGCACTCATTTTGGTCCAAAAGCTGACCATCACTGGCAGAAATAGAGTTGCGTCCAGCACGCCGTTTCCCGGGTAACCGTTAACATTGAGATGTCACTTCAACTCTATAGAGTGACATTACATTTACGCTTCTATACCCATACTGACATTTGGTACAAGGATGATGAAGTGTAAGCCAACGTAGAAACATTTTAAACAAGGTTCCTTCGAGGATTTCTGAGTTGGTTACGCAAAAACATTTGAATGAATGAACTATTTAGTTTATAAAATCCGTCACAAGAGAAGTTTAAAACGTTATCAGCCACAGATCTAAATAATGCTCAAACGTTATATCAACAGCAATATAAAACCATATGTAATAATATAAGTGATTAAAAGCAGAAATAATCTATTGGTCTGCAACCCGGCCCCAGCACAGCACAACTGTGTCCAACACATTAAGGAGGCAAGAAATTCCACAAATTAACTCCAGACAAGGCAGAGCTGTTGGGGGAAACCCTCCATGTGACCACCTCGTGAGGCGGATTTAAAGAAGGCAACGGGCTACTTTGAACAATCTAAACTATAAGCAGGTTCTGGTTTGTTTAACAATTTGCTTATCACATAATTCCATACGTGTAGCGCTCTACGGCATATATAACCTCTACACGATAATATTAGAACACGTGTCAAGGAAAAAAATGATTAATCCAATAAATGGTTTTAAAAGTTAAAACTGTTCTGCCTCATAGTGGGAGGAGCTTAGCCGAGCGAAGAGACGGAATAAAAGAGCCGTGACCGTCTAAAACGAGGCGCTTTGGTCCGGGAACAAAAAATTCATCCTCTTTAAAACACGAGCTGAATTAATAGAAAAAACAGGAAATACGATCTCCTTTAAAACACTAGAGTTGTATGGAGTTCAATTATTATTTTGAACACAAGAACTGATTACAGAAAAAAATAAAAAGGCTAGCTTTAAACCAAATATATAAAAGAAAATTAAAAATGCTTTAAAAACAGCAGTATGGTGTAAAATACTTGGAGCTTTTTGATAAAGTAAATTTCTCTCACTCATTGCAGCGGATCAAAAGGTCATTCATAGATTCCCTAGAATCAAACAGCGGTTGGTGGGTCTCATGCGCTCACCTTCACCCATGTCGATGGCTCGGAGGATCACCTCCATGATGAGAGCAGGTTCCTTCTCCCAACCGCTACTCTGAACTTTGCACCGATGGGCCTTAGACAGGAACTGTAGAGCCTGCAAAACCCCACACAGCCCCAGCAGGTTGATAAGTGGCTGCAGTCAAGTCAAAGACAGTCGTGTATCTTCTTTTTATGGTCGCGAGCGGCATGTAAAAGGGGTTGTGCAGGTCCAAACATGTCAAACGCCACCTTTTGGTTGTCGTCTGGGTTGGAGCTGCGTCCGTCTCCGTACAGCCGAGCGTACTGCTGCCATATCTCGCAGTCGCCGCTGTGGCGGGAACTGATCCGGCCCAGCAGCTCCTTCAGCTCGGGCCGCAGCGCCTCGGCCTGCCCGCCCTGCCTGTCCGTCAGCTTTTCAACTACTGCTCGAACTAGGATCCGTAGAATCTGCCGGGGGAAAAACATCAGGTCTGTGCTCAAAGAGGAACCACAAGTCATGCAGCTTCTATGTCCCTGTATGGGGGTTGAAATCCACATGCAATCCTTTCACTACGGTTAAACTAAAGAAGCCAATGACGGAGTAGTGGGATGGAAAGTAGCCGTTTATGTCGCATGTGGTTTCAATCTTCAAACATTTACACTCGTGAAGCCGTTGGCACGACACTGCGTATAATCTCTGCTGTGGTCTCCAATGTTTGCAGTAATTAGGCCACAGTTATCTAGTGATATACACAAAAACTCGCACTGCGGAAATTGGGTTGTAAGGTTTCTAGTTTTAACTTAATCATGGAGGGTAAATTTAGTGTTTTAAATTGGCTATTAAAAAACTAATTTAGTAAGGAACGCTTGACTATAATACAAAGCAATGTTAGTGTTGACAAACTATGAAAAACAACCCTTCTCATCACTTGTGTGAGATGCAGAACAATCTGGACCTGGTCAGGGTGCCTTGGCAGAACGGGGCCGAGCCCACTGGGTGGGAGATTTTAAAGGGGAGACAGTAACACCGCTGCGTTACAGGGGATCCTCAAATACAAGAGGAGAAATGCACATTGCATCCTGGCGGTCAAACAGCACACCGGCTCTGGTGCGGTTTGTTCCCAGCTCCGGTTCCAGTTTGTGATGGGAAATGGACTCTAGAGCGCTCTTAGTTCTCCGACCACTCAAATCGCACCAACACATCATGTCATCATTCACACACTGATGACAGGAGCTACCTGCCCATCAGTAACTAGCATTCACACACTGTAGGAGCCTTGCCCAAGGACATGCGGGTTAGCAGGACCTGGGATCGAACCTACAGTACTCTGATTGGAGGACGACCAGGTAGATGGAAGAGCACACCAACTCCAGCACGGGGTTAGACATCAGAAAAGAGGTCTACGAATTCATCTTCCACATCTACTTATAAGAGACTAAAAAAGGCCTAATTGATGAGGCACAAAGACACAAACAGCATAAACTGCACACGCTGGGGGAAAGTCAACAAAACAGATACCAAAACAAACAGGTAGTTTTAGGGTTTCAGTAGAATCAACACACATGAGGGGGGGGGCATCGACTGCGTAATGTCTCAATTAATGGACCGACAACCTCCCTCTAAAGCTCCACTCTCTAGAATGAGTAAATCCCCAGAAACAGGCCTTGTAGATCGATGGGGAAGCAGAGATCACCGTCTACTCATGCAGACATGCGTCCTGTTCAAGGATCCACTCTTTACCGCTAAGGCAGATCCACAGGATAATGGATGATATATCTGGGATGTCGGCCAAAGACCAACCTCTAAACAATGGACACTCCTTAATGATAATAACTGCCTCCTTTATCACAGGATATCAATACCTCGGTCGAAACAACAGAGGACGTATTATTTCATTTCTGCTAGGAAAAGAGGCTAAACAGAATTGGAAGATAAAATAAAAGACTAGGAAAATAAGCATAAACTATCAGCGTCATCCAGCCTTCTAACCAACCCGGAGAGAACTCAACAGCCTGTTATCACAAAAAAAGATTCACAAACCAAAGAATCAAGCAATCATCTAAGTCGGTACATAAGTAAAAAGTCGAGAAACTTTTGGTTTCAAAACCGGATAAAATAGCAGAATCCTTTGCAGAATTTTACAAATCTTTATACAAAAACACTGATACCTGCTCTGATGATGCAAAACTGTTCCTAAACCCTATAACTATATAAACCGAAGGACAGAATCAGCAGCTAAGGAACCATTGAGGAAAGGGAGATCTCCATGCTCGAAACAATAAAAGCCCAGGGACGGATGGATATATTAATAGATCCTATGAAAACGTCAAGGATATTTTATCAGCGCTCTTGCTAAAAGGGATGCATTAGAATCTAAAACTAAACTGACTGTGGCCAAAAGCATTTCACCGGGTATCATGGCAATATTTATTCAAACACTAAATCGGTTCAAATTTGAACTGGTCGAAAATGCATGTTGTTTAAACAAAATAAAAAGTGAGTATAATTATTTGTTTTTTAAGTGTTTGCAAGGAATTGTATTATCGATTTGTTGTGTCACACGTTTACGTCACTCAATGAGCTGCGGAGCAAAAAAATGACGAGGAAAGAGCAGCCAGCAGCTGTTGAGTCACATGACGCAAGCAAAGAAGTCTGTTCGAGTTTAGTGTGAAATGGTCGCACACAGACGGGAAAAAAAAAGTGTTAATGGCAAAATATGCAACGTCAACGTAACATGTGACAGGACCATTCATTTTACTACCAGTTATGTATCTATTTTGTGCTTTGTCCCATATTGGCTAATGACAAATATATTTGTGCGTGTTTCACTTTTTAATACCATTTTAAATTCATCTCACAGCACTTTGCTATTTTCTAGCTGTATTTAGTGTATACACTTACTTGACCTGCACTGAGTGTGAGCGTCTCAGTATGAGCGTCTGAGTAGTGAAGAGAACAAGTTCTGATTATCCGGTTAAATTTTGTGATGTATTTTTTCTTTATTATGTTCAAGGAGAAACCTGTTTGTTGACTTTCTGAAGTATTTTTGCAATGTGAATTTGCAGTTCTGTTTTAGAATAAAGGGTGGAAATTGAAGCTTTTTTAAATGCAGATTCTTATCAGATTATTTCATTTGACTTTTGCCGCTATCTCCGAATCGTTTTTGTAAATCTTAACATATTTATCTTTACCTGGATGTCCTTAAAGTTTTCCCTGAGGTCCATCAGGCGATGGTACGCCTTGATGGCTTCAGCAAACTCCCCGATGTCGGTGCTCACGACCAGAAAGTTCTCCCAGATCTGCCATTGTTCATAGTTACACTTCAGGGCTTCCCGTAGCGTGCAGAAGGCTTTGTCTCTGCCGGTGAAAAGGGGGCAGGATGAAGCAAGAAGAGCAAGCAAAAATACATCAATGGGCCAAATACATTAGCAACAGTTATAGTAGTGCTCATTTTTAAACATCTGGCAAGCGGACCAACAAATGGAGACGGACATGAAGGCACACAAACAACTATCGATGATCCTCAGGGACGGAGACAGTGTGGAAGGTGATGAAGACATCATCATGTTTCTGCAGAATGTGCCAAGTGGTTATTAACAGGAACTTGCGTCTGGATTCAGGCCAGAAAGCAGATTCAGACTCACAGGGTACCTCTGTACTCCACATGTGGCCTACGACTCAACACCAGAGTCATTTCTGTCACGGGCATTGAAATGAAGATCCATCACACTGTCCATCCAGATGGAGGGTTCCTCCTCGCGCTTTTTCGGGGGAGCTGCTACAAACATTTTCAACACACCATGTTCCTACTCGTACGTACTTCTTTTTGAGGCGAATGTAGGCTGAAGAGAAGTTGTTCCACGCTTCTGCATTCTGAAAAGTGGGGAGGAGGAATAGTGGAGACAAATCAGTTTTAAGGGTAGGTGGGACAAATAGCATTAGCATAGCAGGTTCCGCTGCCTGGTGTGTGTGTGTGTGTGTGTGTGCGCGCGCCACACGGTGATGGAGGACCAGAGGATGGACTCCATGATGGAGGTGCACCATCACCGTCTTGAGGTTAAATTTCTTCAGCTGCATCAGGAAGAACAACCTCTGCTGGTGGTCAAAGGTGAGCACACCTTTTACTAAGATGTCCAGTACTTTAACTGAAGATAACAGAGGTATGGAGTACGTCTGCTGGAGTTGTCCTGTTTAGGAGCTCCGGGCATCCCAGCTGTAACATGGGTGAGCAACGAACAACACAGCAGCCATCGGCTGCGACATCTTTTTTGTATAGAAGGAATATTGTTACTCTAAAAGCAAGAGGTCGAGTTAACAGGAGTGTTATCTGCTCAAAATTGTACTTTTCCATGATATAGAGTTAGAGACAATGTGTGTGTGTGTGTGTATACTTACATCCGGCTCGAGTCCCACACACCTTTGGAAAGCTTTGGCAGCTCCCTCATAACCCTCCAGGGCAAAGTAGGCACAACCCAGAGAAAACCACACTCCGAGCTGCCCACACACACACACACACAAGTGCATGGATCAGATCTTTGCAGAGATGCGTGTCCTGTATCAAGCATTCCAACAGTTGTAGATGATTGTAGTCCTAATGAGACTAGTTCTATGATACTGATAGAAGCTCATCATTTAAAGTCTTTTTTTACATGCGTGTGGAGTAGAAGACCGGTATGAAAGTGTCTCAAGTTAAGAGTAAAAATGGAAACGCATCTATTAAGCGGTTTAGTCAGGGGGTGTCAAACTCATTTTAGGGTGGGGGCCACATACTGTCCACTTCCATGTGACGTGGACCACACCAGCGAAACCACCGGCGGTGACCCGGTCGAACGGAGGGGGGGGGGGGGGGGGGGGGGGGGTGCATTCCCTTACTGAGTGCCACCCCCCGGGGACTTTTTTGCAAAAGCAGCTATTTTTATAAAAAAGCAAATTAAGGCTTTGGCATTTTTACACTTAACCACCTCGTCCAACGGGGACTGACGCCCGGGTGTTTGACACCTCCCTTAAAATGTTTGAAACAAGCAGCCTCTGAAGGCCTCACCAGTGGAGCTCTAAGCTGGGTTTGCATTGCAAAAAGGGAAAAAGTTGCATTGTCAGATTTGTGATTGGGTACACAGAGGCTGTCTGTGTAAATGTAAAATTTGTCCACAAAGCGTTGAGTTCATCATATTGGGAATATAAGGTTTACAGAAATAACAAGTGAAGAGTCATACATGGAGCTTTTTCCCTTCTGCATTTCATTTCATTTCACAGTGACAGTTTTGTCATTTCCTCCGTAAAGTGTCTTGTACCTGCATTGGGTTGATTTTGAGCGAGCGCTCAAAGCAGTCGACACACTGCTGGAACTCTTTGCTGCGGAGGTGCAGCAGGGCTTTGGAGCGCATGGCTCTGGCACTGCGCTGGTTCGACAGCTCCCAGGCCCGGTCGTAGTACTGATGGTCCCTCAATATGTCCCCCAGTAGACAGTACAGACTGGGCTTCTCCTTCTTCAACAACTCCCTGCGAACAATCTCCTCAGCCTGAAGCAAAAGGATGCAGAGGAAACGGGTCGGCGTGGAGGAGGAGACACTCCTCGTAAGAAGTGTGGTAGAAGGGGAATGATGTCACAACCAACATACAGAGGCAGTGTTCTAGTAGCAACTGTCTTTCATTTCAGTTCAAACAAGGAAGACGGTTAGAAATTCATAAATAAGACGTCAGTTAGTAACGGAAAAGGTTCAAATAAAAAAAATTAAAAGAAACAACACTTAAGTAGCCTCACAAATAGAAAGATTAGCAATCATTAGTATGGCAGGAATCTCCTAAGAACTATTTCATTTGCACTGGTTAATTTGGTACATGTTCTATTGGATTATTAACAAGGTTCCCTGCATAACCTTAAAAAAAACAATTAATCTCACTATGATGGAGGAGTCATCGTCTCATAGCAGCAGCATTGGACAAATATAAAACCACTATGGTCGGACTGAGGGTTCCAGAATTCTGAAGCCTCGTCTATCGCAGGACTGTAATAAGTTGAAGTCTGTAACATTATACCTGTTAACTCCTCAGAATGACCACCCATCAGAACACGACCCCAACTAGACATTTCTACTCAAAGTAACCGCGTCACCACGGTTTTATGATCATCACAAAGCCAACAAAGGGCACAGTAACCCTGACATTTAAGTGGTTTCTGCCTTTTAGGTGTTCTTCAGGTGTGTGTGTGTGTGTGTGTGTTGGGGAAGGACACAACTAATCGTTGATTCGGTTTGATCTCCAGGCATCATGAGTCACTCAGGGCTCCTGGCAGGATTCAGAGACCGCAGTAAGCGCTGTTCAATGGCTCAACAGATTTATTCAAGCAATTCTAATTTAGTTCTATCACCAATTAAATCATTGCTAAACGCAACAGGGGTTAGGAAAGTGTGGCATATTCTGTGGGATTTTTCTCAGCATGTAGTGTGGATCATTCATTGCAACGTGTACCTTCGGGGGATTTACATTACCCCGCAGTAATTTGCTTACTGTTTCATTCAAAAGCAAAAGCTGACTTACTCCGATCAGTGAAAGTCATCAGATTAAGGTAACGAGCAAGAACGTATGGAATGGATGTGACGGTTCCCTCCTTTTCAACTAACAAGTCATGGCGAGCACGAGCATTAGTTTCAGTCATCTCCTGCAGTAGACTGAGCATGCGTGACTGGTCCTGAACCCATTGGGTTCTCCCAGCTTACCGTGTGTAGTTTCTCCTGTTGGTTAGAGCTACTCAATAATAACAACATCATTATTATTATTGCCAACGGACTGGGACTTTAACTTGGTGTGTGTGTGTGTGTGTGTGTGTGTGTGTGTGTGTACCTTTCCATGCTGGCCCAGCCTCTCGTAGCAGATAACTGCATCTTCCCAGAGCTCTAACTTCTCATACATGAGCAGAGCTGAACTGGTGCAGCCGAGGTCCGACAGCAGGCTGGCCAGCTGTTTCTGTAGAGCAGAGAACAACAACAACAACACTCAGAGACTGTGCACAGTAGAAAGACAAACACGTACAATAAAAGTGCAAACATACTGATGTTTAGCAGGTAGTGTTTTCCTTGTTTCCCATCTTAGTGAAGCGTGTTAGTTAGCTCACAACTTGATGTAAAAATCATCACTTGAAGGTATCTGGCCACAAGTTATTGTTCCTTGAATCATAATTCATTCTGAGGGGATCTGAACCAAATATCACAGCAATCCTTCCAATATTCATTCAGAAATCAATGCTGGTGGCGCACGCCCACTAAGTTTACAACAGAGGACAGAAAAGTCACACTTCAACCTCTTGGGACAAAGGACATTAACTTCCATGGCAAACCATTTGGGTCACTCCTGAACCAGGTTTTTGGGGTCATTTTCTCTTGGTTTATAAAAATACAGAAACATTTCAAATTTTGGTTTTGTTTTTGCTACCTGGACATCCCATCTGGGGGGGGCTTGGCAGAAGTAGAACCCCTTGAGCCGTTCGGTCACCGGACAGCTCTGGTCTTCAAAGTGATCTGCTATTGCCTGGAAGAGCAAACAAAGATGGGCTCGATGCAGCAGGTAAAGAGTGAAACTACCAAAGCAAAACTACATCTATTTTTACAACCAAAAACTTAAATCCATGAAGGCACTTTTAAACGACAACGCAGTACAAAATGTAAACTCATTTTTAACTCTTTCATTAAACTTAGAAGTGGAAACGTCTTCAATAAAAAGGCAGATGGAGATCCTCACATGTAAATAATGCTTCCCGTTCTCCTTAAAGGAAAATACAAATATACAACCACACATCACGTGTCCTTACCTGGGTTTGCATCATGGCTCTCTCGACACATCGGGAACTGCCCTTCTCCAGTTTAGTCCTGAGGCAAAGCGCTGTGACTTCTACAGCCCAGAACTTCGGCTGAGACAGAATACACTGCAGACAGACGGGCACCAAGTGTATCAGGCATCTTTTAGACCAAATCCATCTATAGATATAAGACAGTTATACATATAATGCTCCAGGAAAGAGACTGAAGTAATGTCTTGATGAAGACAGCTAGACATGTGACAACCATCTAACCAGCCTGCAGATTCCTGGATCTACATGTAGGCTAGGAAGATGCCTGCTCACAGAGCCAGCAGCCACCTGGAGCTTTCCGTCCCAGCTGATCATCATTTCGATAGGAATGATTGGACGAGCTGGACTTGTACAAGCTGGATGCATCTAAAGCCAATGAGGCACATCTGCCAGGAAATATCCAAAAACAGCCGACGCTCGTGGCAACTGCAACTGGTGGTACGTCTCCGTTACCTGCTGCATGCAGCAATCCGTTACCTGATTAAAGCTCTATTGCCTTCATCACTGCAATAGCATTCTTTATTATTTATCATCCCGTCGGCTCTGCTCCTCTGACACAAACCTCCTACCAAGCAGCCTTCTGCATAGCGCCCCCCTCCCTCTGGAACGCTCTCCCCAAACCCGCCCGAGACGGCACTGACCGCTCCACATTCAAAACACAAATCAAACAGTGCAAACGGACCACTTCACAACTGATAGCAGCTAGGAACATGTTGCTAGCTGCTAGGCTACTTCATCTCCATATCTACCCTGCAGAGGACCACCACTGTGTGGTTTGGAAAACGTCCTGTCCAAATGTGGGGAGACCGTTGGGACTTCAAACACAGCCGTTAAATGATGGAGAGTTGAGAGCAAACAGGAGCCGCTAGTTCAACGTGTTCCACCCGGTGGAGTTCTGCCTCCAAGATGATCACATGTGTACTTATTGTTTAGAACTCTGCACCCTATATTTAATCAAACATAGAAGAGTTTGTGTCTTTGGTTCCACTCTCGCTCTTCCACCGTACTCGTCTTTAACTGGCTTACGTCTGCAAAGACAACCAGGCGAGAGTTGGACAACACGTCGCAGTATTGTCTGTGATTCTGCCGGTATAACAAGTAAACAATCATTCATTGACACCGAAAAGGACACGGGCCAACATAACAGCCGTTTCCCGCTTGTTCACCCGTCGCTAGTAAGACCGGGAACAACTGCAGTTAGTCCTTAGGTCGATGGTATGACAGTATGAACCAGAACACCGCCCAGTTCTGATTCACAATCATCGGATCTGTGCAGCTATCTGCACCCAAGTCGTTTGCTATGGAATGTTTTGGGAAACCATCATTTGAGATGTTGGAAAAGGGGCGGGCACTGAATGAATCACCTGTCAATCCAACTCATGCATAAGCCACTCAGGGAAAGGAAAAATAAATTTGCCGAACTTTCAAAGCAGTCAGTTCTGATGTAACTTACCGATGTGAAGGCCAAGAGTTCTTCTTCAGTCAGTTTGTGGACCGGGTTATTCTTCTGGAAGTCGGTGCTGCAAGACATTCCCAGAACCTTTAGGTGGACAAACAACTACAGTGGAACCGGCCTCAAGCTGCTGAATCCATTCTAGGTCGCAATCCTCCGTTCTGCTAAATGCACGGCCATCACTAAAGACGCTTTTAGTGAGCTTTTTTCCCCCGGTGTTTAGCCACAACTGATTTTAGGTAGAGTTCAGCCGATAGACGTAGAAGACTCACCAGAGCCCCAGAATAACGCCCTGCTCTTCAACGCTGAGGTCAGGCAGCTCATTCTGATCCGCTTCCGCAAAACTGATCTTATCCAACCGGGTTTCATCGTCCAGACTGTAGTCCTGTGATCACATGGAGACACACACGGTCCAATGTGAACACGTGGAAAGGATCAAGTTTAGGATCAACACTTTCTGCAGCTGAAAATATTAAGAGAAGCAGATCAAAATACGTACAAAAGAAAAAGAAAGGAATAATCAAGGAACAAAGGTTGGACTGCTGAAGCATTCCAATTGTTGAACAGAATCACGGACCTTGGGCAGGCCTGCCTGAGGCGTCGGGGCGGGACTGAACTCGTCCACCAGTCCAGACGGATCCTGCTTTCTCTTGACTTCAAGAATAAGCTGAGCCAGGTACTTCTGCTGGAAATGGGTCCGCTTGCCAAGAGCCCCTTGATTGGCCAGATACAGTGAGCGGTTACTTATGAAGGTATCACAAAGATCAACACACAGTTCCTGCAGAAGCGCCTGATCTCTGGACCCAGAACCTCACGTCCTACGTTAACTACCGTAATTTCCAGACTATAAGCCGCTACTCTTTTCCCACGCTTTGAACCTTGCGTCTTTATTCAACGGTGCAACCAATGGATCATTTTTTTAGGGGCTAACGCACGAGAGCAATAGAATTTTGCGCATTATATTCAACCACTCGTCATGGAAAATACACGTAGGAATGCATATGATTTGAACACAGAGCAGACGGCCGGGGTGTTTCCACCATGTAGATCCGACTGAAAGCCAAAACAATCGCCACCGCCTGTTTTCTGCAGGTTTAGTGCCGTGTTACAGGCACTTTGTGTGTAAATCTCATGTTACACCTGTGGGTTATAGACAGGTGTGGCCTATATATGTACTGATTTTTTTTCCCCCCCTTTCTAAATTTAGGTGGTGCGCCTTATATTCAGGTGCGCTCTATAGTCTGGAAATTACGGTACACAAATGATGATCAGGGGCATCTCCAACAATCACAGCTATTCTGCATCCAGTGTGAACCCGGCGGTGGGAGAACATACCAGTCAGGTTGATATTCAGCCCACAGAGCTCCTGGGCCTTCTTGATGTGTTCCTTGGCTGGCTGGTAGTCATAGTAGGTCAGGCTGGTGTACACACACTCCAGGTGGAAATGGATCGCCAGGTTTCTCTGCTTGGACAACAGAGGCTGACATTGCAGCACTGTAAAAGACAAAAAAAATCATAATGGGCAAAATTCATAATTGCTTCATTAGATTTCTAAAGAATGTGTGTGTAAATAGCATAGCATGCGCAACATGCATTTACATGCATGCTATGTGTGGGTCAGCTTCCGTCCACGTGGGCCCAAACCTTTGCTAAAGTTAATGGCTGCCAATCGGAGAACATAACTGTCGGCGTGATCTGGATTGAAGTTGGCTCCACACATTTAAACGGTCTGATCCTATTGGATCCGACTAGGACGGGGAAAAGACCGACAGCTCCCTTTGCCGCTCAGAAGCCAAAACGTGTATAACGCAAATGACGCTCGAGAAATACGTCTGGCTTTGAAAGTCGACCCCGACCCCACTAACGGCGTTTCAGAGCGACAGGAAGCTGTGCGTCATGCAAGACGGATGCTGGACATCGCTCACTTGACGAACAGTGGATTAAATTCATAGTTTTGTTCGCATGAAGAATATCTGGAGTCATTTGCATGATATTTTCTAACTCTTGTGGGAGTGGTGTTTTTTTCAAACAGATAAATCGAGATTGTAGCAAAGATTCTAATGTTTCAAACGAGGTGAATCATCCTTATATTTGTTATATATTTATATGCTGTTTGTTGTGTTCAGAGTGTGTGTGTGTAGTTGCTCTTTTGTCCGCACAGATCAATAGACAGACACAATCCGTGAGTCACTTTTCCTGATGTATAATTGTTGAGAAATTTGAATTTTCTCAAGGAAACATTTGGAAGGAGGAAAAGTAAACCTGGAGTGAAACTCCTTCTCCATCGGTTTTTGAACAAATACTGAAGCAATTGGCATTTACATGAACCATATCACAAAGATCAAACTGATAACACTCAACATAAAAGGATAGAATTACTGAAATTATTTTATTGGTTATGGTGAATTTCATTCTATGTCCCAACGTGTTTCTACAGTTGAATAAAGTTTGTTAAGTGTGGAGTGAAAACTGAATGCTTGATGCATAATGACAGTGGGTCTTCGCTGCTGTATTTAACTCGAGCTGAAAGCTCCTGCATTCATTTCTACACGACAATGTTCACAAACCTTTGTCTATGCTGCTTTTGGCCAAGTCAAGGAGCTGTGAGGAACAGGCCTCCAGGATTTGCTGGTGTAGGCTGACGTAGCGCAGAGTCCACCACGGCATCAGCTGAACAATCCAAGAACAGAATGTGAGGAGAAGGAAACTTTTCAGGTCTTAAGGGAATTAAACAAGACTTGAATAAGGAAGAGTAAAGAAGAGTTGTTCAGTGTGATGCATCTGAACAGCCAACATGTTTGGCCCGTTTGGTTTCCATTAGATAGAATAAATCCCCATAAATGGGTGGAAATAGAACGGTTCCGATTCTCTAGGATTCCAATAATACATTTAGCTGAGAAAGAACAGACTTCCACAAATAAGCATCAAATGCTGCTTGAGAGCCTTTTAGGACCAATAAAACATCCAGAGTGCTGAATGCTGGCGCAAAACGCTGACCACACACTAAAACCAGCCAGCTCGGTTTGTTTGGGGTCAGATGACGAGGGGGCCTGCAGACATATACGTGCTCCCTCACCCCTTCACCCCCTGTTCTTGTTCTGCACGGATATAAATGGTGTTTGTGTGTCCATGAGGATTTCTCCCGCCTCATTTCCAACGCAAGATGACCCCGTGCATGGATACATGGAGGTTTAATCAGCAGCCTGCAGCACACGCTCCAATGGGGCATGTTTACAGATTCAGACACACATATTAATCCGTCTCCTGACCGGAAACGCTTCCGCTCTAAAATGGGCTCGGAGCGGGTTGGTTGGCTTATGAGAAAAATGAAAAGAGGACAGCGGTGTGATGGTTTGGGCTCCGTACCAATGCTCTGATTTAACTCAAAGAAATACTAAATATCAAGAAAGTTGTTTGGACACTGGAAATCTGTATACGGTGTATGGATATCATTTAACTACTCCTGGACATTCTGCCCTTTCCAATAACTCAAAAGATGGGTATTTGACTGCTTATTCCATTTTCTGGAAGAAATAATATGTCAAACAGCAAACAACACGCCAAGAGAAGCACTCAAAAGGTATATTGACAGAACTGTGTCTAAGTGGGGGATACACAACGGAGTCCAGGTCCACCAGCAAACCTCATCCTAGACCAGAACCGTTCTTTGTCCAAAGGTTCTCTTCATGATCGCAGCGGAAGGAACCAACGGATATTTTCCCTTTGGAGCTGCTGATCAACAGTAATGCATTGGTGATGCTCCTCTTCATGTAGATACATGTCAACTACTGCAAAATTGCAGACTAAGTGATTTGGACAATGATTTATGAAAAGCCCCTCTGAAATTTATACATGGGGAGCTAAGAAACGGGGCTTGGTCTCTAATAGGCCACGAGTACGAGACTCTGGTCCTCGGTGGCAGCGCTTTCTGTCACAGCCCCCTTTAAGGATCCAGGGACGTGGGACGTTTTCTACCATTTGCTGAGCCATCCTCGTCTTCTGCAGCAGCCCCACCGGGCCAGAAGGACAGTCTTACCTGGAGGTTGTCCATCTTTGAGGAGCACTTGGTGAGAATAACCCTGGCCAGCAGGAGGAGCAAGGGGTTGGCTACCAGGCTGTACACAGACTCCCCATCCAGCAGCAGGCTGGAGTGGACGGCCTCAACCACAGGCAGGGGCTGCCAGCCAAAAGTAGGACAGAGAGTTTAGTCATTTCAGTGTTTTCCCTGCGGGAGGGGGGGCAGTAACTCAGGCGCTCTCTGCGGACTTGTGTGGAACTGCCATGCGTGGGTGTTCTAATGGTCGGGGAAACACTGCATTCTACTGAAAGGTCTAGTGGTTAAATTGAGTTATTACAATTTCTGCAGAAATGCATAAACAAAGGGTATATATTTATAGATCATTTATAGTAGAGTAAAAATCAGCTGACATTGCTCTCTGTATTTCTGCACTAACCCAAACCAATAGAGTTCAGATATATTAAACTGGTTCAGCATTGTTAATCACTGTCACGGTGAGCCGTTTCCCTGTAGTAACCAGCACACAACGTTAAAGCTATTAATCAGGTTCTGGAGTAGAATAAGTTCTTCTCTTGTTTCTAGATGAATTTAATCTCAACGATGACGCACGTATTGAAGACCTGCCTTAAAACGCAGTACAGATTATCTACAGTTGCAATCAAAATGATTCAACCCCCCCCATTGCACATTAGGTTTATTGGCAAAATATACTTTTAATGACTAATGAATTTACTGCAGTCTCAATTATTCAACCCCTTCATGACGAGCATCTTCAGTACTTGGTCGAGTAGCCTTTTGCTGTTATGACCCGCTGCAAACGTGATGCACAGCCAGACAGCAGCTTCTGACAGCGTTCCTGAGGAATCTGAGCCCATTCCTCGTGGGCAACAGCCTCCAGTTCAGTAATATTCTTTGGTGTGCGTTTTGCAACCGCCTTCTTCAAATTCCACCAGAGATTTCCGATGGGGTTCAAGTCAGGCCTCTCTAGAATCTTCCATTTCTTCTTCTGAAACCAAGCCTTGGTGGACTTTGAGGTATGCTTGGGATCATTGTCCTGTTGGAAGGTCCAATGACGCCCAAGTCTCAGCTTCATCACAGACGGCATGCCGCTTTTTCCTAAGATTTCCTGATATGACTGAATCCATCGTGGCCTCCACACGCTGCAGGTCCAAACCTCAGTGCCTGCTGCAGGTGTCTTGCTGCAGGTGTTTTGCAGTCACTCGAGGGTTTTTGACCACTTGCCTCCTCAGGAATCTGGTGGCGGCCGCTGACAGCTTCCTCTTTCTGCCACGTCCAGGTAGTGTAGCCATTGATCCTTCAACTTTCAACTTGCCAACTATGCTTCCAACTGTATTTCTAGGGACATTCAGTGCTTTTTCTATCTTTTTGTATCCTTTTCCTTGTTTGTGCAAGGCAACGATCTCTTCTCTGAACTTTTTGGACATTTCTTTTGACTTTGCATATTTCTAACATGCAATCAAACGTCACTCTGAACAAACCCGGAGCCAGACCAGGTATTTATGTGTTCTATCTCAAGCACATGTGAACTAATGAAGCCCTTGTTAGTTGCACTGATACGGGGAGTTGAATCATTTCAAAGGTGCTCTACCAAGTACTGAAGATGCTCGTCACGAAGGGGTGAATCATTTTGAGACTGCAGTAAATTCATTAAAGTCATTAAAAGTAGCATTTTGTGTTAAATTTGGCTAAAACCTTTGTAATATTAGTTTCATTAAACTACTTAAACAATTATTGTGTAATTTGTTTATTGCAAACAGCTGAGAAATTGTATATTTTGCCAATAAACCTAATGTGCAATGGGGGGTTAAATGATTTTGATTGGAACTGTACTCTGCTATAATCCTCAAGTGTAAATAACAATATGTAAACATGATAATTTAACCAAATATCTAACGTTATTTATCTCACAGCATCTCGTCTCTTTACCTAAATTTGGCCTGGATACAAAGTTATCAACACTTTAAGTGGAGTTTTCAGCAACGTGGCTAAAGTAAGCAGCGCCGTACCTGAGAGGACAGCAGGGTCTGAGGAAGCAGGTCACACATTTGGATGGAGACTGGAGGACCAGTCCAGTTACTCTGGGCAAACGTGTGGAGACAAGAGACAGCTAGGGCCAAAACTGCCAGCTGCCTGCAGCAGGAGACACAGGACACACTGGACTTAGTGGACAGACATGCTGCATAGATTTAGAAATTATTAATTTAAAGTTGTTTATTCAGAACTAAAGAAAAAAAGTTATTCACAGCGCAACTTGTGAATAACACTATTAGTGCAATTCATAGTACTTAGTACAGTGTACTTTCCACCTTTGTAAAATGGGAAGTTCTAAATATAGTGAGATATATTGAAATGAAATGCGACCCATTAGAGGGTTCAGTTTGTGAAACACTGAGTTAGACCGAGGGAAGTGCCGTTTCAATCCCACACAGGTGCTGGAACTACTAGCGGCCATAAAGTTACCTGTTGCTGTGGTCTTCATCGAGGTACAGCGCAACCCGTCTCTCCAGGTAGGTCTCGATGTCGTCCCCCTTGCTGCAGCTGCCATCTCCAGTGAGCAGATGTGACACCGTGGGGCTGCGCAGAACTGCCTCAAAGTCCCCCTCCATCAAGGACGCCAGCAGGGGGCCGGCCTCTGGAAGAACCGCTTCCAGTGAGTTTGCTTAAGCGCATGCAATTACTCGTCAGTCAATTTAAGTGACCTCATTGAATCAAAACAGTGGGGACATACTGTAGGGCACAAATATACCCGACGCTGAATCATGCGGACGGACTGTAGTCAAGCCCACCAACCCGTGGGCTTGCATTGTTCTTATTTCAAAATGTATACAAGAGGATTATAGAAAGTGGGTTGTTGTGAGTCACATGACGCAGGCAGAGACGTCTGTTCGACTAGTCGTCCAAGGTGTGGGGACATGGCACTAAAGTATTTTTGCAATGTGAATTTGCAGTTCTGTTTTAGAAAAGGGTTGGAAATTAAAGCTTTTTAATGCGGGTTTTTTTTATACGATTAATCGGACAAATAATCAACCGATTAATCGATTCCAGAGAAATTCCAGACATAGGGGGGCAGGACTAATTCCAAGATTTCCCCCACCATTATATCGGGGAAGGCGGGGCGTAGGGAAACACTCATTTGAGGTCCTCTTGTTTTTATTAAACAGACCTGAAGAGCAGCTGAATTGTCACTAAACACGTGGCCTTCCTCCTCCTGTGATATTATGACAGCCCTTCAGTTTATTACATCAGCGCTGAGATGAAACTCTTCGTATCTCCCAATGTTTCCCCATAGTTTACAACTTTGGCCGGGCATTGTGGATAATCCCACCGATTCTGATTAAGAGAGAACTAGTTAGACCTGTATAAACTAGCCTAGCAGCTAGCTACATGCACACTATCAGTCCAGTGGTCCGTTTGACACCTGGAGGACTTCCTCTGCACACTTCTCCTGTTTGGTTTTACTTCCAGTGCAGAAAGATGATCTCCATCTTCAACCACCGTCCCGCGGTCTCCATCTAACGGAGGACTCGTCATTCGGAGGACTCCAGTCGGACATCACGTGTTCTATGATGACAGCGTGATATCATGTAGCGACGGAACAACACCGCAGCTAACGTTAGCTCTCCGGCTAACGCGCCTCTGGGTCGCTCTAACGCCGCCTGGTCTCTGAGGACTGCGGGAACGCTGCCGGATAATGGCCATTAACCAAGCTGACATGGTAGTTTACCATAAACCCAGTAAAGGCGCCGCTACCTGGTGGAATGTCTGCTGTTGCCATAAAGTCGGGCGCTTGCATATGACCCATAGCGAGGAGCGGCTGAACGAGCACCGCTGCCGTTAACGGTGGCGCGCAGAACCAGCGTCAATAACCGGCCGCCCGCTGCCTCACCTGCCGTGCCGAACACGGTTCGCTTCCATAGCTGCGCCTCGCTGGCTGTTAGGAAGCCTCGCAGGACCGGGACCTCCACGTCCAGCTGCATGTCCGACCGCGACCAGTCCTTCTCTGGAGGGGACAAGTGACGTGAAGTGCTTCTCAGTCAGAGATCAGGCGGCTGTTTCCACCCGCCCACGTGCTGCTAGCGGCGTCAGTGAGCAGCCATGATGGACGCGCGTTGCATTTTGGGAGAACTAATGAGATGTTTCCCCCCCCCCCCGAAGTCAGGCATGAATATGTTGATGCGGAAGATGCTGATGTTGTATTTGCCAAGAAAAGCACGTTTGCAGCGCTTCATGTTGACTCTATTAAATATAATCGCATTGAACAACAGTTCCAGCTCCATGTAGTCCAGCTGTTACCGACAGTCCCGCGGGTTTCAAAGTCTGCGCCGGGGGGTCCAGTTCGGTGACTTTGCTGTTATGATAATGACATTAATTGCATTTCTATGTCTGTATCTGCTATTCCTAATCAGTCCACTGGGGGGCGCACAGTGTGAGTGCGCGCATGCGTAGACAGGCGAAACACCACCTGCTGCTTTTCGGTCACAGCGTCCCTCCACGCAGCTTCTCGCGAATGGACGCATCCGGGGGGAAGCGGTGGTCTTCCTCCGCGTGACGTCATTGCAATATGACATCAAAAAGTGAAAGCACGGAGACGGCGCACGTGTGCTCAGACTGTCATATTAAAATGTGTACATTTAAAACATCAAGGATTAAAGATGTAGAAAAAAAACACAAGAGATTGAGGATATTTATTCGTCTACTCATGTAATATCAAATCTTGTCATTGAAGCAATTTTGACAAACATTTAAAATTAACTCTCATTTAGTGAGGAAAGAGCTTAAGAGTTCAAATCAGACGGTAAAAAGTATCAAAGAAATACCCTCAGTTGTAAATCATATTTTTGGACGTAGTCATGGTGAAGTTCTGTTCCATTCATATTAACACCATTTAAATCCCTCACAGACTTTCACACTCAACCTGGTAAGTACCAGGTGTCAGTTAAATCTGTTTAGGATTAATCCGGGTTTTTGGGGCGAGATTGGGTTTGGGCCAAAGTTTGAATAAATCTTATATGTGTATTTCCTCCTTTTAACCCCAAGTTTTATAAACGAGACCCCTGGTCTGATCTCAGTCATTCAGTAAAACAGATTTAGATGATCAAGATCTGATATTCAAGGGTCCATATTTGATTTTTGTTACACAAACAGAAGGTTTACCTCTATTTCTATTCCACCATTCAGGGGATGGAGGCAGCATGATTGACAGCCAGTGGCGGAGTGATGCCATGCAGATCAATATTTCATCAGTGGTCAGGTTTGGCAGAGGGCCTGCAAAAAACTAGATAGTCTATCATTGTATTTACATATTCACACATAAATGTACTTCTTAGCTTTCTTTAACTGTTCTTCAGTGGCGTTTGCAACATCGGGGTTTTCTGCAAAACAAAGGAGCCAAAAAAAATGCTGTTTGTGGATTTTTGTTTTCACTGTTTTAATATTATTACTATTATTAACACACTAACCTGCTAATAGTGTGCATGATGCATACTTCTTCATCATTATATGTAAATATAAAATGCTCCTTCAACTTCGTCTTAGTTTAACTTTATCCCGTTGTATTGGATGTAGTTTTTTAAAGCCCAGCAGCACGCTGATACTCATTCCATCCTTCTGGCACGCAAGAGCGCAGGTTTGTGAGATTGCACTTTAAGGGGCTTCACTTTTTATCCGTTCACATGCAAAGCCAGCGTGGAAGTGGGATTGTCGTTCATAACGTGTAAATGTACACGCTCTCTCCTGCAGGGCTACTGAGTCATCTTTTTACATCCCTGTCATTTCTGCTTCCAAGGGTGAAGCAGCTCCTGGCTGAATCTGAGCCACCACATGATTCAGGTCAAACGTGTTCCAACGACCCCCGAGGACCCAGAGCTGTTCCTCACATTAATGGGTCGCGTTTCACAATCGGGTTGATACAGTTTGATCGAGGAATAAGGAGCAGGATATCTGCTTTCTTAGTCTTCTGAACGTGGATTCCAATGCAAATGCATGTGACCCAAAACCAATGATTCACTCTGTTGGATCGAGCCACAAGTGGCTGGAATGAGAAGGCAACGTGCGGATTGGAATGCTAGCGCAGGGCACAGCGCGCTTTGGCGAGTAGCACAGTCTGCAAAGAGGACTTCTGTTTATTCACAAGTAAACTTATCAGGGGACCTTTTTAGTTCAAATGCAAAAGTTCTTTTGCTCCCTTCTGAGCAGCTGTGGCTCAGAAGGGAGCCGGTTGTCTTTCAAGGTCGGCGGCTCGGCACCTCCAGAGCATCACAGTGAGTCCTGTGGCAACTAAATCACTTAAACCTGCCGTTTGGCTCTGGGTCAATACCGAGGCTCAGCCCAGACAATAAGAGGCTTACCAGTGGTGGCTGGTAGGGCAATCAAATCCATTTTTAAGAAACATCCCAGGTTCATTTAATGCAAAACACTTATGCTATCAAAAAGACATTTGCAGTTAAATATTTAATATTTATTCCAACATGTAAAAAAGCAGTAACACTTTGACAATCTTATTTTTGTAACCCTCACGGAAGACTGTGGTCAGCTCAGCAGACACTGGAACTTTAGTGCACGTATATGCTGACATGTACGGTATTAAACACGTAACCAGAATAAAGGCTATTTAAATAATAGAAGTATGTGTGTACGGGACCTCTCTGTCAACTCCTGTACAAAAAATATTTTTACTGTACAGATTTGGGTTGTCATAAAAGTAATGTACTTCTTTTTTTAATACAGTTCAAATATTGAGAAACAATGCTTTTGAACATATACTTATGGGACTTTTATTTTGGAGAAATCTAAATTTGTACAGTAAAGATATTTCATTGTTCATACAAGAGTAGTCAGAGAGGTCCTTAACACATGTATGTTAGTCTTTGACTGGAACTATTGAGAAAAGTATTTTTATTGCAGTTCAAATATTGAGAAATGGGCATTTTCAATATAATGCATTTACTTTATTATCTAACTTTGTACAGTAAAAGTATTCATATTTTGTACAAGAGTAGTCAGAATGGTCTTGAACACACATACTTCAGTCATTGTCTCGAATCTTTGACTAAATAGCTTTTATTCCGGTTACTTGTTTAATGCAGTAAATGGCAGCATAATACGTGCACTACATTACATTACAGGTCATTTAGCAGACATTTTTATCCAAAGCGACTTAAAGGCCGCCGCATGCTCAGGGACACTTTGACTTGAGACATGGGGCAGCCGGGACTCAAACCACCAACCTTGCGGTTTCCAGCACACCCGCTCTACCCCCTTCCTTTCACCACAAAAAAGTAGTAAACACCAAACGTTGTGAATCGACCTTCTGTGGCCTGGAGAAGAATACTCCCCATACGTGCACGCAAACAGCGTTTTATCTCCTTGCAAGATCTCGCACCTTCATTCATTCCCGTCGCTCATGACGTTAATTGGCCGATTGCGAAAATGTAACCTGTTACTTTGAGTGCACAGTGATATGAAAGGCTCAGGTCAACGTATTATATGTGATGGCTCAATAACGCACACCCTGTGACTTATTCCCAACCAATCAGAATGCTGGATTTAATCTACCCGTATTACAACAATCAGTATGACATAATATATACTGTATACATAATATATACTGTATACATGTCAGTCGGCCTCTTTACTTCCTCCAGAATACCATCAACCTTGACGAGAATTTCAATGTTTTCTGATCCCGATGGATCTGAATAAAAGAGCGTCAGTTCCGTTAACCACTAAGAAGCCAAAATGGGTAGAGAGTAAAATGACGCTTGAGAGGGAGGATTGATTGAAAAAATTGTGTTTGGAGTATTTTCAAATAGATAAGTGGATATCGTAGCTAAACCCTAATGTTCCAAATGGTGTGAAGCATTCATTTATTTGTTCTTGATGAGTACACAATATTCCTGTTGTTCCTGAGAAAATGGTTCTGGGCCGGTTCTTCCCTGTTTCCGGAACGATATTGGTGATGCTGATTGTTGTTGGTTGCGCTGTTAGAGATGCTGTAACGATTTGCAGCAAGAATACCAAAATACTGCTTTCCAAAAGATCTGGTCTCATGAGAGAGAAGATCTTGGACGTTGTGGCTGACCATCCCACAGTGACAAACATCTCTGTGCCTACGGGAAGCTCTGAAGCGAGACATTATTGATCTGATAAACACTCGGCTCTGTTAGTGCTGAGGTGTCCCTCCTCCACCAGTCAGGAGGAGATGAAAGATTCAACAGGCTGTTTGCACTCAACAAATGGATTTCAACCGCATATATTGACCCACTCAATACATTTGACAATTTGGACCTCTTTTAGGAGCACAAACATCTTTTTAAACTTATTTTTCCACCCTTTTGTATCGCCAAGGATAAGAGGAGTCTAAACAAGACCAGCGTCAAAACCTTCTGTCAATGATGAAGGTAATGATTGATATATTTGGGATCTAGGAAAAAGGATGACAAGGATTCTCTCCATGAAAGATGCAGCTCTCCATCATTTCTGTCCTGATGGTTAATAGGAAAAGAAAGGTTGAGCTGTGAAGTAACAATAGTAAATACGCAAATTTATCATTCAACATTCATTCATTCCTCTGCCTGTCGAAATAAATGGTCTCTGTCAGGAAAAACATTTCTAATCAATGATTTGATAGTCAGCCACAAACACTGTTTTTGTTTGCTTTTACTGATGTTAAAAACCACAAACCAAGGCAGAAATATCCGTGTCATTAAGGATTCGGACCTCAACCTGAAGAGCCACATCGAGACGTTACAAAATCAGCGATCCCCTAAAGAATACATCAAGGATTAGAATATTATAATAATATAGCACAGAATATTTTAGGGTGACACCGTATGAAGAGCCACTAAGGTGTCTGGGTCGGGTCTACTTTCTGTTACTAGAGTCAAACAATCATGGAGATGCAGCGATCATTCCGCTCCACGTCAGGAACAAAGTCCCAGAAAGCTGCAGGTCGGCTGGTCCCTCAGCTCCTTTAAATCCAGATTGAACACTCGTTTGCCTTTAACTAACCATGCTACTACTCACCCATGAATGCAGATGGACCTTTCTACCTACAACAATTCATCACTCCTCAAACCTTCACCCGATCCAGAACAGCGCGCTGCTCCGGGTCCCCAACCAGGTCCGTAGACGGCGACCGGGCCGCTTATGGAAAAGTCTCTCTGACCACGTGAGGGGAAACACACGTTGGACCTTTTTTCTTCAGGAAGGCGTTTTGTATTTCAATGTGTTCAATCAGTCAGCGATCACTTTAAATGTGTTGTTTCAGCTATGCTTTGAGTATAGCTGAAACAACTCTGATCTGCACTCTGATCTGCTGAATGACAAGTTGGTTACAAATAAAATGTATGATACTAATATTTACAGGTGCAATACCTTTCGAGTGAACGCTTTGGGTCTTAGAGATTGGAGAGTTGTTTGGGTGGAAGGTACGTTTCTTAAACACCATCCACAGACCCGGAGAGCCGTCATGTCACTCGCTTTGTACCGAGGACGTTGACACACGAGGTATTCTCTCCGATTTAGCTGGGAATTCTCAGCCAACAGAATACATACATTTATTTAGACGTGAATATGTGAAGTTATTAGAACATCTTCAATGCATTGGCCTTCAACTGCTAAACTGTAGAGGTTTAGTTTGTTAAACCAGGCTGGGGATCCTTCCAAGATGCACCGAGAAGGAACTAGCAGAAGAGGCAGCTGAACACACCCGACAAATCTGTCCCAATACTTTTAGAAAACTAGAAATCGGTGCCAATGACGGATGGAGATGGACGGGGACTTTTCATCACGCCGGTTTGTGTGTTTGTGTCTCTGGTCTCTGCTGACGGCCTGTCACACGCACAAAGAAGCATTCGCACAGTCAGTCATACTTTCAAGCTCCATTTAATGTCCTAGCAAAAGGAGAATGTGGCCGTCCTAAGAAGTGGGTAAAATAGAAAGTGCATTTGTTCACTGAAGTTCAACAAAATAAAAAAAAAGATCAAAGCAACTCTTGTGTCAGACGGAGCAGAACATAATTGTGTAGGGAAAGCAAAGGAATCAGTAAAGGTACTCGGTTGGAGTATTTGGTGTAGATCAAAGGCACATCACAGCTTTGTATCTCACTGAGGATTGTTGCACACGCACAGAAAACACACGTACAAATGCCTTCAAAACAAATTTCCCATGCGACTCTGAGAGGCAACAAATGTTTATCCAGAGCATGGTGCTTTTTAATTTGGAGCCTGTAAAAGGGAACATAGCAATTAAGAATTTCCATCTCAGCATTTATTGGAGAAGATATGAGCCTAAGATGAAATCAAAAGAAAAGATGACCGTAGGGGCTCTTTATCTCAGGTTTGTTACGTGTGCGTTTTCCTATTCGCTCATTTTTTTTAAATGGTAACTTTAAAGAATGACCAATGTCCTTGGTTACAACTGTTTTCTCACTCTAACAGTCAAAAAGAAAAAGGGGAAATTAACATTCAGTAAACATTCTTCTCTAAAAGGTAGTTTCCCTTATATAATTTGTTTTTTCTCTGCCATTATGTATACATAAACAAGTTTAATAACATACCAATCAGTGGTTATTTCACAATTGGAAAAAAAGCACAAAATGTTTACACTCTTTTACAGGTAAATAAAAGTTTTCAATAAGGGCGAAGCGTACTCCATTGTTCTTCTCATCTCATTCTGGTCTCCTACACCCCGCTATTCTGCTAGTAGATCTTTACATACAAATATTGACAAAGTGGTGGCTTGTGCTCGGAAGCCATCGAGTCTTTGAGAGTAATAATCATCATGGGGAGGAGGGGGGGAGGGGGGGGTGTGTGGATGCTGGGCACGGAGGGGGGGTGGGGAGGGGTGGGGGGACTCATAGCTGTCCCTCGTTGCAGTGGCCGCCCTGACTGCCGCCGGGCTTCTCTGCGTCCTGACTGGACAGCTCCTTGAGGATGAGGGCGGAGCTCCGCTCGGAGAAATCCTCGCCGTCGGGCTCCAGACCGTCGGGGCAGGGCAGCTTCAGGAGCTCCTCTCGGAGCTGAGCCGTGTGTCTCTGCAGGACGGACGCAACAGACACTTAAAACCTTTCAAACACACTTTTTTTTCCTACAGAACATTCCAATCATAACAGGGAATGTCCAAAGGTTGGTGCTCTGCTAGTATGCTGGGCATACGATGAATATAGGATTAAGTGACAATACAATACTGTGTTTGTGACAGTCCATTGATACATACGCGTTAAGAATAAGCCTGAAGCAGAATGTCATACCAGTCTCTCACAGAAAGGCGAAATAAGAATGCAGCTACATTGTTTTACCCCCAAACAAGGCAGCCAAGGAGAGTCTTCCTGCGGGGGCTGTTATCGGTGGAGCAGGATTAATCACAGCGGGGATTAGCAGAGTTTATTTAGCACCAGAGGGGAGGAGAGCTGAGAGCTTCTGGGTGGTGCTTATTGTGTGGGAGTGTCTGTGCGAGTGTCGAGAGCACGCTTCCCCCTGCAGACGGCTCACAGGTAATAGGAGTTGAAAAGCAGAACACCACTGTGCTCCTCTAGTGACATTACCTTGAGTGCAGCTGCATGGTGGGACATGGTGCGGCCCACCCTCTTGTCACTGCTGTACTGCTGGATGTCAGCGATCCACTCCTCGCACTGAGACATGACCTCGGTTCGCTTCAGGTAGAAGTGTTTGTGGATCACCTGCAAACACAAATGCATCAATCTAGATATCACAGATAACACAGACTAATACAGTGAGTCCCCCCTTCTAATGCGTCTGCCACATTTATAGCGCTCACAAGTATTTAAAGGTAATATTATCCACTATTGGTATTGTTTGCCTCTCAAACTGAGTCGTTACACAGATAATAGTGTCAAAATATTGAAAAAGGTGCGGCCGTGAAATTTGTCAAATGCTTTAACTGGCGCACATAATTAGTGGTGTTTCGCGTGAATAAACATTTTTTTGAAGAGTCCCTTCATGTTCACACTGTTGAGCTTCACATTCCCATGAGCCACTAGCGGAGTGTCTCTCAGTCCGCTAACCACTGTGGTCCAGCTATTGAATACTCAATCCCCATTTCTCAACACCGAGTGGCTGTTTTAGGGTTTGCTCCAATGCAGAACTCCGCCGGGTGGAACGTGTTGGACTGGCGACTCTTTGCTCTCAGCTCTCCATCATTTGACGGCTGTGTTTGAAGTTCCAACGATCTCCCCACATTTAGGACGTTTTCCAGCCCCCTGTCTCTCAGGGGCACAGTGGTGGTCCTCTGCAGGGTAGATGTGGAGATGGAAGTAGCCCAGCAGCTAGCTACATCTTCACTATCAGTCCTAAAGTGGTCCGCTTGCACTCGTCCCCCTTCTGTCTCTCCATCTAACCGACTGCAGCACGTGGTGGATTCAGGGGTCAAAGCACACTGGAAGTACAAAGTTGAGTTAACTGTATTAAACTAATGTATTGCATTAATCTTGACCACAATAAACACGTGGACTTTGACAACCCTACTATAAACGCACAACAACTTCATTTTCCAGCAGCAGTGTAGAAGCTTGCTGGCTATTGGGTGCACGTGTCCGTCTTCCATGTATGGAATGAAGCACAGCGATTCCTCCTAAATAATCACAGGGGTGTATGTTTTTAAGGGGGCTTTTGTCCTTCTGATCGACCGTCCCAGGTCCCTTGATTTCCTGCCCCTCCAGGCGACAACCTAGCAACAGTCGGCAGGGCCGGGCCATCGGTATGCAGTGAGTGGTGTAGTGCATGAGTTATGGTGGGGCCTGCTGGTTTACCAGGGGAGGAGGGGCAGCAGAGGGGGGGTGGGGGCCACTTTAATCGCTCTATTGCTTCCTCATCTCCCTTTGCTCATTTTCATTCCATCTTTGTTGCTACTTCCCATCTCTTTCCGTCCAACGTGCCTCCCACCCGACCCTCCGCCAACTCGGCTCCTCAAGTCGCATGAAATGAGGTGGGTGAGGATGTTCCGTGGTTACAGGTGTGAGCTGGACATAGTAGACAAGGTCCACTAATGGAGACACACAGTGTCCAACCCATGATTAGAAAAATGATTACAACCAACGCCTGACCTCACGCATAGACGTGTTCACACATGTGGATTCAAATGGCCGTTTGCTCTGGGGCTCCATGGGGGGGGGCATCACCTGTTTACCGTTTGTTCTTTGGACGTGGCCATGTACAAGACTTTATGCACGGGCACATGTTCTACGGGTGGGGGAAGAAAAAAATCAATGCAGCATAATATCGTGATATTTTTTGTGGCGATGTTGTATCGACCTTTTATTGTTGGAATGCTGTTTGCTGTTTATGTGAATTGCTGTTAAGAGACGGTCTTCATCAGGGGGCTGTTTGAGCATTCCAACGGATGGTAGTACTACTACTATAACAAAAACTACACCTACTACTACTAATATGACCAGTACTGATAGTATTAGTTACTTTTTGGTCCTAGAAAAATAAAATCAATTGCTTGCTCCAGTCCACTTTCTGGTGAGGTCAGCAGAGGTCACATGGCAGCATGATTGGTCGGAAGTTGGTCAAAACAAAAATGGAAACGGAGAAAGACATTTTAGATCTAACCTTAGAAGAAAGACATGGATATGAGACATGCGATTGGCAAGCAGTTCTGTATTAATAATAAAATAATCTGGTAATGATCAAAACATCAGGGCTCAGCTCACGCGCCGCCGTCCAGACACGATGTAACCAATGACGGCCAAGCCAATCATCACAGCACAAAGGAGCACTGAGATTCAGCTTTCCTGGGTTTCACAGAGCTACATGCAAAAGTTATCAGACTAGTGCAATCAAGGACATGGACAGACACACTGTTAGAGAGGGAACACCTGAAGCTGCAGGCTAGATTATACCAAGACAGGGACGTCTCTCAAGCACCGATCAATAACGCAGCGATAGAGTCCTCATGGGAACAATCCTAAGCCCCCGACCACTGTGTGGGAGGCAGATACCAGACGCTTGATCGATATGAGCACGGCCCCCAGATGTCAGCTGACGAATATATGAAAAATACTCTAAACTACGGAGGGGGTCCCTGTAAATATATCAGTGTTTGCCTGATGTCAATGGGTCCAAAAGTCCTTTTATATTTCAGTGCAGTTTGTAAATAAAAAGTCAACACAGCTTTCACAATCACACAGCTTGCAAACACTATATACGGGTGGGTTACAACCCCCCACACACATATTTTAACATGCAACCCATTGTCCTTAATTCTACCCGACAGTCTGCTGCTGCATAATTTAAGCGTGTTCTGTTCTCAGCGTTCTCTATAAATAGAGTTTCTTAACATTAGATTCTCACCATGAATAAAATCTTGTCCATTGGATCAAACTAATTAAATTAATACTCATAAGCGCTAAAAAGCTGCAGCACCATCATGAATATGGACTCACAGAACCCTGACATGGATGCGTTTGAGACTTGTTGATAAAAGTGTAAATGAGGGGAAAAGGGAAGGACTATAAAGAGGAAAAAGTAAATGACCGAATGCGGTCTCCTTCATTAAATCAACTCAAACCACACCCAGAGAAGGCCGTCCACCCAAACAGAGCAGCCGGAGAAGGATGAATCAGAGAAGCAACCAAGAGGCCCATGGGAACTCTGGGGGAGCTGCAACGCTGCACCTCTAGATGTGCAAAGCCCAAAAGACTTGCAGCTGTAATCACAGTGAAAGGGGGTTCTATCAAGTATTGACTCAGGGGGGGAGGTGAATAATTAAGCATCCAACAGATTAAAGATTTTCTATGAGCCATCCGAATCATTTTATAAGGAAAAGGCCTTTGGTGCAGACATTAAGCCTGTTGTACTACTGAATCCCATGCTAAGCTTGTACAGATTATGGCTCGTTCTGATCAAGATGCAACAACTCTGACAGATCAGCGAGAACAGTGACTGCTGTTAATCATCAAAAGTGAAAATAGTTGGGAGGAAGGTTTACTATGAAGTTGAATTAGATTAACTACAAGACCACAGAGGCCAACTGGTTAATGTGGGGCATCTGTTGGGACAGTCAAAGTGGAAGACAGCCCCTAAAGACCTAGAGACACAGTAGCAGGGAACAATACATAAAGTGATGCATTGCGTTGTGAGCCAAAGAATAGAGCCCAAAGGTGTGGTGCATGGACGTTACCTGAGATTTAGCATGTTAATAGTTAATCGTTGAACTGACAACAAATATGCACAATTAATCAGTGAAACAATGCATAGGAAATAGGAGAAGCTAGTTGCTGAAAGGAGAATAGCTGGTCCACCTCACAGGTGTGAGCCTGGGTCGAGGTTGCCGATGGTTTTGCACTAACCCCTTTACCTTAATCAGTAGGTGGCAAAAAAGAAACAGGAACTTTGCTTTTATCTTGAGTAATTTTAGCGGTGATATTACAGCTGTAACATATTACAGCTGTAACATCACTGCTAACTGTCACTTGTTCGATAGTACACTTGATTTTTTTTAATATTCTCTAACTTTTAAAATATTTTTAACTTTAACTTTATTCTCTTATTTTATACTAACCCATAGCCTTATTCTACTAACCCATTGCATTAGCATTTCATTTTATTTTATGACTTGTGCACTGCTGTCTTGTTGTCTATTGTTACACTGTCTGCTGTAACGCACCAACCGCGAAGACAAATTCCTTGTATGTCTGACATATTTTGGCAATAAATGTTTCCTGATTCCTGATTCCTGAACTCCATCATCACATACGCGCTCCGTCTCTGACGCTACACAGGAGTAAACGAAAGCTGTTGTAGGCGTACACCCAGCTGACAACCTTGCAGCTAAACTAAGCCGCTACTTTTTCCCCACGCTTTGAACCCTATACAACGGTGCGGCTGATCATTATCATTTTTTACGGGCTAACGGGCGAGACAGACAGTTGCAAGAGAGAATGCGGCGAGGAAGACGTTCGATTGGGTTTCCACCGTGCAGATCCGACTGAAGGATTTTAGAGGTGGACCATCGTGGTCTCAGAGACATGCAACATGGCGGCTGGGCACGTCAACTGTGTTGTCAGGGGTCCAACACTGCAGCTGGTGTTAAAAGTCTGTGTATCCGGGTGTCTGCTTGTTAACACTTCATTGGCTAATGAGAGGTTGCTAATTTGTCATAAAAAAAGGAGTCAAATGTGCATCCCATCCTGAGTGACAGCTTGTGCTTATGCAAGGCAGAGACATGGCAGTGTCAGTCTTGAGACACATCAGCCGGGCCGCGGCGACGCGTCAGCAGACTTTGCTGCATCTTCAGCAGGAAGAACCGCAGATGTGAGCCAAAACACGCATGGTCAACAAGCCGCGTGTTAGACTTTCAGGAACAGTTTAGCGGCTGACTCAATGCCGGCGCAATTTCATTCCCTTACTTTGGCACTTTGTACTACGGGAGGACACGAAGGCTGTCGACGAGAAAAAGGCATCTGGCTTCACAAGCACCAGCACACTGCTGGTATACACTTCATACAAGGTTTGTGGACTGCTTACAGGTCAGCTGACACATTTATACAAAGCGACTTACATTACATTTTTAACCCATGGCTTTTTACATTTTGCCCGGGGAGCAATTAGAGGTTAGGTGTCTTGCTCAGGGACACTTTCGACATGGAAAATAACTTTTCATCCAGTTTGCTTTTCCTGCCCACAGGTTCGTGCCCCTTCCGCCCCGTGAGCCTCTGTTATACCAGTCAAGGGAAGGGAGAATCTATCTTTGCCCGCAATGATTCCTACCTCTTTGAAGCATGGCGAGGGGTTACGCATCTGCTCCAGCATGGCCCATTTGACGGAGGCCTGCCGGATGTTACCATCATATTCTCTTGAGCTCTGGGTGCCACTGGGAGTCCCGCGGGAGCGTTCGTACCCCGGCTCATTGAAGTAGGGTTCCGCCACCAGGATGAGGGACTGCACCGACACTAGCACCTACAGCAGATTGAGTCAGGGAGGGACAGCATTATGGGAGGAACAGGGAGCTCGGGACGGATTCATGATGAAAACACATTCTAGTACAATCCGTGTGTCCAAATAAGGCTGAATCCCGTTCTATTGGTAAATGATGCCCACATCCCTCATCATCTGGAGCCACTCAAGTGATCTTAGAAGAGGCTGAAAAAAAGCAAAGAATGGTGTGGACGAATTAAGATGCATCTTTCAATATATCTTTGTTTAATGCCTCAAGGAGAACAAGGACGTCCCCCTGCATCATTCTCTCCCCTCCATGCCACTGCATTACCAACTAGGACGATTTGGGGCTTGGAGGCTGGCCTGCTGGCCCCAACCACACTGGTGCGGGAGGATGTTCACATGAAAATGCCCCTCTGCTGGATACCAATGACCTTCAACCGTTTTAACTGTGATCTGTCTAGCATGAACCGTGTTGCCAGATTTCAGAGCCGATACCCACCTTGGTTGATGAGCCATCCCTATTCCCCTGTCTCATATTCAAACCCTCATTTTCCATTATTGATCTGCAGCACGCTGGACAGAATGATAATCAATGGGGACATTTCTATGTACTCTCCAGCCATGCGAACGAGGTAATAATAAAAAGAACAGGAGGTGTTTATTTCTGTGCGCTCCGGCACGCTTGATTTCACAGGGAAACCAGGGCAATGATGTGGTGGATGTTTGTCATCAAGTGTGTTCACACAAGTCTGCACAGCTTCGGATGCTACACATTTTCTTTTGCACAAATCGGAACACCAGCCCCTCAAGGCTACAGACAAAATACAGATCATCTAACTTAGACTAAGTTAACATCATTTTCTTATTATTTAGCACCAGATGACAACAGAAGTAATCTAAGGTTCCCTTGACTACAGAACATCTATACCTTATTTTATTACAAGTTATTTACCGTATATCATTTCTGTCTCTACACGGTCGCATGTTTACAATTCTCCTAAACGGGATCCTTCATACACCAAGCCCATTAATACAGAGCCAGTGGCAGAGAAATGACAAGGCAGAGATACACTATTGCTCGTGACACAAAGACTCAAAGCAGCTGGGTCGATCTGTTCAGACAGAGGACACTGCCATGACGGATCTCCACCTCACCTGTAAAAAGCTTGAGGTCTGTGGGTTCCACTTCTCCTCTGGTCTCCCATGCCATGTGTTGAGGATACTTAAACATACCTGATAAACATAGAAAACATACACTCTGATCAATTGTCTGCTATGAGAAATGTTCCCATCATTGATTCCTCTGACACTGCTTCAAATCACTACACTGACAGTACTAAGCTTTTATGCTTCTTATGAGCATCCACCTTCTCTTTCCTCCACTTCCAAAACATTGAGAAAATGAAATCACTGAAAGGAGAAGGTGGTGGTGATTTAAGCATACAGACGGTATGTTTTTCATTCTCCTGTCAATGAAATATGGTAAAAATGTCCAGACACATTTACAGTTAGAAGACGATGGGCTTCTTGACACAAGTTGCGTCATTGAGGTTTAAAGGGTTATCATAGATCAAATCCTTCATTGTAATTACATTTGTTTGATTTAAAGACAACCATTGAGAGGACTTGAAGCCTTCATCAACTCACTTTGCCATCATTGTAGAGGTTAGGGTTAAAGCGAACACTGTGTCCCCCTGTGGTCTCCAGGTTGACCAGAGGAGGGGAGTTTGGATAGTCTTGGGGGAAATACACATCAAACTCAAAGCAGCCGTTGGCGTACGGGGTGTCTGCTGGGCCTGTGATGAGAACCTGCAAACACAAAGAGGGATGATCTGATAAACAGCCAGAGACTGGGTAATTAAATCACACAAAGGGTGAAATTAGCAGGGAGAAAGATACCAGTTCTATCCAGTCCTTGTGACCAAATAATGTGACCAATTAGTTCATTAACCAAAGAAACCAAAGCACTTGCACAAGCTGTTTGAAGGACCTGTATACAAATGAAAATATAAGTTGATTAGTAATATCTCTGATAGTGGGAAGTGTCTACTTAAAACCTAATCCATAATCAAGATTCAGAAATACGCATCGTCTTCATGACCTTAGTTCCTTGAAACCAAACCTTGGGAAAAATCACTTTGTAAGCCTCCAGAAGACACACCAGGACCTAACAGACTAATGTACAGCTGCTTGTACCATCAAGGAGATCATCGCTGGAGCATCAACAGAGAGCTGAAAACCACTTTGTGCCGATGAAACAAGTTCCAGGCGGCTACATGGAACTCCTGCGTTACTAGTAACACCTCAACATCCGTGGCAATCCAAAGTTTGGACACCCTTTCTCATTGAAAAAACATGCACTCTGCTAGTGAGTGTGTGTGCATGTATGTATGAATGTATGAATGAATGTATGCACGAACGTGTTGGGAACTATAGTGCAACAGAGGGGGTGGATAATTGTAGAAAAAAAAAAAAAAAAAGGTAAACGCATTTCAATAGTGACACAAAGTCTCCCTATTTAACAGGGTTATTGCAACAATGCTGATACTAATATAAGGACTCGGGGGTGAGGTACAACGATGCCCTGTCCCCTCACAGATGAGGAGATGCCCCCGTCATGGGCCACAGTCCTTTCTGCTGATGCTGCTCCTTAGGCCATGCTTTTCTCAGGGAGAGAGTTACTTTGGTGACCTCTATGAACATGTTTGCACGACAAAAGTGCACTGCTGTGACAGGACCTTTGGCTATGGGCAGATATTATTCCTATTATATCACACAGATAACCAAAACACAATAGGATTGTTCTACTTTGTTGTGAGACGAATACCGTTGCGCTTCAGGGTCTTTACGGAGTTTAAACAAAGATTATTTTGTCTACATTTTATGGCCAATCACTAGGCGTTACCATTTCCATCTGACCTACATTTCAGTTATTCCCATACCCCTAACAGAACATTGATTCATATTTGATTAATTGCCTATAGTCTTCGTTAAATTGGAAAGGGCAGACTTTATCTGTGGGTGTGGTGGTAGGAGCACTAAAAGGAGAGGCAATCAGTTAATTCTGTTGCAATGTCAGGATATTTTAAAAGGTTGAGCACATTTCAAAACATTTCATTTTGAATTTTTTGAATGTTTAATCATGTTTTAGATTAAGAAAATGTGTGCGGAACTTCCTTAGAAATAAACTGTTCTCTGTCTTTGTTCCCGAGGGCTTACAGTTTCTAGTTCAGCTTACTTGAAAGTTTTAAGGCAATCTGTTTCCTGATTATTTCTTAGTAAAGTGAATGGTTGGATTAGTAAAGTTAACTTTCTTATTAGTACTGCTTACTTAATATAACTCAGATCTTTAAGTTGTCTGAACTGACTATTTATTGTCAACATAATTAATCATTTTACATGTTTACTGCAGTTACATGAGTTGCCTAAACTCAGCTATTTTCAGTATTAACAACTTAAAATGAATGAGCGACTTAGAAATTTTGAGGCAATCGGTTTCCTGACTCTTTTCAAGTAAAGTCAACTTATTACATTTTACAGTGCAGGTCTATTACTACAGTAGTGCTGTTACATTATTACACAGACGTTTGAATGCAGTAATGTGTTCATCCGTTTAGTTTATGACTTTGTTGTTGTTATGCTCCTGCCTTCATTTAGTCTGTTCAAACATATGAGGATTTTGACATTTAGCAAAGGAGACTACCATTAATCAAGTAGTGGGTTGAGAGCGGATTATTAAATGTCACTCGGGTAGTGAGTAAGAGCTAATTCGTATGGTAAAAACACCCAGATACACAGTCTCTAATCAGCCTTAATCGGTTCTTAAACCAGTGTTCTTTGAATCACAGCGTACAACCCTGTGCAAACAAAACATTCATGATATCATGAAGTCAAGTCGAGGCGGAACTTTACCTTCATGATGTCCAATCTCTCCTCATCACAGCGGACAAAGACACTGGAAGAGGATGACAGTGGCAAAGAGGTGGACAGGGTGACGGCCTCCTGGGCAAGGCGGCGGGATCGGGCTGCGCTGTTTGTATCGCTTGCGTTCTTCACCTGAGAAATGTAGTGGTAGTTGACCCTTAAACATCACTTTTCCATCCTCGTCCTCCGAGACCATTTCAAAGGTGTCTGGAAATAAAAGACCAGAGTAAGGAAGTTGTGGAGTGAGGGGGTGTTACACAGAATGCACCCATCACTAGTGAGAGAGACGTGTTACATAGAACGCACCCATCACTAGTGAGAGAGACGTGTTACACAGAACGCGCCCATCACTAGTGAGAGAGACGTGTTACACAGAACGCACCCATCACTAGTGAGAGAGACGTGTTACACAGAAAGCACCCATCACTAGTGAGAGAGACGTGTTACACAGAATGCACCCATCACTAGTGAGAGAGGCGTGTTACACAGAACGCACCCATCACTAGTGAGAGAGGCGTGTTACACAGAACGCACCCATCACTAGTGAGAGAGACGTGTTACACAGAATGCACCCATCACTAGTGAGAGAGACGTGTTACACAGAACGCACCTATCACTAGTGAGAGAGGCGTGTTACACAGAACGCACCCATCACTAGTGAGAGAGGCGTGTTACACAGAATGCACCCATCACTAGTGAGAGAGGCGTGTTACACAGAATGCACCCATCACTAGTGAGAGAGGCGTGTTACACAGAATGCACCCATCACTAGTGAGAGAGGCGTGTTACACAGAATGCACCCATCACTAGTGAGAGAGACGTGTTACACAGAATGCACCCATCACTAGTGAGAGAGGCGTGTTACACAGAATGCACCCATCACTAGTGAGAGAGGCGTGTTACACAGAAAGCACCCATCACTAGTGAGAGAGACGTGTTACACAGAATGCACCCATCACTAGTGAGAGACGTGTTACACAGAACGCACCCATCACTAGTGAGAGAGGCGTGTTACACAGAAAGCACCCATCACTAGTGAGAGAGACGTGTTACACAGAATGCACCCATCACTAGTGAGAGACGTGTTACACAGAAAGCACCCATCACTAGTGAGAGAGACGTGTTACACAGAACGCACCCATCACTAGTGAGAGCGGCGTGTTACACAGAACGCACCCATCACTAGTGAGAGAGGCGTGTTACACAGAATGCATGGTTCTAGAAACCATTGAAACCCTGAATACAAACCTGTCTGTCATCACCTCTTATACTTAGTTAATAATTATATAATAATTCTAAATATTATATTGTGGTAGTATAAATGTAATTTGGTGCAGACGTCTTCTAGAAAGTGTTTTTGACCACATTTGAATTGTTTTGGAACAGCTAAATGCAAACAAATTTGAATAGAAGCAGATATTTTATAGATTACTCCCCAAGCCTGTATCCACAGTAATGTAAAATCTAGACAGTAAGTTATAGTGCAAACCTCACTAGCTTGAGCTTTCTATTCAGAGTGCACACCTAAACAACAGTCTTCACAGTCACTTGCAATTACTTCTGACATGAAGCTGCTTACAAAACCAATTGTTGCTGTCAACTGTTTTAATGACTTATGACATGACTGAGTGAGAGTGATGGACAAGACCAAAGTGTAGACCATGATGGTATCCTAGTCCTGTCAGAATTATATAGCACGAGGGCATTATCGATCATATCAGACAGCAGATGGGAGACATGACAGTGTGTGTGTGTGTGTGTGTGTGTGTGTGTGTGCATCTGAGGAAAGGAGGAAGCCTTTAGGGGAATCGTGGTTTATGCCCTCGTATTATTATTATGACACGTTTGCACAAAGTAAAACCAACAGGCATAGATGCTACACATTAGGATCACACTTGTAGGAAAGAATAAACAAAAGAAAATGCACACTTACAGTAGATGTGCAAGGACACATTTACTGTAAGTCTCAAAGCAAACTCACCAAACTGCAGTTTCTTCATAGCAGCAACGTATTTTTCCTCCAGAGAGCGAAGGATGGACAGGGGCTTAGGCCGACATGACACCTTCCTTGAAGACTCCACCAGCTTCCTCTCTGGTAAGGAGGTGGGTTTAGGGCATGAACAAAAATCACATTAAAAAAAAAGAGTAACCGTGGAAGCGAAGCAGCAGCTTCAGAACATTTTCCCCTGAGAAAATCCTGCAAAGCCAGCCTGCCAAAGGGCTATTTATCAGACAGTCATCTTAGGAATGAACTGGCTGCCATCTTTATCAAACACACATACACTGTGTATCTTTAAGTACTATACAAGCTGCTGCAGTCCACCCATTGTAATCGCATCCGCCCGCGTGAGCAGCACGGGTGCACTGTAGCACAGCGCATCCCATTAATAGTTTTGGAGCAGCAACACTGCTTTACTGTCACCAGAATGCAGCTGCCGCGCAAAATAACCTTTTTACAGTCCTTTACAAAGAACGTGAAATGAGCTGCCACCGTTTGGGCCAACAAAGTGACATGCGTGGGTTTTATACATACCCTGGTTGGCCTGCCGTAGGCTGGTGGTAGCAGTGTAGACGATCTCAGCTGTCCTCTGGATGTCCGGCACCAGCAGAGTCAAACCCTCAGGCTCTGGATCGGAGCTGTCTGGCTTCACCACACCTTTGCTTTTATCTTTTTTGGACCTGAAACACACAGATATACCATCAGCCATGATATAATAGTGTGATGTTTTACATTACAGAAATCCAATTTTGTTATTAAGTTATTCAAAAGGTAAAGCTAATTATTTCCCCCAAATTATTTTTTTCTGACAACGACACAGGTTCATTTGGCATAATGCTCCCGACACAATGGCTAAAGTGGATCCATTGAATTGTCCACTGAATTGAAAAACATAATTAGTCTTTCGCTTCGCCACATATAGAGTTGCTCCTGTGGGTTAACATCACAGAGCTGACTGAAGACGTTCTCAATGCTGCAGGAGAAGTTCAGTGACACAAATGAGTCCAACTGTCCAATCAGAAGGGTCCGTCCTCTGCTAGATAGGCCCTACCCGATTTGCACATAGTCAGCTGTATGTAGCGGACACTTGCAGTAATGCTCTGCTGTCTCATCAGCGGATGGGGAACTCCAAGGCTTTCTTCCTGCAGAGTGTTTTTCTGGAGTGGCTGGATCAAAGTATTCATTGAGACATAAGTATGTTCCAGCCCAAATGATCAGATAACCTTTGGTATGTGGAGGTGTATCGCTGTATATAGCTGTGAGTCAAAGTAAAAAAAGGAGAAAACCCAAGTTGCATTAACCACGATTAAGTTATGTGGATTTTGACCACCTCACCTGAGGCGATTGGTGTAAGTGTCAACACATGTCTTCATCTTAGCCAGCAGCATCCCTACAGAAGTCTGCCCCTCAGAGTGTTCTTCATCCTCCTCGTCCTCATCCTGCCCCGGGTTTCCAGAGAGAGGCAGCAGCAGAGGAACCAGGGCCGTGGAGGTGGAAATAGCCCTAAGGAGCTCCAGCAGAGCCCGATACAAGGGCACGTGACGGGCCATATCCAGCACTGCAGGGACAAAAACAATGGAAAGTGTTATGTTAGCTTCTCAAAGGATAGAGGAACAAAATATATTGCAGATAGAGATCTGTTTTAAAAGAATTCCCATATTTCCCACATACACTGCGTTGATTGTGGTAAATTTACATTGACATGTATAAATACTCTTCATAATCAATTGAAAGCAATATAGACATTTTCCAACCAGTTTGTAATGCTACAATGTTATAGTAGTGAGCGTGGAAGAAATCCTGTATTATCTGGGACTTTACAGGGTTTGTATTTAATGAGGAAAAAGTTATCGGTTGCAGTAAATCATGTTCTTGGGTTAATATGCACCTACCTAACGCAGGCAGCTTTTAGGTCACTAAGACAACCGTCCAGAAGTTTCCCATTATCACTCTTCTCAAAAGACCTCAGCCACAAAATGTTCTGCATGTTCTGCCAAGTCCACAGACTTCAGGTGGACTAATAGAAACAGAGTCTGGACTGGACCATTCTATTCGAAATAAGGCAAGTTTAATTTTTAGACACAATAATGCTTCCACACATGTGACCACAATTCAGAGCCAAGCGCTTATTGAATAGTACCACCAGATCACGTGGGTTTATTGTTGACCGGGTTGAGGGGACCTGAACTCAAGGTGTGATTCAACAGAGAAAAACACCAGGAAAGGGTTTGAAAATCCACATTGTTGTGAGGTAAACTGCAAAGGGAAAAATGTCATGAAATTGTAATTGATATTTAGGAGGACAGCACAATTTTAGAGGATAGAGATGTTATCTGGAATATGTGAACTAAATGGATTTACATATTTTATTTAGTGCTGGACAACCATTAACATTTAACCACACACAAAACATCACTACAGCTCATTTTGTGTGCCGTATTTTGTTAGCATGACTGTAGTTGTGTTGAACCATCAGCACAGGTTTGTGGCATATCTTCATTGGCATCACATTCGGGCCTATTGGTCTACAAATATTGAGCTATTTGAGTAGAGGATCACTGAAATCACTCCCCCGTTAATGTCTGTAGAACAATTGAATGCAATCTGTCCAAATCTTCCAAAAATGATGCTCTGAATATCCAATAATTTGGTTCCAAAAATGAAAGCTAGATATTCTGAAAGCATATAAAATACAGAACAGTGGTTTTATATCTGCTTATCAATTTCACTCTTTGGTCATTTGTGTAGGTGGCTGAAATCTGCCCAGGAAACAGAGGAACTGGTCAGACCGCTATGTAGCTATTTATGCAGCTCTGGTGAAGCGGTCCAACCATGTTACTGGAGTATCCACGTAAATGTGCAGAGCTGCAGTCTTACACATTTCTCTGTGCTTCCCTCAGAGCGGTTACCCATCCAAAACATAGCAGCACTGGCTCTGTTATGGCCACTAAAGCTATTACATTACAGGTCATTCAGCTGACGCTTTTATCCAAAGCGACTCACATTGCATTTTTAACCCATGGCTCGTCCGTCTAGTTGTAGTCAATTCGCCTTCATTCGTCCTCTTTTACCTCGCTTTATTTTGCGGCTGAAAGGGTGTGTGGCTTGTCTCTTAAAGACCATTATCATTTCCACCATGGAAATAACCACTATCTGTGGAAATTACACAAACGTCGGAACCCAAACACAAGGGGGTTTGCTATCTGACTCCATCAGCTCGGTGAATTTCACCGACTCCTCCAGTATGTGTGTGGCTGACTGCCGCTGCCAGCGCTACTTCAGGCTAACCACTGGCCGGTTTGGTATCCTGTTGGGCGGATCGGTGCCAGCATCTCTCGGTTGGACACCAACTAACTTACGGGCGTTCGGTCTCAGCTGCCTGTCTATCAGTCTCCGGTGAGTTTATGAAGTATATTCACGCCTCGGCAGCAGGACGATGGGGCTGATTGGTGTTGGGGGAGAGTTAATCTCTCTCATTAACTTTGTGAACTATTTGTTCTCGCTTTCATGAACTTAGTGACCTACATTCTGGACCAGCACGGTGTTTTATTGTCTGTGTGTCAGACAGACAATCAGGTGTGTCGAACCAAGGAAATAACAACTTACTGATGCGCTCTATGAAAGGCTGAAGTGGCGTTATCGCATTTTACTATTCTACTATGAAGCCAGCACGTGGTTACAACAATGCTTAATACAGTACACACTGCTGCCATTTGCTGTGACCAGTCTACAGTAACAACAGAGCCACAACCCGATATGACGGTCATAGGTCCCTTGCTCACAGCAGTGGTCAATAAAAACCCAGCGGGTCACCACGCAGCACCCGCTCTTGGGGAAGGAGGCGTCGAGCGGGCGGGTCACACCGAGTGGGTGAATGACGCTCGGACTCAAGCTCGCGGCTCGAGAGCGTCTGGTCCTCCTGACCCCTCGAGGGCAGCGGAACGGAGGAGCTTAGACCGTGAAACGTCTCTGCTTACACGCAGTCTGCCTCGGTGGACACTGCAGATGATCTGCATCAAAGATCCACTGTGTGGAACGAGCAGAAAGAAGCCACCTGAAGCTCGGTGTCATTTCAAAGGACAGAGGGAACGGGGCATTTGCTGTGTTTTAGTGCACAAAGAATTCCTTTATAAACAAGTCATGTAGCTTTGAGGCGACATATTCTTTACTAGAAAAGCTTCTATTTGCTGTGGCGGTGTCCTTAATGGGGAGTCTACATGGGTTGAGGTGTAAAATTAGCCCCATGTAGAGAAAAGTGACATCCTATATTTCAGCTGCAGAGGTTAAGATAATGGCAACACAGACTGTTCGCCTGGTGATATTGGGAGTTGTGATTTTCATCTGGCAATTTCAGATCAACTCCTGCTGTCAGCCAAGAGGTGATGCAATACAGATCAGATCTATTCATACACCCGTCCCTATGATCTATAAAGGGACAAACCGCACTGCCCACCATTTGTAAAAGCGGTAACATTTTAAGATTTAAAAGCAGCTGTGGAGCAGTCATGTGCCGCGCTGCTTCAGACCAAAGCTTCCAAATAACTATCTAAATGTGAAATAAATGAGCTGCTTTTCTTGGTGCTGGAGCAGTGAAGCAGTAATAACCACAAGAGGCTCAGACAGCTTCATGGATTTTGGTAAACCTTGTGTGCCGTCTGATGGTTGAAACTGTTTTGGTTAAGACCAAACGTAAAAGGAGTTATGCATCAAACCGTTTATGTAATCATTGACCTGGCCAAAACATTTGGAAACAACAAATCACAAATCATAAAAGCCCTGCAGAAATACAAGATTCATAAAAAACAACACAATGGGATCTGTTCTTTCTTACATGACAATTCAAGTTTCAAGTCACCTCCCCCCATGATGATGAAGAGCACATGGTGGATTCAAGTGTTTGATATTTTGTTCATTGGGGGACTTTTGTTTTAATTATTTTCCAGTGGCTGATACGGGATAAACAGAATGATAATAGAAACAAAGCATGAACAGACAGTATCAGTCTCAGCTAATAAACTAGTAAACAGCTCATGTGAAGTTTGAAGAGCAATCTGCAATCTACTACTGTATCCTTTACATACATGGCCTTTTGAGCTTTGGGCTTTAGGAGGACAGAACTCAAACTGTATGATGTGGGGAAGAGTGAGTCATAATGCTGAATGGAGCCAAAACCTGATTCAACTTTCCTTCCGCTACCTGAACTGGAAGGGAAAGCAGTTTTCCTCATTTATTGACTGCAACAATGGCACAAAGACCTGGAGGAAAGTGACAAGAAGAACCTGCTGCTGACCTAAACAGGGAAGTAACCCTTCTAAACACAGAAGCAGAGCTGTGTGTTTGTTTCAGAAAACCCTCTATGAGGATAAGTACCCGACATGCACCCCCCCTCACATCTTTCTACTGCCTTGGTCTTTGACTCCCAACCAGCTATTGTTGCCCCCTCCTCCTCCTCCTACACAGGTCTGCCACAATTACAGCAGCAACGAGACCAGCCCCCACAGCGGTGGGAGAGGAGGAGACCACCGAAAGCCGAACAATGTCGTTTCCCCCTCCCCTCTCATTATGTTCCCTCATCACCAGGGCCATCGGGATCTGTCCTCCCGCTCTCGCCATCATTCCGCTTATGCAAGGCACATTCCTCCCACGGAGACTAACTGGTGCTGGAGACCTACCGTAACACTGCTGTCACGGGGGTGCAGATCCTTATTGCCATGGCGACTGTGCCTCTCCCCCGACTGCTCCCCGGGATTCTACAGCTTTCTCTCCTCATCTGGAATATCAGCTGCCAAACTCCGGGACGGATTCAGGGACGCGCACTTTGAGTCAGCCAGACCTCATCGTCTGAATCTACAGAAGTGTCCACGCACAGAGCTGCCATGGGGGCTTCAGTGAGGGCAAGAGTCTTTTTGAAAGGTACAAATTGCCCTGTTGCCCAGAGAAGTACGACTTAGTGAAACTGGGGGGAGACGTGGAGGAGTCGCGCAGAAGTGCAGCAGTGACGTGGAACAAGTGAGCGACAGGATGGGAGGAACTGGGGGGAGTCGGGAGGGGGCAAACAGGGAGAGGGGGGGGGGTGTCTCTTCGCCCCCTCAGAAGAGGCTGCTAGCAGCGGGAATGTAAACCTGCAGATGAAAAACAATTGTGAGGAGGAATCCAGTTAAATCGGGGGGCTGTTGACCAGGTGGCGCTGTAGACGGGGCGAGATGAGTTCTGACTGTGGCGCTGCGATCTTTGATTCCTCTCCCCGTCACTGGGACAGTGGCTCCAGTCGTTCTCCCCCCCGGTGCTTCACATGTAGGATGCCTTTTATTAAGCCGTGGTTTTCCAGTGAGGATCCAAACAGCACGCCGGATGACGTTGTCTTACACCTTAGACTCCTTCGGGTAAGGCTCTTTGTCTTCATTCCGTTGTTGTTTTGGGTTTGTGATCTAGTAAATGTAGTAAATTGTAGCTTCGTTCACAGAAAGTTCCCAATTACCTTTTAGGCGCTCAAGCTCTTTGATGCGACACTATTTCCAGCTCCAGCTAAGACTTATGTTGACACGGGGAACCCCATTGAGCTCCACCGGTGGGCATTTATTCTGGGGATGAGGCTGAGTGAGAGCTACTGTCAAGCTGTGACAGGTCGTCTCCTCTCTGCCCTGCTGGCTGGTGTTTTATTCCATTAACCACGGCTTTCACTTTGGTGGGAGGACTACGTCGGCGGGGCTGTTTGGGACTTGTGCCTTACAGGAGGGGGACAGCAAAGGAAGCAATGCTAAGCCCTGGAAGGAGCATGCTCATTCAGACCGTGTTCTGCTGTTGCTTTCTATGCATGTGTGACAACTTCTTACGTGGTCTTTATGATTTCCTTTATTCCAGATAAGTGTCCCCTTGCCAGGCTAGCTAAGCATCAGGTTCATGGGCACCACAGTCATCACCCTGGAGGAAGTGCAGGCGCTGGAGGACAAGGAGGAGCAAGAGGAATCCACCCTGGCCTTGTTAGGCATCATTGGCACGTTCCTTAACCTCTTTGTAATTGTTTTTGTTTACGTTTACACCACGCTGTGAAGTGCAAACCTTATTAGGCTCTAAAAACCTGTCGCCAGAAAAGACTTCTCTAAGAAATTAGGGATGTTGGGCGGTGATCTGTCGCACAAGCCGTGTGACTTTTGACCTTTCCTGTCATGTGTGTGCCAATAAAACATTGAGGGGAGTCGGGAAGCAAAGGTCAACGACAAAGTGACATATTGGGGGAGGTTGATATGAACATCTTCCTCAGAGGGAGGAGGAAGCAGGACAGGCTAGATATGGCTGAAGATGAAGAAGCCATATTCACCAAGTCACACCCATGAGCCGGGCAGAGAACTAAGGGCTGGCAGCCATGGCAGCAACTAGGCTGAGCAGAGCCAGCAAGCCCCCTGTGGCCTGATGGGAAACACAAACTTGCACTTGATCGGCTTTTTCTTGACTCCTGCACTGGCAGGAAAGATGAGCCAAACAAGACATTGAGGGTTCTCCATTCATCCTTTGTTAACGTTTCAGTTGGTGGGACTACGAAAGCGACCTGCACTGAAGGGATTTTAGGAAACAAGATTTTCAGCAGGGGGGAAACCACTAACTGTGCTGTGGGGATTCATTGTTCTACTGCAGCTTCAGGGCCTCTGCCCACAGACGGAGCTCTGAATGAGCTCTCCTGTAATGCAAGTTCCTAAATGAACGGCTGGATCAAATATAATACAATATGTGACACAAATCTAACATGATCAAGGTTACTGGGTTGAGCCAGAAATGAAAAATAATGAAAAATGTAGCTCTTTTTACAGATTAAAGTGAGCCTATTTTCCACATTTTGAAGTTGGCAAGTGGGGAGGAGCCTTCTTTTCATTTGTCTGTTCATTTTCAGTTCAGCGTAGTGTCAGTAAACCTTTTCCTGTATCACAAGAGGTTTGTATAACTATTTGAATAGAGTCTAGATGTATTGTGCAATAGCAGAAGTTTGATCTTTGAGAGCACCATGATTCCAGTGATTACAAGGATGATCCCATTCCACCCCATCCACTTGACAGGGTCTACCTGCCCTTTCAACTGAGAGGAGGAAAGCCTGTGCTAATACAATCAACAATGAATTACTCCACAGGAAGGTGCGGTAATGAATGAAGGTGTGCATTTGTTAATTATATAGAACTTATTTTCTGTACACAAGGTCAAGCGTTTATTTTTCTTACGAGGAGGGTAAAACCTGTGAAATAAGACATGATAAATGGAACAAAGAATCTAAACCCTGTAGTGATCATTCAGACACAGCCTTATTCATCGCAAGGGATGCTCGATTAAAACAGGGGGAGGGAACAAGGCTAGATGTAACAATATAAAACGACATCGGATCTTGAAACCAACAAAACGTGCATTGAATCCATTCTTCAATTAAGATGAATTACTGTTGGGGTCACATTCAAAGGTTTTACCTCTCCCTAATGGCTTAGATCCTTGCGGTGGAGTAAAGCCATGGCGATCAGGTGTATTTAGCGCTGCCTGTTCCTCCACAGATTTAAAAAAGGTACACAACCAACACTAAAGAACCAACAATGGGCGGATCTTCAACAAGACTCGTGCTTTGATGGACACTGTTGATTATGGACAATGGTTCAAATATATTGGTACAGCAATTCCCTTTTACAAGAGGTACCATTCAGCAGTAGGTAATTTTATTTTATTGACAGAAATAGAATTTTTTGGCCACAAAGATGCAAAATAACTTCACAAGAAGCTTAAGCTTAAATGTTTACAAAGATCTCTTCACCTCTTCAAACAGCTCCATGATTGAACAAGCATTTCTGCTCCTTAGGGGACATATCTAGCTCTTAGCTGCTAAATGCTCCGTAATGTTCACCAGCTGGTCACTAACTTGATCAGTGTGCGGTTTGGTGCTGGACAAACAGGGTTCAGGGTACAGAGAACAGCTGCCTGTGGCTGCTGCAAACAAGCGGTGAACTTAAAATCCAAAAGGTCAACAACATGATCTCACTCCTCTTTATGTCTGTATGCCGCAGACAATCAACAATCTTAAGCAGGGACATGCGTCCCTATTGTGTTCGTGTAGCTATGCCAGAGACAGAGCATAGGCCTCATGTACTCCTCTAACCTGAGAGAAGCAGCCAAGCTGTCAGGTCTGAGTGTTTTACTGCAGGCTCCTGACATTGATTGACAGCTCAGAGCTCCTATGCAACCGGCTCCTTAACCGAAGGTGGTCCGGGAGCCCCCAGCTTTCATTTGACTGGATGCACAATGACTTCCAATTAGCTACATTGAAGGGTTAATTAGCAAAGCATTATTTCATCATTGAGGTTATTAAGGACATTTACCAGATAATGAGGCGCAATTACAACACTCATATTAGATATTATTTATCAGCTATTATGTAATTATGAGGGTAGTGGTGCATTAGCACATGCCAGCATGCACAGAACGAGATGCTCCTGCAAAGTGCAACAGCCAAGGAGCATAATCATGTAGTGCTCGCTGGGGGCTGGGGGGGTAAAATCTCCCTGTCTCTTACTGCAAGAAATCCGTCTTATCCAAACACAAGATGATGCAATCTAACGTCACAAAACCTCACACTAAAGTTTCAATTGATGTAATAAAATACTACTAAAAAACTACAAAATCCAGTAACGTTGTAGCTGTGGCATGTGCACATCTCAAATAAAAAAGGCTATTTACAAGTATTTGGTAACGGGATTCTTGAAACAACAAATCATGTACATTATCCTTTTTTCTTTGACTCTGGGTTCACAAACCTGTTTGAAAAGCATTGAACCACATCTCACTGTTTCCATTGCAGCATGGAGCTGGAGCACAACAAGCTAATCAGTTGACCCCTGTGCTCTTCTACTTTGTTGTTTCATTTACATTGATGGAGTAAATTTGACTGAAATTGTTTAAACAATAAACCTCCAAAAAAGTCATTTGAGTTATTTCCCATATTGCACAGCGTCCTGTGAGTGGACTACACAAGAGTCTGAGTGAGCCTTCATGAATTGAGGCACAAGGAAAGAGTTTAAAGTGCCACTGCGGGCAGAATACAAAGGGTCAGCTCAGCACGAATAACCTGCAAATCCCAGAGGAACCGAGCTGGAAAGGCATTGCTTGGCCACCGCGTTAACGGGCAGGGACCTCGGCTCGGTTACCAGAGCAGGGTCCGAATAATAGATTATGGCTTCAACCCACAACTGTAATATACTAGACAAGTTATAATCCAAAAGACCACACTTCTACGCACTCTGATCAAAGACAATGTACACGTCTGGTATAAATTGCAGAGCATTATTTTCAACAAAACAAAGACAAGAAGAAATCAAAGTGGAAGGACTGGTATTTTCATTGTTGAGTATGAAAAGAACACTGTGCTTGATGGTTGCTCAGACAAGCTGGAGTAATTAAACATGTACTACTGTGACTTCAGTGGGATTAACAGTAAGACATGCACAGGTTCAGGTTCAGTCAGAGACACTCTAGCTCCATCTGCTGTTTCATTTGGCCAAAAGGAGCATGATTCATAGCACGCAGGGAGAGACAAGCAGAGGGCTTCCAGTATCATTGAGTATCATTCACAACGAGCTGCTGGCTTCACTGTGAGAACTCCAGTCTGCCGTTGTCCCTGAGATTAAAGACCAGAGTCATCCAAATCCACTGTCTCAGCAGCAAAAGGAACCTTACCAAACAGACTGTGCAGAAAGTCAGCAGACAAACATCTGTGAGTGAAATCATTTCATGGAATGAGGAACCTTCTGAGCACAACCATGAACAGCTTCTTTGTTGCACACACTGGCCTCTGACCACACCGTGGCCCCTCACATGTTTAGTGCATAACCCCTTTTTCCTTTCAAGCGTTGCCAGAGCAGATGGACAGGTTGCGGAGCAGTCGCCACCGAGGACTGCTTCAGGACTCAAAGTCCACCAACCTGCTACGTCTGGACGCCCAATGTAAAAGGCGGCCGTCTAGATGGCCATGATGTCTCTCTGACTATAAATAGGTAGCCTACCGGAGTCATTGCGTAGGTAGGAGGACATGGCAGGGATAAGGCAGGATTGGCATAGCAGCTCCTGCAGCACTGCTGGCAGCGCTGAGCTGTTGTGGGCTCTGCTGTCCGCTGAAGAGCCATCAACACCGTGGCTGCCGTTGGAGCCCGCTGGGTTTATGTAACTTGCCAAGACCTGGTGAACAAAACAGAATGGACATACTGTGAGACAGATGACTCATACAACCGGTCCACCCCGCTTAAACTGACAGAGGTAAGAACTGACTATGTGAGCAGCACCCAACTGAGGCCATTTCTACGTTGGACCACGCTATGTGATCATGGTACACCAGACTACAACAATTTACCTTCACCTTAATGGGGACACTTCATGTGCTTGTATTGAGGGGACACATCACTGCTCCTTTGCCCAGATGCAGCGCTCCGTTCATGGTTTCTCATGTTACGCAGAATGTACACAAAATGTTTGGGAGGTAATCATGCTCAAAGCAAGTGCTACCAGAGGCGTACATACAGTGCCTTGTACAGTGCTAGTATTCATCCCCTGTGGACTTTCCCCCCACTTTTTCCCGTTACAAACTACAATTCAAATAGACTTTAATCAGAGGTGCCCAATAGAACGCCTGCCATTGGGAAAAAATATCAAGTCGGGTCGCTGCCAGAAAATTAGTGATCGTTGCTTACTAATGGACATTTCATTTAAAAGCAACCCTTGCCGACTCCAATCAGTATAAGTCATCTGGGCATAAGGTAATGACCAAGAATGTATGTGACAGTAGTGACTAATGAAGGAGAGTTGTTGTTACGGTGACACAAACAATAATGATGAAAAAGTTGACATCTGTTGGATGCTGAAGTATTCACCCCCCCTGAGTCAGTACTTGGTAGAACCCCCTTTCACTGTGATTAGAGCACTAGTTTCAAGTCTTCTGCAGACTGCATCATATGTTCTTCAAGGATTGCCCTGGATTTGGCTCCCTCCATCCCTCCGTGTTTTCCATTTTTTGATGATGGATTTTATGGTGCTCTGTGAAATGTTCAATGCTCGAGATGTTTTTCCATAACACTGCTTCATACTTAGCTACAAGTTTGTCCCTGAGCTGTTTGGTCTTCATGATGCTCTGTAACAACCTCTGATGGCCTCATTTATACAGAGACTAAATTGAATTGACTAATTATATGTGACTTGCTAATGCGACTTTCGATCACACCAGATCTTTGTTAGGGGTTTTACAGTAAAGGGGGAGCACTCAACACTTTTCAGATATTATTTTAAATTTCATGCAAACTTTCCCCTGACTTCCGGATGATGTCCACTGTCCTCATTAAAACATAAAGCAACGTTTTGACATGTAAGCTTCGACACACGGTCAAGCCACCATACGTCTGAAATGAAATATACAATGTGGGATTGACCTGCAGTAGACAGGTGACGTGTTCCTCTTCTAGCCGTTGTTTGGTGAGGGCCTGCTCCACGTCCCAGCCTGAGGCCGTGGATCCAGTACCAAAACCAGTTCCTTTGGCCCAGTAAAGCTGCTGCTCCTCAGTGGTCCCTGCGCCGTGACAACTGGATATCTGTGGCTGTCGACAAAGACACAGATATAAGGTCATGTAGAGCCAGGGAACTTTATCTCAGAATATTTTCTATACTCGTACAGTACCACTCAGAAGTCTGGATACACTTTCTCATTGAATGGAATAACAAACTGTGTCCAAACATTTGACTGGTACTGTATGTGTAGGAGAACGGTGGTGGCCAGTGTTTAAAGAATGGGGGCAAAACGACTGATTAGTGAAATTCAAGAAGGATGAAAGCCCACTTTTATCCTCAAACATGCTGAAAGGAAGTATTCATGGGATTGTTTTGATGGTCATATGGAGTAAAAGTCTGAATTAAGGTAATGAGCATATTCTCTACAAAGTGCCAATGGCCTCTTTTTATCTGTAGGTCTGAACAATTAGTAATTTGTCAAGAGCTTGCTGAGAGATGAACAACAAAACAATCATCACGGCGAAAGGTCTTCATGCGTATCCTCCCTGTGTGTGCGCCATACCTCGGACACATTAGTGCTGGCGTTGGGGTTGCGAGGGGCGTGATGGCTGAGGGCTGACAGACAGGCCAGGATGAGGTGGATGGCTCCAATCTCCAGAGCCATGCGGCGGAGCAGAACGCCGTCGTCAGTGGTCAGAGGAGTGCTGCTGAACAACGCTCGCAGCACGTGGAACGGCAGCGTGGGCAACACGTTGGCCGAAGGAGACTGCAGGATGTGACCTACGAGGATGACAGTGGCATCAGCAGAATGTTCAACGGGCCTCTCTAGATTGCTCTGTGACCTGTATCACTAGACAACAAAAAAAGACTAGAAAACGATGGTCCTATTAGATTCACGACAGAACATCTCACTAATGAGTTCCGAGTAGCAGCAGTAGGAACGGCCACAAAGACATGATTAGTATTCAACAGCTAATGTGAAGCCGTCCATTTGATGGAAAAAGATCTCGTGAGTGGCTGTGCACTGCTGTCAGACTTACTGCCCTCTCCATCGTCTGTGACACCCAGCACCAGGCGCAGCAGACACTGGGCGTGCTTCCTCTCCTTCAGCAGCACCTCTGCATACCCCGGCAGGCGCAGGAAGAGGCCGAAGGCTGCCAGGGAGTGGGCGGGGATGGGCGACATGGTCTGCACCGAGGAGGACGACGCTGAGGACGACTGGGTCTGCTGCTTGTTGATGGGCGGCGGCTCGGCGGCGATGGACTCTGGCGCCTCGTACACCAGCTCGCCGGACTGTTCGATGGTGACCCACTCAAACTGGTCGCTGTCCTTTGGTTTCTCCTGCGTGGCCGAGGGCACCACCGGGGCGCTGACCTGTGAACGACCATCCGGGAGATTAGAATTTAACCCCAGCAACGGGGATGGTGCCCGAGACAATGCTGACAGGGGACATCAGGAGAGTCCTCATCTGACCAACTGGAGGCTCAAGGAGAGGAGGCTGGCTTCTCTTCATGCGGTCAATAGAACTTGTAACCAGTGATTAGTCAGTATCCATTAAACTGTTTTCATTATGACTTGTTTGGTTGGAAAACAGCAGAAAAATGTATGAAAAAGTAAATCTCTTTCTGGTGAAGTTGAACTATGTTCTGTTCTTCTCATGGTCCTCAAAGATTAAATCAGATACATTTCAGAAGCTTCTCAAGGAACATGAAAAACGCCTCCCCAAAAAAAGATGGGAAATGGACCTAGAGGGATTGTTTTGTGTTTTAATCTCATAAAAAAATCCTGTACATTTGTAAAATGATTGCAAACAATGTGTCAGTACAACATACACTAAAGCAATTTCTTAAAAATATTTTTTTTAAGTATTCATGTTGCAAAGTATATGCATGTCCTTGACAGGGTAGATGTCCCCTGGCCTGAAGAATTATACTTTTTATTGTTTGGTTCAAATGTACAATACAATTTTTCTCCTTTTGGTGCTTTTATACATGAAGGTCAAATATAGTTTGGCTTTTTGACAGGAAATTGGACAAAGTCCATTAAGGAATGCACAATAATAAAGTGCAGTTGTTGGAAACCTTTAGCTGTACTTTAATGGTAATGGTGCCTCCTCCGTGCACATGTCCTTGTCTGGGTGGGCCTCTCACCTGCTGAATGACATCAGGGTAGAGCATGGGCAGCCTCTCTGCGATCAGCGCCAGGCCGCCCATGCCTGCAAAGACCTGCAGCGGTGACTGGATGGGGTTCGTCTCCAGCAGGGACTCGTCAGTGGCGGCGTCCAGACATTCTTCACTGGCTGCCATTGGTTCGTCCTCGGGACAGCTGTTCAGTATGTCACAGTGATCCACTGCAAGTAGATGGTGTTTAGGACACGCGTTGGCACAATTTGGATTTTAAGTCCTTCTAGTCCACTTTGAGAATTGTCCCAAATGACGAGTCGGTTTTGTTTTATAACTTCTGTATGCATAGTATATCCTCTACTGGGATGTGGTACACGAGTTTGAATATGTTTCAGTTGATCTTAATCAACTTTGCGTGAGTCAATTCAATCTGTAATACAGTAATTAACTAGTTTTCCTGGAAATGGAACTGTATCCAGGACAACGACCAGTTTGAACAGCTCTCGAGATATGCACATCGACACTGATACAAACAGAGGTAGCTTCATAGTTTGATGTCTCTGCGTCTTACGGGGTCACTGTTTATTACGTTGTCAGGGAAGAAGAGATTAGTAGTAGTTAAATAAAGCGTATGCCGAGTACCTTTAACGCTCACAGCAGTCAGGGTAAAACGTCTCAATGTCTCAATTAGTTTAGAAAATGAAACCTCTGATGCAGGTCTGGATCTGGGAGAAACTCCAATGGGCCAGTAAGATGTTATTTTGTGTTATTTCTGTGCTGCTGGAGTTCTGATCTCTCCAGCTCCCGTAATCACGCTTTCTGAATTCAGCAGTCAGAAATCTGTACCTGCTCATTTTGGGAATGTCACCGGCTGACTGGTCAGAGACACTGGTGTTCAATCCTATGCTATTTCTATGGGCGCGGTCCAATCAGCATCCTGTGAGGAGCTGCAGGAGAAGGCAGAATGGGAAAGGGTTCCTTCACTGAGAGGAGAGCAGAGAACGGCTCTTGAGTCTCATCTCTTACCTCTTCCACACATACAGTCCGATTGATGGGTCGATAGTTCATTCATTCACCTGCCAAGTATAATTGGAAAGACGTGCCCTTTTAAGTGCTTCCCAGATGGCTCTGTGTGACCATCTGGCATGTCAGGTTAGAAGGACTCCTCCACAGCGGTCACCGCTGTTGGGAGTTCCCCTTTAAAGTGACATATAGTTTTATGACAGAATGCTCAGAGGGCGAACCCTGCTGATGGAACCTTATTACTAAGTACAGTGCAGCATAATTGCTTTCACTCGGGCCGCCGTTGGTAAAAAAAAAAAAAAACATGCTGATGATACCATCAATTTTGTCTTTTAAAATACAACGTTGATAGAATATAAAATATAACGTCGAGATAAATATCCTATTGATGCTCATGCCGACAAGAGTCCACTGATAAAGATGGTCTAATATGACAGATTCTTTCTACCCGCTACTGTACATACATTCATTCATTCATTCATAATGGACAAAGGTAACACCTAAGGATCAAATCTTGAAGAAACAATAAACAATCTGCGGGTAATTTCTCCCAATCACAGAGTAAATTCTTTTTGAAAAAGCAATTTTTTTGTTTACACACAACAGATTTCAACGCTCTCCAAATAGTAACTGGATTGAGATCAGAAATCATTTCTAGTCAGTTTAAAAAGATATTTTTTAACAACCTCTCTTGCTTTTGAGCTTTATCAGCACAAAATACTCTTTCCCATGGCTATCATTAACTTAGTACATAATTTTTCCTTCAATTTCGTATTTATTGTCTAGTGTCTACGGGGCCGAGCGTTGCATTGTACAGATATGAAGCATCATTCAGATTACAGCGTATGAGACTTAAGTGAACGTCTGTTTTATTCAAACAAGTTCACACAATGCTGATTAAGCAGGAAAAAGTTCTGCCGTCTTGGTGAAACAGTCCTGCACTGACCAGACTAAAATAACTCACATCTCGCTAATTACCAGTAATTTTATAACTCCACAATTGGGTCAGAGTTTGAATGCAGTTCTGAAATGAAAATGAGCAGTACACAAAGTACCATCAACCAAGCTCGCTTAGTTAGTCACATGTAACGGCTTGTAGCATCTCTCTGATTAGTCAGTGTATGTGGGTCCTAATGATTTTACCAATTGACACGGGGGGGGGATCATTGTGGCGGTCCAATAGAGTCCAAGGAAAGAAGGCTCCATATAAAAAGAGAAAGAATTAATGTCCCAAAAAGAAGAGACGGATGAATGGCAAGAGAGCTCCCCTTGGGAAGCATTGGTGGTTCACCACCTTTAGAGACAACGTTACCACAGGGATTGTTGTGCATCCAACATAGAACCAACTAATGAATGAGGAAATTCATGGCCAACTATTTGTTAAATTGATTATCATCAAGTAGTTGTTGGAGCCCTTGGAAGTTAATTAATGATGCAGGACGACACCACCTAAAGGTCATCTTCAATCCCTTGGCTCACACCAACGATGTGAACTGCACTGCAGGTCTATTTAATAAGCTTTTGATAAATTCCATGGGAACTCTCAGTGGAGCAGGAGACCATTGGAAGATTTGAACCTTCACTAACAATCGCTGGGATATGATTTTAAAAGCAGAGTGGTACCTTTCTCTGTGCGTAGTCTCTTGAAGGAGTCGGTCTTGGAAAGACCAGGATCAGAGATGACCTTGGAGCCCAGTTTGACTGTCAGGTTGATAGACTGGTAGCCCTGCGGCAGCTTGCGGTCGTGCAGAAGTGTCAGTAGCTGGGCCAGGGTCATCTCAGATGGAAGGGGCTGGCCTGGAGCAGAGGAGGGAGAAAATGTAAAAATTCCCTCCTTTCACACATGAAATGAGGCTCAAACACAACGATGTCCTGCTGCACTTGAATATGTAGGACCTGGAAGCAGCTTGTGGTACAGGTGGAAGACAGGCACACTGATGGTTTTGGCAGAAGGATCCACACCAGACGACGCAGTCAACTTGTCACTCATCACGCGACCCCTCCTTGATGGAGGTCTTGGAGGGGTTGAAAGAGCTCGCTTGGACTGGGACTTCAAGCCTGAAGACGGATGCGCACAGCATGTAAACATTACGGGGATAGTCTTGTTTGCATCCATAGATAAACCTATTCTAATTTGAAACACTATACATTTGTGCCGGATCTCGGTGGAACAGGATTTTTGACAGCCTGTGTTACGCATCTATTATCTCACATAATTTATTCATTGATAACAAACAATAAAGAGAAAAAGTAAAGTGAGCATTGATCAACTAGAAATACATTTTCCGCTTAAAATGCGTTGGAATGCTTAAAGCTGGAAGCAGAAATGAATTTCAAACAATTGCTGAAAATACAGAAATGAAAAGGCTGAAATCAATTTTAGGAAATTGGTGAAAATACTGAATTGCAGTATTACTACTACCACTACTACTAGTAGTAGTAACTGTACTACTACTAATAGTTTTAGTATTACAAGTGGTGTAGTAATTAATGGTGCCAATGCAGTAGGAATACTTATAGTAGTATCAGTTGTACTAGTAGTAGTATTATTTGAAACGGCTTCATTCTGCACTTCATGGTTACAGATATTCATTGATGCTTTTATTTTGAAATTGGACATTGTGTAAGAGGGGGTTAGTTGATTGTTTGTCCTTCAAACTAAGAAGTTATAAATTGATATGCCTCATCACAAGCATTACAGTGACAAGAATTCCCTCGATGGGGCTTTATTTTGAAATTATGACAAACCGAAAGAGTTATGGCGCTTTTCCACCGAGCGGTACGGTTCGGGTCGGGTCTGTTAACCATGATTTGGCAAGCATTTCCACCGCCAACAGTACCCTTACTTGATAGGCGTGGTGTATTCCAGAAAGTAGTGATAACGTCACTTGAAAACTGAACGCTAACCGCAAACAACAATGGAGGACGTACAGCCAATCCTGTTCTTGCTTCTCGATATGTGGCTGTTTGTCACAAGGCAACATTGTTGCGACGGTGTTGTAGTTTAAAAATGGCGCCTCGTGTGTTGTCTTTCCCCTTGCCACACATGCAAATGACGACACTCTTCTTAACCAATCAACGTTCTGCAGTGAGTCTAGCTCCGCCCTTTAGTACCAAACAACTGTGCCAGGTTCCCCAACGGAAGGGTGATACCCAAAAAGTGTTACGGTACGGATTTTTGGTACCATTCTCAACTTTTGACACAAATAAAAGGGTACTGACCCGACCCGTACCGTACCGCTCAGTGGAAACGCGACATTAATGAGCGAGTAAGAGTGACAGAGACTGGAAGGGAGCGAGAAAGAAAAACAGGTAAAGAGAGAGAGAAAAATGGACAGAGGGACAAATAGAGTGGTGCAGTCGCTGCCATCCCTTCGGTTGGAAGGCCATTCTGAAGTTGGTGCCATGGGACAACTTCATACACAACCACGCACTCTCTTCCTGAATGTGTGATGAAAGACAATTGTCCATCGTTGGACAAGAGGAGCATCCGGAACAGGTGGTGGAGAGGAGGATACTGAAAAACTGTTGTCCATATTGGATAACCTGGAATAACTATTGCACCAATAGCTATTTGAATCCACTGCACATACGATTTCACTTTATATTTTTAAATGTAATTTAATATGTTCTGCTTTGTTATTTTATTATTATGTATATTGTGCATTTTTAATTCCATACGGAATACTTACTGTACACCGTATGTTTACTATGAAACCTTACCTGCTGCTGCTACGTGCACATTCATGAATAAAGTGCATCTATCTATCTCACATTATACAAGTAATAGGGATCAGAGGCTAAACTGTCCCACTTACAACTAGCAGCATTGGGCAGGAGGTGTGGAACCGAGTCAAGTACCTGAGGCCACAACAACACTGTAGTTGTCCTGGAAGCCACTGTCTGCTTTCATCTTTTCCTTCTCCTCATGATTCTTCTTTTCCTTGTCCTCCTTCTGCTCATTGATCAGCTTGGCTGTGATGCTGGGTGTGTCTGTTTGGATGAATAGGAGACAGCATGAATTTAGATGAGTATCAGAATAGTCTTTTAGGTTTATTGTCAAAATGATAATTGTTGAGCTTAAAACTGAATATATTGTCAATGAAGAGGTGTGTGCAGATGTCTCTCCAGGTCAAGGTGGTGATCCATGTTTCATGCACAAAACCAGCTAGAACCTAGAATGTCATGTAGCACTACCCAGCATCTGTACTGCACTCAAATTAAAATTGCCGTTTTGGTTTAAAAGCTGGTTCCTATTAATTGATCCATCGGTTAGAATCTGGTTATTGTGAAAACCTGGCCCCATTGTCCTCGTCTGGCCTTCATGTGGGTAGCTCAACAAACCCATTGGTTCAACCCTACATGAATAGAGTGGAAAACCTAAAGTTCTCCAGTAAATCCTAGCAGAAGACAAAGATTAGAGGCATGTATTCCGCGTAAACCAAAAGGAATCCCATTTTCATGAATTCAAAAGAAGTGTTGGGAGTAACGCGTTACAACGCGTTACTCCCAACTCCCGTTACAAAGTAACGCGTTACAAAGTAGCAAAATTCCGGTGATAAATGGAGGCTCGGTGCAAATGTGCAGGAAGACATTTTCCAACTATTTAGACACTATATGCGAAAATCCGTTCCACGGCGCCCTGCCCTTCACAAAGAGAACTCTTCCCGGGGCTCCCGCCAGCTTCTCCAGAATCGTTTGCGTCTCCGCCACTCTAGGTCCGGGAATCTGAACCCAGCTCCCTTTCGATTTGCCGGGGGCGACGTAGACCATCGCGCCGCCCTTCCGAACGGCGTTCGCCCATCTCTCAGGACCGACTGACCCATGTTCAACTGCTGTTCACATGGAACCCTTCTCCACTTTGGCCTTCCATGCTCTCGTTTGAATATTTGCTACTACCAAAGACGTTTGTTGAGAATCTCATCTCTTAGCTTTGCCTTATGAGGCATGTTTGTTAAAACATTTTGTTAACCTTTTAATAAATCACATACTCAATTATATGCAGCACCTCAAGGCACCTTTCTTTTCTCTTTTAATCAGTGTTAATATTGTAGGCCAATCACTTTTATTTCATTGGGCCTAATGTGGTAAAAAAAAAAACACTTAAATGACAGACAGTTATTTTGTATTAAGTTAAGTATTAAAAGGGACTTTTGTACTACTGCTTGATTTGAAAGCCTGTTGCCCTGTTGATACAATAAATAGGTCTAAAATATGTTTATTGTGTTTGACTGTTCATTACATTAAAAAAGCAGACATAAAAGTAACTTAAAAGTAACTTTACCTAGTAACTAATTACTTTTGATATACAGTAACTGATAAAGTAATTTAATTACCTTTAAAAGTAGTAACTAGTAACTAACTAATTACTAATTTTCAGTAACTTGCCCAACTGCTTATATGGCATGCATTTTAACCACACATTATTATGTTATCAAGACGGGGGGCTATTAAGAATATCTTCTTATTGTGTTTACTAAGTATGAAAATGAATGGGTAATGGTCAACAGCACTAATAAGAGTAGGTTGTAAGTGGGACCGTTTAGACTCTTTGACTTATATATACTTACATAATGTGAGAAGTGCTTGAAACACATACATGTACATTCAAATACACAATTGTCTTTCATCACAGCTCATCACACATTCAGGGAGAGAATGTGAGTTGTTGTGAATGAAGTTCCCTAAAGGCATTAACGTCAGAATGAACCTTACAGCCGAAGGGATAGCAGCAACATTCCTACTGTGTGTGTGCAGGACACAATGCGGCAGGCACACACGCTGTAGGTCAATATTAACGAAGCCAAGACAGGAATCAAACATGGCATTGTATAATTGACTGTCAACCTGCTGTATTCCTACACACTCATTCCCTGACACAATCTGCCTATAAAAATGACTACTATCAAACTAGCATCGATGAAACTCAAGATGAAAAGACTTGACCTCAGACTGGATCCACGGGTGTGGAGTGGGTCATAGTTCAACGCTGTGCAATAGTGATGCTCTTTATCCAGGAGGTTAGAGGAAATAGGCGTTATGTTTCTGCGTAAAAACCTGTGACGCAAATGCTATCCGAGTACAGGGCATTAACATTCCTATACTATGCTAGCAACTGACCGCGTAACGATACTGATGTTTTATTACTCGTGTTCTACAATTGAGAGCCAGCTAGAAAGCCTTTTGGCAAGTGTGGAGCACACACACTCGGACTTGTGTGTGTGCAGTGGTTTCTTTCCCTCACCATGGAAACATATGTACATACATACGTGTACTTGTACGTACTTGTCTTATCTGTTTCTATCGTTTTCTTTTTGCTTGTTTTTATTCTCTATGTGTAACATATCTGGCAATAGATGGCTTCTGATTCAGATTTTACAGTACATACTGTATGTTGTACCCCAATAATACGACGTTGTAGTGGCAGGTGCTAAAGAAAAACGACCAGAACTATCCGTGCAATATTCCTTTTCCTTTGTTCTCGACTGGTGGGAATGTGCAACGTGTGTGTGCGTCCAATATGATGGTAGGGGAAACACCGGAACATACCGGACACCCGGTCCAGGACTTCAGCCAGCGTGGTGGAGATGGGCAGGTGGAGAGTGCGGTATTTGTGGCCTGCCCCATACATGGGATGCTGGATCATGTGGCTTGTGGCATTGATGCGTCCTTTGTATAACTGAGAATGAAAAAATAAATAAGATAATTACACACAACAGTGACGTTAGCAACAGGGCACACACACACACACACACACACACACACACACACACACACACACACACACACACACACACACACACACACACACACACACACACACACACACACACACCTAAGACCACCGTCGGAAAATGTCAATGTCCGACCAGAAATGGAAGAAGTTTGGAACCATCAGGACTGTCGTTGGCTGCCCAGCCACGCTGAGCGATCGGAGAAGGGCCTTTGTGTACTAAAGAGCTTTATTGACAACCAATCACGGAGACTGTGCTGTGCCCTTGTGGTCACAGCTGATTACTACACCACCATGTCATCAATCGCGTTCGGCCACAAATAGGTCAGTCCTGCATGTTATATCCCCCACAAAGCGTGATCTGCTGTGACTTGATTGCTTACGTACAAAGTCTAGAGCCACGCTAGCTGCACTCTCATGGTACGTTCACACCCAAAGCGAAGAGAATTATTCGCGCGAGAGGATTCCATGTAAAGTCAATGCACAGACGCATCTGGTCGCGAATGAGGCAAATTTTAAACGAGCGGCGCGAAAGACGCGACGCACGGGACACGAAAAAGCAAAACAGGCCATCAGACCGGCTGCTGGCCAGCCGGAGTCATCCAGACGCATTCCCTTAAGGAGTCGGTGAAATTCAAGCTGTGTGCGGTGACGGATGATGTCATGAACGCGAACACAACACCGGTTGCGGTTCTGACGTTTGTGTAATTCGCACAACAAATAAAGAGCAGAAATTGTGGTTATTTATTTACATGGTGGATAGAAGAAACAATAACTGTCTTTACGGAGACACGTAACGGAGATAAGCCACGCCCCCTTGCAGGCGCAGATGAGGCGAAACAAAAAGGGACGCGAATGAAGCGAGATAATAAGCGAAAATTTGCTTTGCTGGTTTGGTGTGAACGTACCACGAGGCTGTACTAAGCCAGTTTGGATGAAAACAACATCACTTAAAAAGAGACTGAGCAGACATTCAACCGTGAGCAAGTTACCCACCGGACAGGGAGACTGTAGGAAGACTGTGACCTTCTCGTCCTCCAGCATTAGCTGTAGGAAAAGCCTTCGAATGAAGCCTGAGATGTTTCCAGAAATTGGCACGTTGCCTCGCTGGGGTGCAGATTGGAAGAGCTCACAGAGAACCTGCAGCCACAGAAGATTCAAACAGACACAAATGAGCACATTCAAAGGAGGAGTTTGTCTTTTGACGTCTATATGGCTTTGACGAGTTAAAAAAACACATCGCCGAAAACTTTCAACTAATTACAAATGTATGACAGAGATGCCTGGAGTCTCAGATAGTAACAGCTTTAGACTTTGCCGTCATCCTTAACAGAGAGGAACATAGCTGACCTGAGCCATGAGTCGCTGGTTGTTAGGGTGGCACGAGATACACTGGAGAAAGAAGGCCACAGTGGCGTTCTCCAAAGCGGTCCTCTGCTGCGTGGTGAGTCCTCCTGCCTGCCCAGAAGACGACAGGGAGAAGCGGGAGCCTGAAGCCTGAGGCTGCGAAGGAGGAGGCCGGCCCGCAGATCCAGAGGCCACAGGCTGAGCATTGGCACCAGCACTGGCACTGGAATGGCACAGCAGGAAGAGCAGTGCTGTCCAGAGCGGGTTCACCTCTGGTCCTCCTAACCAGTCCTTCATAGCGTGACTGTTGCCTACTTCAGTCAGGAAACGCAGCACCGGAGCGGCTAGCTCTGCAGCCAGAGGCGGCCTAATGTGCGAGGATGAGGACGATGAAGAGGAGGAGTGGTAGTGGTGATGGTGATATCGTCTCTCAGTCTGAGCAGCAGGCAAAGGCAGGTCGGCACTGGCCAGGAGGCCGACACAGAACTGGGCCAGGCTGCGAACCAGCAGCGATGGTAAGCCCGAGGCCAGCAGCTGCTCTATGGCTCCTGGAGACTGGGAGGCAGCTGCCAGTGTAGTTAACTGCGACTCGGACAGATTGAGGGGGGGTCTGGCATGCTTTGAGTCGTCTGTAAGTCCTGCGGCGCTGGTGTCGGCATCGTGCTGCTTTTTGCCATCGTCCGTCATGGAGAGGCGGTGCTGCTGGGCCTGAGAATGACAGGCGCTGGGCGCTGAAACGATCCCCATCCAGGACATGAGGAGGGAGAAGTAGCTGGGGTGGATGTGACACACAGAGCACAGCAGGCTGTCCACAGCCTTCTTCAGCACAATGCTGCATGGCAACGACATGGACCAGTTATACAGCAGCCTGGAGGAAGGGAACATGGAGACATCAAACATCAGTCATGAACCGGTGTTGTTAATCCTGAAAAATCCATGTACATGCAGTGCATCAACATCGATACCAGAAATATTTTATACTGTATATAGTAACATTCCACAGACTCCAATTTGTGCACCTTTGCTCGAATGTGCTCAATACTAATATCCAAACGTACAGTACCAGTCAAACGTTTGTACAAACTGCCTCATTGAATTGATGTGCACATTTTTGACTGGTATTGTATATAAAGCCTCCATATGGCCCTCGCCATGGCAACAATGAGACAGCAGGTCACAGGTAATGGTTCTAACTGGATAACTGGGCACTAGGGGTCACAGACCAATTATGAGAACACATTTACACTGCTCTGAAAATTGTACAAATTATCTTTCACATTTATTTTACTGCTACATTCAGTCAGATATATTACATTATTATTTAACACGGGAGATTAAAATCTTGGTATTATCAAATTCCTCTGTGTTCACCTACTGAACCCTATTGCTCCAAGTGCTACTGTAAAATGCCTTGATAGGATTATTGTTGTTATTAGAGGCGTTGCTCTGGAGCGTTCGTCTGAATATTGTCCACTTGTGATTAATCTCTGGCTCCCCATGATTGTGTAAACATGTCCTTGAATAAGACATTGGACCCCCATTTTTTTATGGTAGCCTTTACCATCAGTGTTTGAATGTTGGCTTCTGGGATAAAACTAGAAAACTACTACTTACTGCCTGCTAGCAGTACATATTAGCATATTGACATGAGATTTTAGAAAGCTGGTTTAATCATCATAATTTCCCCTAAACCACTTGTAAATCATTCAGTCCTGTTCTGTAACAGATTATTTCTTTGTGCATAAAATATGGCAAGCAAACAAGCACATTTGTTACAATGCTCTTCACGAGGCAAACAGACTTTAAATATCTGCTTATTTAATGTTTCTCTAGGTTTACACACGGACCCGCACCGGGGGGGAAGCGAGGGGGGAAGCACTGGTATTTTTCAACGCTCTCCTTCTGTCCACTCGTATGAGTGTGCCTGCACATGTCTGTCCATATTTTGAATTTTCATGTTAAGTGTTAATAGAGCCTCCTATTCAGGCTCAAGTATTGTGGGAAATGTTTATGAAAAGTTCCCAAAATGTCATTGTGTGTTTTATGTAAATGCTGCTTATTCGGACACCTCTACTTTCCCTTCTTTTACAACAGATGTGAAGGTGAGCCCATCTTCTTGGCTTGTCATGCATGGTGTTAGTGATAAGGAAAAGAACTCTGACTGACTCAAAGAGCTCTCTGTTGAGCAGTGCTGGCAGGTCGTAGTCAACAGGCAGCTCGTAGCTGTGCCATAGGATGGCTGCCACGCAGTGGAGGTGGGAGGGCGAAGGCATGAGGAGGCCATACTCCCTCGACCAAGCAGACGAAGAGCCAGCTCCGGCTCCAATGTATCCCATGTGGCTACTCATTTTGTGGGCGGCCACTCGCGATGAGTCATGGACCCACTGGAGAAGAGCCTGGATCCTAGAGGGGGAAAAGTAAGCTTGGATCAATAAGTCATGAAGCTTTGGAAAACACGGCTTCGTATCGTATCATTAGTCCCACAGTGAGTAAGTCACAGTAGAATTTAAATGCAACAAACAATAGTTGGTCAGTAAAAAATAACAATGCCTATGATTCTATGTAGAATACCGCCTTAAAGGAGAGCAGATTCTAATGTGGTTGTTGCTGCAATAAGCTGTACAGCAATTTGAGTCAAAGCAATCACAGCATATGTGACGCTGTACCTGTCTTCCGTCCCAGAGTCCTGGGTGGTGCCCAACTGGTACAGAATGTCGATGGTGGAGTCTGAGGAGAGGCCATTTAGTCGACCAAACAGCAGAGGACTGTTTAAATCTACAGAGACAGAAGCAGAGAAGACGATAAGCATGGCTTATAAATGACCTGAGAGGAAACGTACACCTGGAAAGCTTAAACCAATATTCAAATAGTCAGTCAACCTTCCAGAAAAAGGTTATTATTATTCTTATCTTATTGGATGTGGCAAAATCACATCTGAAATATGCCTGTACAACTGCAGCCTCATTTAATATTTGAAGACTTTTTGATGCTTTTTTGAAATGTTCTGTGGCTCTGGTGCCTATGATTCACACTGCAGCATGAATGCAGCAGTGTGGGACTTACTGGCAGGGTCGGTGCCAGAAGCGGCACAGTTCCTTAGCAGAATGTCTATGAGTTTGAGTCCAATGCGTGTGGACTGCAGGCCAATCTTGACCAGCACGGCCTCGATGTTGGGCGAGTGCATGCCGCAGTAAGGTGACATGAGCAATGCTGCACAAGTCTGCAGCAGGTTGGCGGTGGGTGCTGCGGCACTGGCCATCATGGCCTCCAGGTCGCTGACATGGGTCAGGCAATGGTGGAGAAGACGCAGCCACCCGATGCTACTCGGGTAAAGAAAAAGGTTACAAAAACAACCACAGCTAATTCAATTGGACAAATTCTCATTCCACAACGGGATCTTGGTACCTGGTTTTAGACACCTGGTCCTCAGAAGGCAGGAAGGGATTGTTGACGGTTGCAGAGGAGGTGTTACCAAACGCCGTCAGGCCCAAGAGTTTGATCTGAGACAGACCAAGTGTGCTGGCATCACGGGGCCGGTGCAGCCTCAGGCAAACAGCTGACGCGACTTCCGCTCTCACTAGCTGGATCTTAATGTACGTCAGACCGCTGGTGATGACTGGCGTGGAGAGCGGCAGCATATTGACCCCGTCAGCACTGATCTCAACAGAGACCGAGGATGGGCAGGCTGGTTGTTTAGAGGGGCGGAACACAGTGAAAAAAAAGTTTTCATCCAAGCGTGCGGTAACAGCTATCAAAGAGTGAAGGGAATACACTTTTCAGAATGTTCTGTACTCTTTTGGATGTTACTCACTGGCTAGAGAGGCTAGATGTGGCTGGATGTGGAGCTCTTTGAGCAGCACAGCGGCAGGAAGGTGGATGGTGAGGTCGCACCAGGCCTCCTCTGGCAGGAAGATGTAGGACCAGGCTGCTGAGCGGGCCCGGCGGTGGGGCGGCGTGGCTTGGAGGAGGACCTCCGCTGGCTGCGCTGTGGGGCTGCTGGATGTTATGGTGCCTGTGAAGGGACAAGGAGATCATTCAGAAAAGGGTTGATGTAATATTCTAAAATACTTTTTTATAAAAATATCGATGTATCAGATCAGATCAGGAGAAAGAAAGGGAAAGGCACCCAAGGGAGCAAAGTTGTGGAGTCCCTCAGCGTTGTCGGGCTCGGACGTCATCACTCTGGCTTTGAGGTTGCCATCTGCAGTCTTTCCAGGGCCTGAATCCAAGAACTTCATGATGGTAGACACCATGCTGCGCGCTGTGTTCACAATGGCCCTGGTGCTGGTCACCATGTTGTTACATATCAACTGCACACCACCTGTTAATGACCAGATTCATTTCTCTGTCAACTTTTTTGAGTTTTTTAAAACCCAAATACATGTTTGTAGGACTTTGCCACAGCGTAGAAAGTTGTCTTCTTGGTCAGTTTTAGCACCACATTTTCATGGCACAAACTAAATCGTATTTATATCCAACAATAACAGCAAAAAACATTGGTTAGGCACATGTAGTCTGAAAGGTGGGGAGGGGATTTATGGTTTAGGAGGCAGGTGTAATGTAAATACCAACCCATGTCATGGAAGGCCTTGAGGGCCTCGCTGGTATCCAACACACGGAGGATGAACCACAAAAGAGGCTCTGACAGCTGACACGTAGAAAGAGACCCCTACAGAACGTCAAATTAAGAATATTAAGGCATTGGTCATTTGTCCAAGATGTATTTCAATACCAAGTCATTCCAGCCCCATTACCTGTCGGCCCATGTAACCACACGCCATGTATGTGAGGATGGGCTGCAGCATGACCTGGACTGAGGTGGCCCTCTTGCTGAGGGTGGTGAGGATGGTGAAGAGGCCGTCACCTACTGAGATGGCATCGAGACCACCGTGAAAGTTCTCATGTTTGGTCAGGTGCAGACCGCTGGCTCCTGTGGAACAAAGAAAGCGTCAGATGTTTTATCATCTCTGCATCCTTAAGGGAAGAATACACACAACACATTCTTTCTCTGGGTTCAAAAAGATGCTTAACGAACCAGCTGCTCTTAAAGAGCATTACCGCAAAGAAAAATGACATACTATCACCTCATGAAGTCACTTCCAAGGCTAAACAGAAAGGGAAGACACGTTCATCTTCTCTTTCAATTAGCTTTGGTTGCTCCACTGTATTCACCAGCTACTCTCTGACTATGTTGATGATTTGTGGACAGTAAAGCCAGAAGAATAACGCTGAAGCCGTTGGTAAAGATCACTTTCCGTCCTTGTCTTACCTATGATCATAGCCATGGCGCTGCTGTTGCACTGGCCCAGTGCCGATAAGATCTGGCTCATAATCTGCTGGTTGGCCAGCACCAGGTCAGCCACGCCTGCAGGGGGGCCCTGACTGAAGGCGGAGCCTCCAGCTACACTCTCTTTGCTGCCACAGACCTTCTCCTCGTCTGACGCGCTGCTATCGGCTGCTCCGCTGCCAGCTGGCGGCAGACGTCCGCTGAACTCTCTGTCCCCGGAGAGAGGCAGCTGCACCAGCAAGTTGACCAGCTTGAGGAGGTCAAACATCAGCTGGTCGCGCGTTGTCTCCCCACAGACAGCCTTCGCATCTCCTGGCCGGATGATGTTGGCAAACAAACCACCAAAACAGGCCCGGGCGCCCACAGAGCTGTCTGAGCCGCTGCGCGACACCACTTTGTCGGAGCAGGTGATGAAGTGGTGAACCAAGAATGTGATGGACTCGATGACAGAGGAGATGGTCGCCACTGACACCACCTCAAAGTTTTGCTCCAGAGTAAACTCCAATAGTTTCACCTGGGCATCCAGCGGGCCCTGGCCCGATTGGAACGGACCCCTGAGAGGTCAGGATGAACCATTAGTTCCCAAACAGCATTTATTCATCTAAAGCAAGTCGTTATTGGACTGATGATTGTGCCGTAACATGCAGATATTAAATGATTGAAAATACCTTTCTCGAGAATTGATTGCATACCTCTCAGTCGACAGGATGTGCATGAGTTTCAGCAGGAACTCGCTGAACATCTGCGGGCAGCTGGAGGACAGGTGGACTTGCAGGCGGCTCAAAAACTCGTGCATTGCCTGCGTGGCGGTGGGTCCCACCTGAGAGCTGTGCTGGCTGTTCCCGCTGGTGCTGCAGCCGGATAGGAAGCGCACCAGGACATGAACCAGGGTGGGATCGGAAACGATCTGCTCTGCTGTGCTCTCCTGAGAGCTCATCCCGTTGTTGGAGGCTGAAAGTTCAAACGAGATTTGGGATTGATCTTTGACCAACACACAGTTGACAACGACCAAGTTTAGACTCCAAAGAGGTCACCTTCCACACAGCCGCTTGTTTCCAATTATTAGAGAACACAATGAAAACTGCCCTGCAGCAACACTGTGTTGTCAATTCTTTTTGGTCAGTTACAGAATGCTTTTGTCGTGGTGATGCAATTTTTGAGGAGGGGGTGTTCTGCATTTTGGTTGTTAAATCACGAGCCAACCTGCACATGAGGCTTGGATTCTAGCTCCAATTTCCTTCCTAAGTCACTTGAAGTCACTATGAATTCTTATTAGACGGATATAGATATATCATTTATAGGTAGTTTTGGCTTCTGTAGACTGTATTGATGAACATTTTATTCCAAATTCCTTTCTGATCATCGACGCGTTGTGGAAATAATGATTGAGCTCTTTCAGAAGCTGCTCTCCACTCTGCTTATATTGGCTGCAGCACAATAAAGTAGGAAATAACACATACGAGAAGACAATTACAGTAAAAAAACATTTGACAGCGTAGCTTATTGGTAAAAGCACAAATATCCAGATGCAAAACGCAAACCGCCAGAAACACAATGCTACAGGACTTTTCACAGTTGCTGATGACACACAGAAGGAAAGCAGTGAGAGTGAAGTACTGACCGCAGACTGGCATGTTGGTCATCAGTGTGAGAGAGTGCAGCACCAGACACCATGTTCTCAGGGAGGTGTTTGGGTACCACGCCAGCACTGTCAGGAAACTGCTGATGGATGCTGGAAACGCACCACGGATATATGTTATGTTTATAAATACAAACACACGTTTGTGACTGAAGCGACGTAGCAGATTCAGCTCTATCAAAGGAGTTGAGCAGGACAGACAGTGTGGTGGGATCCCTACCTTGGTTAAGTGGGATGGTGGGCACTCTGCTGGCATTGAACATGAAGATGTCTGATCCCCCTTCTTCACTGCCACCAGAACATGTATTGAGACTGAGTGTTAGCCACAGCTGCAGCAGAGACTCCAGCTGTGAGAGAAGGAAAGGTTTTCAATCCACTTCGTCTTCCATTGTACCTAAAACTGGTAAACTTGGACTTTTGGAAGAGGCTTTTAGGCCTAAATAAAAATATTCTGAGAAGCATGCACAGTAAGTCTGCATCAGAAAACACACAATGAATCCTGTGAGCATCTGTTAAAGCTAGAATAAAAAGGAAATGTGATGCGGAGAAAGGTTTTGTTTCAAATTTAATTTGAAATTTGAGTTGGCTTCTATCTTCCACAATAGAAAGGTGCTTATGGAAAAGTCACAGCTCTCTAGCAGGAGCCCAAATACACTGAGGGGTTAATGACTAAGTGGGCATAGCCTGCGCTTTATCAGAGGTGGGGAACTTAACGTGACTCAAGGGCTATTGGTCGTGGCCTCCCAGAGGAAGACTACCCACCTGTGAGGTATTCTGTCGTTTTACACTTGTACTTGTGTGTGCCTGACCTGAACGTGGTGGACTTGCAGCATAGAGAAGAGCTTGTTGAAGCAGGAACTCAACATGGGGATAGACGAGGGCTGGATCATCAGGCCGCTGGTCGGAGGAGAGCCTCCTCCATGTAGAGCCCTCAGCAGGGAGTCATCAGTCCCATTGGAGGCCTGGCTCACTGAAAGCCAGAGAGAAACCACTCTTACAGCCATGATACATACATATACAGAGACCTGTCTCCAGGTTGATGGGCACTTGGTAAACTACAGACACGCCCCTTTTCTGCAGTTCTTGCTGTTGTGTACTTACCTGTAGAAGAGCTTGAAGTGAGGGACTGTAGAATTGAGTCGGCCTGGAGAGTCGCCATCATTTTAAGCATCAGTTCAGCCTGCTGCTCCAGGCCCACCTCCAGCCGCGCATCTAGTGCTGCGAAACACAGAATCAAAAAGGTCAAAGACATGACGTTTATTAAGAAAGGTCGAGACCGCCGAGTTCAGCCTCCACTCACCCTGTGACACAGAGACTGACAGACTCTGGGAGCCGGGTTTCTCCACAGCAACTGGAGGTTTGGACACTGGGATGCCAACCCCTCCAATGTAAGGGTTGTACGCGTACGTGCCATAGTCAGCGCCCCAGTAGTCGTACCAGGTGCTGCTGATAGGCTGTAGATGGACATGAGATGGAGGGAACAGGATTACAGCCAGCCCCGAGTCAGCAGATCATCTTCTACATTAAATTACCGTCCCTTAGTGTAGCTGCTCAAAGTAACGAGTGGTGTGCTAATCTCATGCTTACATCACAGCCGAGAAATCCCCAAAAGTACATTGTATCATTAACCTAGCATTGTGGACGTGGAAGTTATATAATACCTTTTTCTATAATGATAACACATACAATAAATTAATTGTGGAATTCATGAAGTCGTTGTCAAATGTTCTGATCTTTTAGATAAGTTAATAACACAATTGAGAATATTGGGTTTTTGTTAGGAGGTGAAACTGCTGATTGAGAAGTAAAAATACTTGTCTAATGTTAATAGGATAATGTTGACAGAAAGTCATCATAAATATAATATATAAATATAAAAGTATAATAAAACCAATTTTAAATTGTAAAGTTACATACATTGTTGCTCCATCAATACACAAGCAAGAGGCAAGTAATGACCTAATAAATGGAATTTGAGTACAAAAAGGGAATACAATGTCATAATCAACATACCTTAAAAACTTTGGCAGCAAGGGGATCTTTTTCCAAATCAATATCTAAAGGATCAATATCAACATCCATCAGGTCTTGTAGCAAGTCAAAGTCTATGTCTTTATCTTTTTCCAAAGATGACAGAGGTGGAGCACCTTTGGATAATGAAAACAGCCTTAATATTGCCAAGCAAACACACTAGGGAAACACACAAATAAGAAAAACTCTGTCGTCACTGGGCAATCTTAATGCAGCTCACGCCATTAGCTCGTTTGCTCCTGCATCAGAGGGAGAGTCCCCACACAAGAGCAGATACTACTACTGCAAATGCAAAATTGACCAAAATGGCTCTGAATCTACATATTTGAACTCTAAAAAGGCAGAACTAATACAATAATAACACACACACACACACACACACACACACACACACACACACGCACACACACACACACGGACACACACACACACACATACACACACACACACACACACACAAAGTATACTTTTGGGGACAACAGTTAAACATGTTGCAGTGGAGAAAAAAAAAGTTTACCACCCCAAATACTTTGCACTGTGATGATAAAAGTGTGTGAGAGGGTGTGGGAGAGAGCGCGGGGGAACCCCCGCCCTTTTGAAAAACTGAGTAGGCCCTCGGAGTATCTGCAATGATCTCAGGCCCCAGGGCCTCATCAATGCTCTCTACCAGGGGGGTGGGGCCTGGCCTGGGTAGGGAGTCGTCTGAATCAGCTCCTGCTGAGGAGGACGATGCCCCGGCCTCATCGCCCACCGCCGCCTCATCCATGACGTCTAGAGAGCCCGCAGAAAGCAATTCACCTGGGAGGACAACACAGTTTACACTTTAACACAAAACCATTTTTATCCGACTTTTAGTCGGGAGGATTTATGTTTTTTTCCTCATTTTAATAGTAAAAACAAGATCTGGCTAAAATGGCTTGAATAGTTTCACCCGGTAACAAAACGTGTGAAGAAAAGTACATTCAGTGCTTAAATGATCCTTAAAAATGTTAAAATAATCCATCTGAATAATCCAGCGAAGGTAAATAAAGTAACTGGGGCTGTCTGCCAAACTTCCAGTACAACAGTTACTGGGCCTGTCGCGATTTATCCTAAATGAACGTCACCAACAGCTTAGTCGATCGCGCTTCCCACTTGTCTTTCATTCATCCATCAAATAAACAAAGTGAGAACAGTTTTATGCAACGTGGCTGATTGGGGTCCTTGTGGGGAATCGCCTATGGGTCCAGTGTTTCCACTACCATATAACAGGGGGGCGCCCCCTAATAATAAATATCCATAACAAAAAGGTGACCCCAACCATGTATGCAGACTTAACAGACCTGCTAGGATGTCCTGTAGCATACAGGTGAGGGAATACTGTGCCCAGGCACCCCCCCAGGAGATGTCTCCTCGGTTAAAGTCAGTCCCCACCAGCAGGAGCAGCAGACGCTCCAGCTGCTGCTCGGACACCACTTCACACAGGTGGATTGTGGGTCGCGTGGCATTGGCAATCCTTGCCAAAACCTTAAGGGGTAAAGAAAGCACCTAATTAATGTGTAGACGGAAAAAAAACAAACGTAACAAGTCAACGTGCTAGAGTGTGAATACCTTGCAGACAAAGAGGAGCAGGTCAGCGTGGCAGGTGAAGTCCATGGAGAGGAGGAAGAGGGCCAGCTTCTGCACCACAGAGATGCAGCGCTCATGGGACAGTGTGAAGGGCAGAGGCTCTACCTCTGGGGCTTCTTTGGCTGTTGTGGACTCGGTGTCAAACGTGGAGCGGGGCCATTCGGCCGTGCGCCGCAGGCGGATCAGATCTTTAAAGTGCTACAGGAGACAAATCACGCCACAATTGAAATAATAAGACAGTCATAAAGTGCATCAGAGGAGCACTTGGTGTGGACAAGATTATTCTTCTTGAACAAGTGTGGGCAAGATTATTCTTGTCCACACCGCCCCAGTAGAAAATGGCAGTAAACAATGTTTAGTAAGGTATGGTAGAGCTAGCATGTAGAGTGGTAAAAACTAAGTGAAGTGAAAACATAGCAATTTATACTGATTTGAGCTGCAGTGTTTCCCACACACAGACTAATTTGTGGCGGTGCGTGTCTGTCTCGTTGTTGTTGTTGTTTTTTAGCAAGCCCTGCAAAATCTGTTGCTGCAACAGAAGTTGCAGACTTTGCGCATGTAGGCACTAACAAGTAGTAGTAGTAGTAGTAGTAGTAGTATAGGGTGTGAAATGTGTAACTTTTAGTATGACGTTTGTATAGTCGTTAATCCCTGTTTTGTATTTACTCCAATAAAGTTACAAATTAATATTGAACGAATTGTTCCAGTTCAGCGGTCAGGCCCCACCCCCCCTCCTCCCTGGGCAGCCCCCACACATTGACGTTGGATCTGCGCATGTGGGAGTGTTTTGTACTGCATACAGACCAAAGCATGATAACGTGCTCACCTTGGATGTGGCTTGTTTGAGCTTGGCCTGCTCCACCAGCAGTTTGTAGGAGGAGCCTTTGCTGCTCTGTATCTTCTCCTTCTCAATTTGCTCCACCAAAGCTTTCTGTTTTGCTTTCAACAGATTTAACTGCTACAATAAAAAGGGCATGATTACTATAAGCACTCCAAAAAGCATTTGCTCTTGAGAGCCCCTTTCACGGTGCAGGTTTATGACAACAGATGTTAGAAACTCGGACAAAAATTCACATATTCACATTTTCATTCATCACGCTGACATTTGTGAGTCCTTGTTTTAAATGTGTGTGTGTGTGTGTGTGATGGGGGGAGGGGGGGTGGGGGTGGGGGGGGTTGGAATGAGACACATTTACCTGCTTGTGGTGGACAAGCTGCTTGCGGATCTTGCGCGAGTACAGTCGGTCGAGGCTGCTGCTGCCCTTAGCTGACCTGCTGGAGTTCTGAGAGTGAAGGCTGTTGTTGATGAAGCTCCACTGAATACCTGAAGGACAGAGCAACATAATCACTTCACTCATGTGGGGACATTACAGAAGAAGGAAATACTTTTAAACAACTCTGGAATGATTATATTTTATGAAAGTCTTGTCAGCAGTCTCGTGTTTCAAAAAAAAAAAAAAAAGGGGGATTATTCAGGAATCAAAGAGGATTCGCCTGCTTTAAAACAGCTCAGAATGTGTGTAGTCATTTTGTAAAATGATTACAATTCAGCAGCTTAAAATATAAAGAGAGACCATTTGTAAATTACATAATCAAGTCCAGATGAAACGTGAAAGTCGTATAGTGGAATAAAAAGGGTAAACTGTGGGTTTAGGACAAACGGTGAAGAATAGTTCCACAGTACAGTTCATGTACCCGTAAAACTTCTCTCTCGCTCTTTCCCTCCAAGATGCTTCTTCCCGCCTGCGGCCTCATCTTCGATACTGGCCACACAGTCCAGGAGTCTGGACACCAACATCACTACCCAGCTGATCATGGGAATATCCAAAACACCTGGAAAACACACTCAAACTCATTTTCTGCTTGTAATTTCTGCTCCAAAAACATCACGAATTTGAGGTGGTCGACAGGCTACACATTTGGATGCGGACTTTACCTTCAGTCCTGCGCTGGGCTGCAGCTTGTGACTGCTGCAGTGGACACAGCAAACCGTCCAGGAGGTTCAGGAGGCCCTCAAGCACACCACTGTTACTCAGGGATCTTTGGCCGATGCAGGACAGGAGCATGAACACCCTGGGATGAAACCAGATGGAACGCTGTAGTTACACTCGCCACTGACTGGACACAACAGCGGTCTGACTAACACACGGGCAGACCAATAGAATCCTTTTATGACTAATCGCAGTTTGGTGGTGTGGTCTCATTTTCTTGAATCTCAAGCAAGCAATAATTCATCATTCTCAACAATCCAGAAGAACATTAAGAAAAAGTTCAGAGGGGAAATTCTTACTTTTACTCCATGGTCATGTGAAGTATTCACTTTCAAAGCTTCATTGCAATTGGTTGGTTCTTAGTTTTTCATCGGGTTTGTTACTGTTATGTTCTTTTGTGTTAACCTTGATTTGTTCTTTATTTCCCGTGAATACAGTGAATGACTGGTTGATATGGTTACTTGTGGTAACAGCCAGTATGTGTCATGCAGATACAAGTGCTCCGTACCAAAGCTCGAAAACATCAGCCGCCGCTGGGAGGATTAACCCTTTCAAAATAGAGACTGACACCTGCTCTTTATACAATGAAAATACTTCACAAAGAGGTAATTGATCCAAAAATATAAATCTATTGAATGGCCATTGATGCTTAAAGCTCGTCACTATACTGCTCAAGTGTAGTGACGAGCGTAAAGTTATCTTGGGCAAAAAAGTCCTTAATCCCTATACTCACCTATTAGGGCGAACAAAGCTTTAAGCAAAGTACTAACGACAATAGTTTTAAGTTATGGACTGACAGAGGTGTCAAAGATTTCAGAATTGTATGATGATGTTACTCACTCTCAAGTTTTAGCAAAAGCAAAAACATTTTTTTCAAGCCTCATAACAAAAGACACAGAACTCCCGTCTCCTAATCGCTCTAAAAAGCTCTGCATGGACATATATTCACAGGACGAGCAAACTGTTAAACGCATGTTGTAAACCTGTAGCCTACCGTTTAGGGAGAAATCTATATGTGGGGTAGAATAAGTAGAACCCTATAGTGCTATTTTTCGCTCTGCTGAGAAACAGTCAGTAACGCCCAAGTAATATTCACGCCACTGATTTTTTTACATTCAAAATATTTGCCTATATGTACTTTCTGAAGCACCTTGTTCTTTTTCTGTTTGTGTAAAGTGGGAAAAACTGAATCAAAAAAGAGGAAGCTTTAAATTGCAACTTTGCCAACTAAAGTCTGGCCTTTGCTTCCTCGCTCGTTTCCTGTCATCTGTTCCGAAAGGTTTTTGTCTTGCTCTACACATGGGATGTCTGCGGGGGTGTCAAACTCATTTTAGGTAGGGGGCCACATACTGTCCACTTTAGGTTTTTGATGAATTAAAAAAAAAGAAAAAAGCCAGCACAACATTATCCTAAGTCCTACCTGTCCTGAGGGAAGATGAGCAGTTGTTCAGAGTTGTAGAGCTCCTGCAGCACGTTGGAGAGGAACTGACCCCACCAACGCTCGCCTCCACAAAGCTGCACAAGCAGGAGGCCGGCGTGCAGACGGATCTTGGGAGTCCCACTGATGCAAAGGTGTTTGAAGAGTTCCTCACAGGCCTGGGCATGGAAGGTACTCTGGAGCACCGAGGGCACAGAGTGGCCTGAAAATAAAGTGTTAAATAACAATGTTAGGGAGTATGCTGTCAATCTGCCACTCAATAAAAGCATTTGTAACCCTCTCATCTCCATAACGCCACACTCAGCCGTGTTCAGTCACATATTCACCATTGTTGGAGTGCAGCAGGCTGAGCAATGTGTCCAGAAGGTAGCGGATGATGGTCCTCAGCTGCTCCGTGGAGGAGTTGTGGACCAGCTCCTGGACCTCTGGCGCAGCAGCTGTGGGGAGCGACTTTCGGCTGGCCCCCAGCGACACACGCAACCGCTGGACTGCGTGGTGAGCCAGGTTGAGTTGCAGCTGCAGCTGGATGCAGTCCTGGTATGCTGAGAAAACACGCTGGTCCTCCTCCACCACCTTGTCTGGCTTTCGTAAGAAATACTGTGCATTGTTGGCGCTGTTGAGAGGCGGCAGGTCGATGTTCTGCAGAAGGGTCTCCAGCCGATGGCAAGCTAGATTGTATCTGGTAAACAAGAGAATAAGAGTTGAGACTAAACTGAAAAAAGAAAAAAAAAGGTCCCCAACGGAATGCATAGGAACATTTTATGGGAACTTTCAATTCAGCTTTAAATTAGTAAGCTGTTTTTAAAGATGTACCTTTTAGGTGATCATTGGGAACAATTGGGCATAGGACTTTAGACGTCGGAAGGTATTTTGAGACAAACTAGCCCCTTTTTGGTCTTACTTGTGTTTACAAAGAAGAATTTAATTTCCAGGATGACTTATTTCTTCCCTAATTCTTAAAAATGAAATTAAAAAGGGTTTTGGGCCAATCACACAGGGTAAGTTAATGAAACCCAAAAAACTGGAAACTAAGCTGTGATATTAACCTCTCAGCCTTACCTGCACTGGATGTCCTCCTGCAGGGCCACCATCATAGTCAAGTGCTGATCAACATCTGGCTGACAGGCTGCCTCGCTCTCTCCTCTGAGAGGATCATGCATCAACTTAAGCTCGCTCTCCCATGGCAGGATGTAAGTGTGGCCATAATAGAAGCCCAGTGGGATCTTTGCCCGAGCATTAGTGCTGCCGTAGCGCCCAATCACAGTGATCTAGAAGGTGCAAGAATACATAATTATGGTGAAAAAACAGAAAAAAGCCCCAAAACCTTTTAACTTAGTCAGTCATCCTGCAGCAGTCCAATACAAATACAGACCTTCATGAACCTGCAGACAGGTGGCGGCAGCAAGTCGTGCAGAATGAGGGAGTGGGTGCTGATGTCGGTGGCCACCACCAGCCTGCGACCGTCCACCTCCTCACCCAGAGTCCAGATGTCTATGGACAGAGAGGCCAGGTCCCCACAGGTCGGGATCAGGGCATCAGTCAGCAGGACAGGGCGGCCAAAGTCCAGCGTGACGAAGCGACGAGCTCCTAGGAGGAAAGCAGATGGAAACATTCTACTTAGTTTTTCATGATTCTTAAATTAAGCTTTTATACTAGCTTTACTTTACAAATTCTAGGAAATTTTCTTTACTCTCAAACAAGTTGCAAACACATTAGTATGTACAAATCTTAGCCAGCTTTGTAAACAATTATGTGGAATATATCATCAATACATCACATACCAGAGTGCATCCGCTCTATAATGATGGACTGGTGTGGAGGAGGCTGCAGGAAGTGAGAAGCTTGAGAAATGGCCAAAGCCAGACCACTGCCCATGGAGCTCTGAATTAAAAAACAAACATTATTTATTGTTTTAGAGAAATTCCGCTTTGTAGCCATTTTATTGAATCTTATTTCATACCAAATCTCACATAGATGGTGAATTGTTTAAAATGCATCAAACATACATTGTTACCCTCACATATACAAACTGAAAATGTTTGAGACCGGGGCTGGGGCCTAAGTAAAAAACAAAACAATAATGTATTCCATAAAAGCTGATAAGACATTTTCAGTCTCGTCATTAAGGCTCCTTAAAAATAAGCAGATTGTCTCTCCCCGGCTACGATAAAATATGATCACAAAAAAATCACAAAGTGAGGAAGAAAAGGAATCTGGCCCAACATTTGGTGCCCGTTGTTGGTTGATGTTAAAACGCTGCTGAGGTTTGATAGCCAGCCCTGTATCAGAGAAGAGCAAGCGGCCATTGAACTCACCGGCTTGGCTTTCTGGCTGGTCTTGTGCGCAGCCAGGTTCACAGGCCCAGGGTCCATCATGGAGCCGGGGAACAGATGTGCCAGCTCAGCGCTGAAGGCCGCCGACACAGCCTCGTTTGGCGGCGTGAGAGGAGGGGTCATGAAGAGGGGGGTGGTTTTGGGTGTCGGGGGGATGACGTCAGAGGGGTGAATGAAGAACCCCGGTGCAGAGGAGGCGTTAGAAGGCACAGAGTTGTGGATGGGCCCCACCCCGGAGGCTGTGGCCGCTGCAGAGGTGGTCTGATGCAGCTTGGCCTCAAGCTTGGCCTTCTGTTCCCAGCACAGACAAAGAAGAATCACTCAGCACTCTATAGAAAACCATTAAAATAGATGTGAAGTACGAGGCAGAAGTTTCCATTGAAATGGTTTAGGTGGACTCGACTCGCATTATCAATTTCTGTGAAGGAGTTTTTAAACAATATAGCAGCTACTGCAAAAGTATATTTCATTCATTAAATCAAACATAGTTTATCCATTTCCCATTAAAATGTGTGGTATCTCAATTAGTTGGGGACATAAAAAGGTAGAGAGAAAACAAGACAATAAGAAACCAAAACGTACTACAACTAGTATTCAATGGCTTTCTTAGTCTCAAATAAATATTTGAATGGTAGTCCTGTTAAGACATTACAACATGGAATATGTTGTACACATGCTGCATCATAATCGCTTTTCAACTGTAGGAACATAAAACTGTAATGTCTCCTGGACCCTCCGATTTCTTCCGTTTGTGAATCGGTTCAAGCATCATATAAACAATGTTGTTTGAATTCATGGTTTGTTGTTATTTCTTGACCTTTATCCACCTCAAAGTTGTTTTATTTTTGCCACTGTGATCCTGCCCTTTTCTATACCATTGTCTCACGGCACGACTGAATCACTACGTCTGCCAGATTAGGAGAAATGTGAGGATACTTTTCTGTTTCATCATTCTGCACAACCAAACATATCATGAACCCAAGGCAGGCAGACGAAATACAATCAGAATCCATGACAAAGACTCAATATATTGAGTGAGATTTCATTGTCTGCGTTGAGGAAGGGGCAATGTTACCCTGGTTACTATGTAACATGTTAGTTACACGGCGAACCGCTTACCATGTAACATGTTAGTTACACGGCGAACCGGTTACCATGTAACATGTTAGTTACACGGCGAACCGGTTACCATGTAACATGTTAGTTACACGGCGAACCGGTTACCATGTAACATGTTAGTTACACGGCGAACCGGTTACCATGTAACATGTTAGTTACACGGCGAACCGGTTACCATGTAACATGTTAGTTACACGGCGAACCGGTTACCATGTAACATGTTAGTTACACGGCGAACCGGTTACCATGTAACATGTTAGTTACACGGCGAACCGGTTACCATGTAACATGTTAGTTACACGGCGAACCGGTTACCATGTAACATGTTAGTTACACGGCGAACCGGTTACCATGTAACATGTTAGTTACACGGCGAACCGGTTACTATGTAACATGTTAGTTACACGGCGAACCGGTTACTATGTAACATGTTAGTTACACGGCGAACCGGTTACTATGTAACATGTTAGTTACACGGCGAACCGGTTACTATGTAACATGTTAGTTACACTGTGAACAGGTTACTATGTAACATGTTAGTTACACGGTGAACCGGCTACTATGTAACATCTTAGTTACACAGTGAACCGGCTACTATGTAACATGTTAGTTACACGGTGAACCGGTTACTATGTAACATCTTAGTTACACGGTGAACAGGTTACTATGTAACATGTTAGTTACACGGTGAACCGGCTACTATGTAACATCTTAGTTACACAGTGAACCGGCTACTATGTAACATGTTAGTTACACGGTGAACCGGTTACTATGTAACATCTTAGTTACACAGTGAACAGGTTACTATGTAACATGTTAGTTACACAGTGAAACGGTTAATAAGTAACATGTTAGTTACACTGTGAACAGGTTACTATGTAACATGTTAGTTACACGGTGAACCGGCTACTATGTAACATCTTAGTTACACAGTGAACCGGCTACTATGTAACATGTTAGTTACACGGTGAACCGGTTACTATGTAACATCTTAGTTACACAGTGAACCGGTTACTATGTAACATCTTAGTTACACAGTGAACCGGCTACTATGTAACATGTTAGTTACACGGTGAACAGGTTACTATGTAACATGTTAGTTACACGGTGAACAGGTTACTATGTAACATGTTTGTTACACAGCGAACAGGTTACTATGTAACATGTTAGTTACACGGCGAACAGGTTACTATGTAACATCTTAGTTACACGGTGAACAGGCTACTATGTAACATGTTAGTTACACGGTGAACAGGCTACTATGTAACATCTTAGTTACACGGTGAACAGGCTACTATGTAACATCTTAGTTACACAGTGAACAGGCTACTATGTAACATCTTAGTTACACAGTGAACAGGCTACTATGTAACATCTTAGTTACACAGTGAACAGGCTACTATGTAACATCTTAGTTACACAGTGAACAGGCTACTATGTAACATCTTAGTTACACAGTGAACAGGCTACTATGTAACATCTTAGTTACACAGTGAACAGGCTACTATGTAACATCTTAGTTACACAGTGAACAGGCTACTATGTAACATCTTAGTTACACAGTGAACAGGCTACTATGTAACATCTTAGTTACACAGTGAACAGGCTACTATGTAACATGTTAGTTACACAGTGAACAGGTTACTATGTAACATCTTAGTTACACAGTGAACAGGTTACTATGTAACATCTTAGTTACACAGTGAACAGGCTACTACTATAGACTTCTCAGAGTGTAATTAGTAATATTCCAGGTTGACTTATATTTGCCACAAACGCGTTGTGTGTTACTTTGTCTTTCACCTGCTGCTGCAGCTTCAGAAGCTGCTGCTGTTTCTCCTGTAAGACCTGCAGCTGCTGCTCCGCAGACACCATGGCGTGGGACAGCGATTGGAGCGCCACCTGGGCTGCAGAGCTCAGAGCTGTAGAAGCTTCACCAACTGTCCCTGCCGACAGGCCGCCCACCGCAGGTGTCACACCAAACGTACTCACTGGGGTTAAAGAGTTGAGGTTCAGGCAATGACCAGTTGATGAGACCAACACAAGTAAATTTAAGAAAGGTCCTGTTTACCAGTGAACATGCTGGCGTCGTCTCGTTCCACCCGTGTCCCATCACTAGTGGAGATACAAGTAAAGTGCAAAGGCTCTACCTCCAAGAGTCCTGTTAATGCTGTGAAGCTGCCTTCTGCTGCCGACAGCTGCTCACTTTCCCGATTCCCGTACAGAAAATTACAAACAACACACTCAAGATAAACATCACAATCAAATGTTCTCTCCAGCTATTCGTCAACGGGAAGTTGACAGTGCTTTACGTTTTCCACATTTAGTTATCTTACAGCCCTTATTCCAAAATGGATTAAATTCTACACACAACACCCCATAATTGGCCAGAAACAGGTGTGCCGAGCATGAAGCATCAGACTCAGGAAGACCTATGGCCGTAACTGCTGCCAAAGATGAAAGTATTGACGAAAGGATGTGAATACGCATGCACATGTTGTATTTCTGTTCTTTATTTGTATACATTTGATCAAACATTATGGGGTGTTGCGGGTAGAATTTTAAGGAAAACATTTATTAAAATCAATTTTGAGGCTGTAAGATGACAACATGTGGGAAAAAGTGAAGCGCTGTGAATACTTTCCGGACGCAGTGTATGCGCGTCTGTTCTGCACAAGCGTCTCCTCTCATCGTCCCTGCGTGTGCCAGTGTGGGCTGGTTCTTCCCTTAATAAACAGTATGTCTCTCTGGCAGTGTCACCTGAGTTAAATTGAGTCAGACCAGTACATAGCCAATACCTGATAAGATGTCAGAGAGGTCAATCTCATCCGACTGGACTCCGATGCTGCTGTTGAAGGCATTCTTGCAGGAGGAACCGCTGACCTCAAGGTCAAAGAGCACTGGGTCAAAGGGAGAGCTGTACAGGCCGTACCTGAAGGGGAGTAGATAGTGGGAGGGGACGCACATACACACGTTAGCAGTAGTTTGATCGCCTTCTACGTCTACCATTAGGTAACAAAATCAAACAGTAGTAATGCATCACTAGCCTGCGGTGGGGGGAGGGGTTAAGTACCTGGTCTGCAGTAGTGCCTCCAGCGGGGTGAGGCGGTCCTGCAGCTGACGAGAGATGGTGGTGAGCAGAGAGGCGCAGGAGGTGCTGCAGAACGCCAGATCTTCTTCCTTCACATAGTTCAGCAAGACGAAGTACCAGAACACCGACCCTGACACCAGACAAGAGGGACAGATGTGGAAATGAGTACTGGGCTGCATCGATGGCTGGTTAGGGACAAATCTACCGTAACCATCTCCACACATCATGTTGCGTGTCACGTTGCTCAGGTACTTACCACCTGTTGCTGCAGCAGGCAAGTAAGGCATGTTGTCCAGCATAGCCTTCAGAAGACTCACGCCAAAACCCTGCTGACTTGGCTCCCCTTTCCCATTGCTAAAGCAAGAAATACAACATCATGAACAAAATCCACGAGTAATTGTAAAATAACTAATAAACCTTTCATTGATTACATGGTTTGATGTAATCAATGAAAGGTTTATTAGTTATTGAGGAAAGGTTTGGTGTATTTGATGTAAGTTCGATGTAGTTATGAATACGGACGTTCTGAGATTAAATGTAAACACAGAAATTTCATCCGTGGCGCGCCAGTATTAATCCCATAGAGTGAAGGAGCCGAAAGAGTTATTGATGAAAGCAGCACTGGTCCTTACCTAATACAAAGTGCAAGAAAGCGCGCACACTTGTGCGCTATGCTGCGGCCAGCCTCGAAGAAACACATCTGCACAATATCGGTCAGCCGCGTCCGGGTTTTGGCCAGCAGGCCCTCCTTTCCTTCTCTTACACTAAAAAGAAGACATGGGATATTCGACTTGTCTGTAAACCGTGTACATTTCATTGGAAGTTGGGGTGTCTTGTTTGCTATGCTGAAGCTTTCGTCCTACCTGCAGGGTCCGTTGGAGAAAACTCCAGCCAGCCAGCACAAGATGTCCAGGATGAGCCTCTGAGCGTGCTCAGTGACGGGGCCGACGTCTGCCTGCCGACAAAGCGCGTCCAGCAACTTCTCGTGGAAGTCCGGGAACTGCAGCATTGCACAGCGTTGGACCCTGAAAAGTACAGATGGACATAGACAATATGTACAGTAGATCATTATCTGATTGCATGTGTGTGACTGCTCATTTATGATTATAAAACAGTGATCTGACCTTTCTTTGGGCACTGAAGTCTTCTTAAACCTTCTTATTGTGACGGAAACCTCCTGCAGCAGGTCACAGCCTCGCAGGTTTTCTACTTTCTTCAAGGGAGGTGAGGACTCGGTTTTCACTGCAGACACCTTGACACACACACACACACACACACACACACACACACACACACACGGGGAACTTAAACTCTGGATATAATTGAGACAATACCAACTGAAAGATGGAAACATCTAAAATGTGTCATAAAATTACTCAATGGTACAACTGACTGTCTAGGCAAGGGGTATTCAACTAAAATGTGAAGAGGTCCGGTTAGAGAAAACTTCTAGAAGCAGTGGGATTAAATAAAGAAAGAGTTGTATCAACATTTGCATGTAATCAATACATTACTAACAAATCAAATGAATTCAGTACGATTCTAAAACTCTTTTGACAATATTTATTGTCAAGTAACAAAAAAACTTAACATAGATATGTGTGATTGCAAATATAAATAATGTTCTCTGAATTAACTAAATAAAAGTAGGGCTGTGGCGGTGGGCGTCTAAAAAAAAGAAGTCTGTGCAAAAATATGTGACGTCAAGTTTGCAATGTATATATTTAGATATGTTAGCTATATTAAGTCCCGGTAGTGGGGGAGCTAACTGTTTCAAAGTCTGTATGGTCTGGAAAAGGACAGAGGAAGAGGTATCAACCCATTCTAAGTATCAGGATTGGGTACCTTGGAGGCCTGTGCCCGTTGCAGCAGAGTGGACAGTGAGTGGCCTTTGCTGCCCTGAGGCTTGGCGCTGGGCATTCTCACCACAGGCCGGCTCTCCTCCATGCCTCTATCACTCACGGCTTTGATGTGAACCAGGAAGGACCGGTACTTGCCTCCTGTCATGCCTGCAGTGGGAGGAGAATGGGACAACTCAGACACTGATGAACCGACAACCTGGTGGCTGATTCTTACAAAAAACAAATTTATGAGCACAAAGACCTTCAAAGTTAAGTTTAAAGAAACGGGTAGATGTGACTATCATCACCTTTGACAAGCTTGGGGCTGGTTAGGCTGAGCATGCCTGCGTGGCCAGAGAGGTCCAGCCCACTGGCCAGCCATACTGGACCACACAGGATGTCCTCCTTGTGGTCCTCTAAGAATGGACACAGCACAGAGCCTACAGCAAGCACATCAATCAAACACAAATGTTCATTAATGTTCAATGACTAAAAAAAAAAATCGGTGAGGGGCGATACAATCATGAAATCTTTCTCTGTTAATTTTATACCCACAAAACGAAAGTAAAAGTCTAATACTAGAGATACAATCAAATAAAGGCATGGGCAGGATCACCAAAAGCAAACAAAGCTGGTCTGAAAACACTAGCAGAAACAAAACACTAGCAGAAAGACGATCTTCTTAAGCTCTGGTCCTACTGACAGATAGTTTATTGTCTTCAACAAAGATAAAAAAGGTCAACGTCATTTTGGTTGTAGTGATACACTCAATGATGGAAACATTAACTTGATCAAAAAGCTTTTTTCTAATGAACAGATAAATTAATCTGAAATAGCGCAAAGCTAATGGCAAACTAAACGGGTGGCATTGTTTACCTGATGTCTCTTCTATGTCCATGAACTGGATGTCCTCTGTGAAGTCGTGCAGCAGAGGCTGGCCGTTCCTTTGCCCGTTAGCATGGAGTACGCTGGAGAGGGGGAAGGATATCTGCCTGTCCACGGCCGTCTCTGTCAGACATGGCAAGATTTAGACACATATTCCAAACCCCACTATTCATTTTAGCTGAACATCTTGAAACACCATAGTTGCAAAATCAAAAGGATAATCCCGAGGAAATCATGACATTTGCAAAGGATCGTCTTCCAACCTGGTTGTATGACTACATTTTTTCATAAAAAATGCATCTTAATGTGTCCTCACCACTGACTTTGCCCAGCCCCGGTGCTTTGTTCTTCAGTAAAGTGACCTGGATCTGAGGAATGTTTACTATGTTGGCATTCAGGACAAACTTGAAGTCCACATGGCCCACCATGCAGGCCTTAGGCAGCACCAGCTCAAACACATGCTCGTCCCAGCTGGAGCTGCAAAGACAATACGGGTCACCAACTGCTCAAGGGTTTGTATCATAATGCTGACAGGGAATTTTACCTGGATCCCAAATTAGATTTCTTAAAACTTGTGAATGTGAAACATTTTCATGTATGAAGAAATTGCTAATGAAAGAATGGAAAGTTATGAATTGGACTTGGGTGTAGATAGACCCTCAGCAAAGAAATGACTGCACTGCCTTCATCAATTAAATCAACTGCATTGCCTTTACTTTCAAACTATTATGTTATTATGTAATATAGGGAAAGTAAAGGACGTCATACACTGAGTGTTACAGCAACAAGTTATACATGACAGGTACTACGGTGTACTTGGTGCAGCTACCCGTCACTCTGAAGCTTCCAGGTCCGGGTGTGTTGGGCTGCGTCTCCATGGTGCTGCTGGTGAAGGTGCTGTGGGTGGCGGCGCTGCTGCTGCTCTTGCTGCACCTCAACCCAGCACGGCGGCACTGTGGCCGAGAAGCGCGGGGTCAGCGTCTCAAAGCGCGTTAGTTCTACCAGTGACATCAAGCTCTCCGTGGTTAGCAGTTGGTCCACCAGGAGGTCCACTCCTGCACAAAGGCCAGTAGAGGGGCAATGGAGGACATCAGATTAACAGAGACATAGACGGGCCAAAGAATTGAACACACTGAATGTGTCCGGTTAGCCATTAGACTGTGTGGTTGGAAATGCCAGAGTGAGTTTACCTGTGATCCCAGGGCTGGAGGGGTTGGATGAGGGCTTGGCCCCCTCAAACAGTTCAGCCCCTTTAGAGAGGGGCCCATCAATAAACATGTCTCCGTCATCTACGTCGTCACACACACCTCCAATTTGAAGGAAATGAAGTTCTCCACCTTCAGAGACAGGAAGTGACAAAATTGAAGTAAATCAAATCAAAATGAAATTCCTTATTTGAATATGAGCATGTTTTAAACAATGACAATGACAAACAATAGCAACCTACTGAAAGAAATTTCAAAATATATATTTATTTTGAAGCCATCCCATGTATCCCACAAGTGTACTGCACAGCTGCCTCAGAGAAACACTCACCTTTGGTACAGGCACAAAGGCGGTCAGTCCCAGAGCAATAGGTAACAGACACAAAGGGGTCAGTCTCCTCTGCTGGCCCTTCCTTCTTAGGCGGCTCCACCTTGGCCAAGACCTCCAACGTGGACAGGTCCAGTATCATGACGTAGCCAGCCCGCGTGGTCACCACCAGGTGGCCGAGGCCTGCAACCTCTAAGCGCCTGCCCTCTTTGTGGCCCATAGCGGAGCCTGATGGCCCGGTGGCCGTAGCGCTGCTGCTAGTTATGGCTGCTCCACATGCAGTCCTAGTTCCAGAGCCAGCAGAGCCTGCTGGGCCCGATCCAAAGCCAGATGAGCCATTCTTAGACCCAGAGGAGTGCGCCGCCTCTGGAGATTCTTCACTATCATCCTCCCTGCTATCAAGCACATCTGGAGGAAGCAATATAAGAGAGGTGATGGCATCACAAGGGTCCCAGATCTGCTGCACCTTGACAGGTTCTTCGTCCAAGGTGACAATACGGGTGGAGTAGTTGAGTTTGTAGAGTGCGAGATATCCTCCACTCCCACCAGTTGGGGCCCTCTGCTGCTGCTGCTGCTGCTGCTCTCCTGGGGGCAGAATGAGGGGTGTCTGAGGCGGTGACCCCCCTGAATGGTGGCCCTCCACCCCATTGGCCACTAAGTGTAAGGGGTCTCCCTTGCGCTGGCTGCAGAGGGCAGAGTGCAGCCGGTTGAGATTGTTGAGAGCCTCCACTTGGTTTGTAGCACTGAGAGATTCAGCGCTACAAGGCTGCAGACCGACCAGAAGGTGCACACCGTCCCAGCAGGGTGTGATAGAGTCCACGTAAAGATTCTCCTCTTCCAGCTGTTTCGGCAGCCTCAAGCACTGCACCAGAGTTCCTGGTCGAGGCGGGGTGGAAGAAGTTGCTGCAGCCAGCGGGCTCCATTTTTCTGTATGACCGTCCAACCCTGCCAGATTTGTTGCTGCATCAGCAAACTGCTGAATGTAAGTGATGGGAGGATCCTGAAGGAGAAGCTGCTCATGCGAGTCAAACTCCATCTCTATAATCTGTGGCACAGTGAAGCCCTCCTCGTGCAGCCCCTTGCTCATCAGGTTGTTCATTTGAGAAAACCCCTGCCCTGAGGACTTGTCATCCACCTCTCTGATGCTGTACAGGAGCAGCACAGGTATAGTCCTACGAACAGCTGGCAGAGAAGACGGGCTTGGTGGTTGGGAACCTACCAGCTTAGAGAAGACCTGCTCCTGGGCTGCAGTCTGGGGGTTGCAGGTCTCTATCTCCATGGGGCCTTGGTCCTGAAGAGGCCCAGGGTTTAGGAAAGACTCAGGCCCCTGAGTCCTTAGGGGACCATCTGTGGTCCTGCGTGTTTTGGCCGGGGATGTGGGGGGGGGTCCAGCCATGGGGGTGCCTGATGCTGAGCGGTAGCTGAGCAGGCCGCCGGCCAGTAGACAGGGGAAGGGAATGTTGTGGTGCTCAGGAAACTTATCCTTTGCTTTGGCCTGGCTGTAAGCCTTGCCTTTCTTTAGTGAGGGGTTGGCCCCCAATTCCTCCAGATCCTTAACAGTGTCCTCCAGCACACTGGCCACCACCTCCCACTGCAGCTTCTCTGGCTGCTGGAGAACACTCAGCGAGGTCACTCCTAGGCTCATGTCCATACTTTCCCACCGGGACTGCTGGCCTGGAACAGAGGTAAGAGGAGGGCTGGGGTTTGTGCTGTCTGGGAAGAGGTATTTCAATGACGCCTATCATAAGGAGATCGCTCCAATATAATTTATCTCAACAACAATAGAATCACCAGATCTTGGCATCGACGAACATGGGAAATAAAAGTCTTTATACCTGTTACTGACTCTGAACGAGAATGTTCATCACTGTCCGAGTCCTCCAACTGGTCATCGCTGGAAAAGAATACATGTTAGAAAAAAAAAAAACATGCACACACACGCCTTCTCTCAAATAAAACAGCCTCAAGCTAAGTTACTAAACTGAGCTCACGGTGAAGGTTATCTTGACTCGGGTATCTACTGGCTCCAGCCTAAATGAAGCTCCTTGCTTGAAGTGTTGATGTGAACATATACTCTGGTATTTCGCAGCTCCCATTTGGCCCCGTTCACTAATATGTGCGTAGAAATGTTCATGCAAAGGACTGTTACATTCCTTACATGTTGGCAACAGCCCAAGAGGCATGCTGCTAAAAGATATTTGAGATTGAAGTTTAGACAACAACAAAGTTCACATCAATGTTGTTTTTTTCCAAATGTTCGTCAGAGATGAAAGAAACCAGACAGATTTACTCCTATTCTGTACTTAATTCTGACTTGACACGTTATTTATGTTTTGCTCTTTTATTGTATTACTCATTCCCATTACACAAACTGCACACAATGAAGTTCCCTCTCAGCTATGTGACATTCTGTATCTAGGTACATGAACTATTAGTCAGCTGCTCCTTAAAGCTAATCACCAGTCCTTCTCTGCTGTACACCATGGTTACAGGGCAACCTCAGCCTCAATGATTTGTGTATACGGTTAGATGAATCAGAGGCGTTTGTGTGGGTTTCACCTGTCTCCTTCTAGCTTGGGCAGGTCAGAGCAGGACGACGACTCTTCCAGCCAGGCCAGAGTTGGTCTCCGAGACTCCGTCAGCGCCTGATGGCTCTGCTCACCACCGCACAGAATCAGCTGCCGCAGAATGGCCGGGTCGTATGGATTGACGTCAAACTTCAAGTGCACCTGTTCACGCACAATTACGCTCGTTCAGTCCGAAACCGACACTTTAGAAAGTGATCAGGACACATGACAGATGATTTTTATATTTTCCCAATTAGGTGCTCTGACCTTCATCATTTTGGAGACATCCCATACGCAGATCTTGCCCCTCTTGGTGGCAGCAGCCAGAAACTGTGGGCAGCTGCCGAAGCCATAGCAGGCGATCTTGTCCGAACTGTCGGGGCTGTTGGGAGTTTGGGCGGGGCTGGTGGCAAGTGTAACTGACAGCGGCACGTTCTGCGTGTGCTCGCCCTTCACAAAAGGACAGTTGGGAGAATGCCGCTCGTGTTCGGACCTGGGGAAGGGGGGGTAGTGGAGAAGTATTGGTTATCAATAGTTTAGTTATAGTACATACATGTATGCATAATTAATAGTCTCTGCTCACCAGGGCTCATCCGTAGGTTCCCAACAGACCAGACACACACTGCAGGTGAAACACATCGCTCTGTCGTCTCCCGTTGAGGCAGGCTGTGGACAGACAGGGTAAATGATGAACTTGTTGCAAATTATAATCATCTGGGCTAAAATGGGGGTGAATATTCTAGGGATTAGTAATAATCTACCTATTTGTTTCAAGTATGCTCAACAGTAACCGTATTGCATGAATGGCACAAAGACAACAATAACTTTTAAACTTTAGTTACCAACCTGTCTCCTGCCCCACGAGAGAACATTATTTTTAAGAAAAATGTATCTTGAAAACAAGCATCTGTAGGAAAGGACACACATACAAGTGCTCCATCCCCAGGTAGAAGTCACAAAATTTTTTCATGGACCCTTAAAAGTTTGACCGTGTTCAAGAAAGCAGACAAGCCTCTGAAGGCGGTCCATAGGTCTCAGATTCTGGAGATTTAGATCACAGCAACGATGTTCAGTGTTTCCTGACCAGCGAACAAGGTGTCAGTCACAGACACTGATGACTGCAAAGCTTTCTATAGCTTTAGGTGTTTGGTATTACACCAAAGCACATGAGCTTTAACCAGAACAGTCTCCTTGGTTGCATTCGGTTAAATGCAGCCAGGTGTCTTCCTCTGAAACTGAATAATGTTCCGCTGACCTAAAACACCATCAAGGTCTACTGTGCATGAGAGTAAACAAATATGAACCGAGTATCTGGCTCTTCTGAATTCTCTCAAAACCTACCTGGTGGTAAAATCCGGCTTGAGCCATTGGATCAGGCTGAGCCCACCTGTATCCAGCATGCGGCCACGACGTGAAAGTCTCCCTCCTGTTGGCCTCGCTGTACATCAGAGATCTGGAGGGAAGAATACATTTTAGGAACATGCTATTGTGGAAAGTGTTGTAGTACATTTTTTAAAGTACAAACATGACATTTTTTTTAGCTATTACTAACGCTGCTTGTTTAAGGGAACACTACATGTTATCGATAGACTACATAATAGTTAGGGTGCACAAAATGAATTATGCTTTTGATTACTAATTCGCACACACAAATAACTGCATCAGGAATCAGATGTATGATTGAAAGTGAATATAACTTTTAGGAGATGTGCAGTTGGGGTATGACTAAATTAAAATGGAAACTCAAATTAAAACATAATGCTATCACATTTCACTCCGTTGACCAGGGGAATATACAGTGCATATAAAAATATTAAAAAAAATTTACATTAAAAAAACCTATGCCCGAAATCTTCAATGTGACCTATAAATGTAAAAACAAAATTAAATAGTTTAGGGGGGGATAAAAAATTTGAACCGTACAATAACATGGTTGCATAAATATGCACATTTCATTACTGATTTCATTCCAGCACTGTAAGAGTCTATAAGCACAGCACATCTGGACTCCATCTCCTGTGCACCACCCTCTTCAGATCATCCCCCAGATCAATTGGATTCAGGTCCATTCCAGAACTTTAAAATTCCTCTGATGAAGCCATGCTTTGGTTGTTTGAATGTATGCTTTTGGTTGTTGTTGTTGTGCAGAGTAGTAAAAGTCCTCTTCATCTTTCGCTTTCTAACAAAAGTCTGAGGGTTTTGTCCCAAAAGTATTTGGAGCGGTTCATAATCTCCTCCACCTTGACCAAGCCCCCCCGATGCAGCTGAAGGTTAACAACCCCAAAGCACGGTGATGCTGCTGCCGCCCCATGCTTTAGGTTGGGTATGATGTTCTTTGGGCCTGTAGAATTATGGCCAAAAAGTGTAACCATGGTTTCATCAGATCATAACTCATTTTCTCACATGCTTTTGGGAGACGTCCGTGTATATTTTTGCTAAGTTTGGCTTGGATGTTTTTCTCTGTAAGAAAAGGCTTCCGTCCTGCCCCCGTAGCCCATACCCATGAAGACTACGGGAGGTTGTTGTCACATGTAGTACACAGCTCCTTTACTGTTGCTGTAGGCCTCTCGGATGCTTCCCTGACAAGTTTCCTCCTCGTCTCTTCATCAGTTTTGGAGGGACGTCCAGTTCTTGGTAATGTCACTTTAGTGATAAATTTTCTCCACTTGATGATGGCCGTCTTCACTGCGTTCCATAGAACATCTCATTCTTTTACTAACCTTCTCCTGACTGACCCTTTTCAACAATGAGATCTCTGATTGCTTTCGCTGTAAATGCTACTAGACAGCTGAACTTTACGTGGAACTATCAGCATCACTTTAAATTATGACAGGTGTATACGGACTACAATTATGAGTGTGAATGTGATTTGTTAATCCTGAACACAGCCACATCCCCATCTATAACAAGCTCACACTTAAACGAGCTCACACTTAAACAACCACAGTTTTTAGTTCCCAATATTTCCCCCTAAAGGATTTTATTTTTTCAATTATTTACATTATATGCCACATAAATGGTGGGAAACATTCTAACTTAACATGTATATACAGTGTTTCCCCTTCAATGCTGCAGAAATGTTTCTGTACAGTCTTCAGATCTGTGCCTCGATATGATCCTGTCTCAGAGGTCTGCTGGTTTGTGCTCTGACATGTGCTGTCAATGTGCTATAGACAGGTGTGTGCCTGGCATGTCAGCAACTGAATAAAGCAGGTGGACTCCAATCAAGTTGTAGAAACATCTCAAGGATGATCAGTGGAAACAGGACGGACCCGAGCTCAATTTTGAGTGTCATGGTAAAGGCTGTGAATACTTGTTTACATGTTATATTTTCATTCTTTAATAGATTTAAAAACGAAAGAAAAAGATTTCACTTTCTCATTATGGGGTAGAATTTAAGGAAATAAATAAATTTAATCCATTTTGGAATAAGGCTGTAACGTATGCAAAATGTGGCTTGTGTGTGTACTCACACAAGCCACAGTCGCCATCAGAAGATGGTGCCATGTGGTCATATAGGGATGGACATGGTCCGCAATAATACTCAGGTAGGCTGCAGCACTTAAACCACGCTCAATTGGTACTAAGGGTCCCAAAGTGTGCCAAGAAAATGTCCCCCACACCATTACATCAACAGCAGCCTGAACCGTTGATGCAAGGCAGGATAGATCCATGCTTTCATGTTGTTTACGCCACATTCTGACACGGCCATACGACTGTCGCAGCTGAGATGGAGACTCATCACACCAGTCAACACTTTTCCAATCTTCTATTGTCCAGTTCTGGTGAGCCTGTGTGAATAGTAGTGTCACTTTCCTGTTCTTAGCTGACAGGAGTGGCCCCCGGTGTGGTCTTCTACTGCTGTAGCCAATCATCTTCAAGGTTCCACGCGTTCATAGATGGTGTTGTGCATTCCTTGGTTGTATCGAGTGGTTATTTGAGTTACTGTCGTCTTTCATCTCGAACCAGTCTGCCCATTCTCCTCTGTCCGCTCACATCAACAAGGCATTTTTGTCCACACAACTGCCGCTCACTGTATATTTTCTCTTTTTGGTACCCCCATAGAATCCCAGTAGATCTGCAGTTTGTGACGTACTGAGACCAGTGCGTCTGGAACCAACAACCGTGCACGTTCAACGTCACTTACACACAAGTTTGAATTAGCATTTAAGGGCTTTGTTGAAGCTGGCTCAACAAATGTAGAGAGGTTAAACACCTTAACCGAAACAATGGTAAAACTCTTTTCTTCCAACTACTCAAATCTCTCTTAAACACTACATCAACGGGTCATCATTCACCCGTTAACACCCATTCATACTCTATCGGGAGGAGCTACCATACGACCCCTGTCCATCAGTAACTAACGCTCACACAGCATACATCTATACTTTAACTCCCAATCGCAAACAGGGGGACGTTTTATTTTGAGCCACAAGTGACTTTACTCAATGTAGAATTTCAATGTGAGTGAAAAGAACTGCAGTAACATTTGATTTTCCTGAGAAAATCCAACCCTGCAGCTTAACCAACATGAACAAGGAGTGGGACTCTGCGGGACCAGTACTGTACAAAGTACACATGGACAGTGAGCAGCACGGTTTGGATGGAACAGGCGTACCACCCACCGTTATCGTCCACTAGAATAAATAGATTGGAATTAATTAACAATATTTATAATCTTTCAGTGGACACTGATTAAAGTCAACGCATTAAGAGTAACAATGTGTTGTGGGCATGAACTTCTTTAACCTAGAATATCCCTGAGGATTTGAGGGCACTTGTCCATTTGTCTAGGAAGCAATCCAGCTTTACTGATTGGAACATTTCTATGAGCCGCACGAATAATTCTTCTAACTCTAAGATCTCTTTCAATGTGTCCATCCACTTTAGCCACAAACAAAAATGAATTTGTTCCCTGCTCGCATCCCCGGTGTTTCCGCCAAGGTTTACACGCGTCTGCGTGTGTCCATCGGGGCAGAACTGCCGTGGACAATTGAAAGAAAACAGAAAAAACGTCCCGACTTTCTATATAATGGTAAAGAAAACAGTGCTCACCTATCTACAGAGCGACCGGGGCCCACCCCAAGCTCGGGCCTGGTGCTTGACAAGAGGTAAGAGAGCCTGTCCATGATGGATGAGGCCACAGACAAGGCAGCGATGTTCTGGTTTATCTTCTTGAGCTCATTGACGATGGCACTGGCCACCAGCCTCAGCATGTGGTGGGGAAGATGGAAGGTCACTGTCGCCCACTGAAAGAATGACGGAGAAGCAAAAGATTACAGGAATACTTTTGTTGGACTATGTACTGTAACGTTCTTCTCATTGAGTAGGTAGCTGTCTGGCCTCTAAAAGGCTTTCAAAGCATTTATTTTTATCCTATTCATGTAAAAGCTAAAGGTCAACGCTTGTGTCATGCATCCGATTATTGAATTTGTGATACAAAGACGGTGTAATGAACTAAAAAAACGCTCAGTCATTTTTTTTATATGACGATCAGCATCAGAAATCTGTCAACGTGTTTTTAAGATCTGTTTTGGGCCAAAATGTCACCAAAGGTGCATCCCTAGTTGTTATGTCAATAACTACTATAGGCAGAAGTTAACAAATATTGATGGTTTACACTGTTTTTAAAGCAAAACCATTTGGGACAGAGGGGGAACTAAATTATAGTACCAGCAGCACTACCAAAACAAAAAGGATCGTACCAACATAGTGACACCGTGGCCCTGATGGGGAACAGAAAAAACTAAAAATGCACAGCAGCTAAATGATAAATCCTTAATATGTTGATATGAAGACAAAAACAAACACATAGTAATACCTTGGCCACTTTGTGATTGGCCGCTGTCTCGTGTGAGGTATTCTTCAGGCCTTCTTTGAGCTGGGTGATGAAGAGTTCATAGCCCTCAGTGTTAGACACATCGATCTTCTCCTGACAGGCTGACAGCATCTGCTGGGCCTGAAAAAACACCCAAACAAACATGTTAGTTAAAGTTCTCACTGCACGACAAAAGACATCTCATGCGACGACTGACATGAGCAGGACTTTAGTTATTTACAACACAAATAATGTCAGAGGGTTGAAGATTGCAGATAAACCAGAAGCCTCAAAGGGCATAAGTCATGAACTGCCTGGGGGCATTACATTCTTCGTGGAAACATTGGTGGTCATTTTTGTGTGTGAGGAAGGTTAGTGTAAAAGTAATGTGAGGGAGGATTGATGGCTTAACAACAGTTTTAACCAGCCTGATATACTCACATTGAGCAAGTTATTCCACGGAACAAAAGCCTTTGTGTGAACACATGTATGCAGGCAAATATCAGGTGACAACTATTATCTGTGTAAAGAGCTTCCTGGTGTCTCTAACCTCTGTGACCGGCAGCTCCAGTTGAACCATATCCTCCGGTTTGGCCACCGGAAGCTGGAGAGCTGTGTCCAGGAGCAGGATACCGTTCAAGTCCTTCCTGCATCCCACTGCATAGTCGTTCACAAAAAGCACCTTGTCCACTGCGGGAAAGTACTGACACCTGACACGACCGCCAGGTTTCGCTGTGACAGGAACAGAGGACAGCAGACAGTGTCACGTAGTAGGAAGGACAAAGAATTCCCAATGTTACCACCTGAGAGAGCGCAGGTGCTCAACGTGTTTGCACTTTTTAAGTGTCGTAACTTACACAATGTTTTGCGTTTAGAGAATAAGCTAAATTGTGAGGCGGCTCCCTTCGGGTTGAACGAATGGGGATTGACCGATGAAGCATCCCCATGTGAATAGAAACTTAACATTACCGTTTGAAAGTTTTCCCACACAAAATAAATTAAGCAAAACTACGGCTTTCTCATCTGTGCTGTTTTAGCATTTACACATGCTAAACACAAAGGAAAAGGCTGAGGATTGGAGACGAACAAACTTTATGAAAACTGAATACTCAAATCTGTTCAAAAGCCGAGCTATCAGGGACGTTCTAAAAGGCAAGAACACTTGGTAAGAAAAAGCAGGATCAAGTTATATGACTTTATTAAACATAATGCTGAATACTTGTGCCAATCACTTGAACCAGTGTGGCTCAACATATAGGGAATTGTAATCCTTGGTACGACGGCATACAAGTTAAACACACAGTGACAAAAGAGACATCTATGATTATGAGATCTGGAACAATCCCTTAACGAAAGCAATGATTAAGCCCTGTGTCTCTAAGACTACATCAACAACAACGTGCAGCTAAAGGTGACTATTACCACTTACTCAAGTTCAAGAACAGACATGTACACACATGTTTATGCGACATCTGTTATACTTTTTCTTCTTGTTTATTTGTATGTATGTAGAGACTAAACAAACTAACATAATAGAAGATTGATTTAATGAAACAGTATTTCTCTTCAAAAACATTGTTTTCACTTGGAGGCAACAGCAACAACGTAGCAGCACCTTTCATAACACAAGTATTGCAGGTATGCTATATGACTGCAGCAGTAACATGTGCTTATCAGGATCTAGAACTGTGTTGATACTGTAATGGAGGCTTTCACAATAAAATTCTAAAACAAATCAAAATGAATACTGTAGGTGGACAACCGCACAGTCAGACTGCTGTCAGCTTTAGTCGCGTTGTACCGATATAGTTACAACGCTAAACCAATCTGGTTTCATGATCTGCATTAAAACTGTTAAAAAGTAAGTATGAAACATTTACATTTCAAAATAAACTTAGATTAAAGTAAACTAATGCAAAGTCAACTGAAGATCAAACAACTTGTGTATTGCTGCAAGCCCATTTTTGTAATATCACTTTCAGCGGGTTTGTAAAGTGTCCCTTTTACGTACATTATGAATCTACACAGCTTCCATTGGAGACATATTATATTAACATTGTGCTAGCTGGAAGCTGCATGCACCCTTGACATCATGCCAGGTAGTCAACAGGCCAATAAATACAAACAGACATGGCAGTCTGCTGATGGTGGATGTTAGTATGAACACTCCAACAATGTATAACAATTTGTAGCTTTATTTAGAAAATTGGTGAATAATGTCTATTATTACAAGTAATCAATCGAATGCAACCATGTTTAACTCCTAAATGTCCTACTGTACCAAACCGGCTTCACCTTAAGGTCACCTGAAACAATTCTCAATAGGGTTTGAAATCAATGGTCTCATGAACAAAAACCTGAGCACTGTGATGGGAAGGGTATGGTCTTATTTCCATTTTAAGAATTACTCTATATATTAATATTTACATGGAAATTGGCACTACACATTTTTCGCAATCCTTTATGTTGAAATACAACTTTTGTTCAACCAAAAATAAATCAGGGTTAAAGCTCTTCCACAAACGCTGGCATCCATCTGAGATTAGCTAAATGTAAGACGTAAACACATGCTAACATAAAACCACCGTCTATAGGATAGATTTGTCTTTGGCGCTTAAAAAACAACAAAAAACACAAATGCCACAAACAAAGGTGTTTAAAGAAGCATGTGGGAAGCGATCAGCGTTGCAAGGGAAATGGGGAAACTAATATCTTGATTCTTTGAAAACATGGTATGCTGTGTCCTGTCCCCAATTACATTGTGACTGCACTTTGCATCCAGTGGGCAGGCAATACCAACACAGGTGTCAAGTCTGGCCCAACTCTGCGGCACCAAATCAGTTTACTTTCTGTTTTCTAATGGTCGAGGCTGGAAGTTACGACAGCTGACGTTAAAGTGCCCATTTCCCATTGACTCACTGCGCAGCTTTTGACTATTAGGTAACGCTATGTGCGCTACTTCAGATGTCAAATATATGCATTTTAATTCTTACAGACATACCGCGACTGACCATTAGAAAGGAACTAAGTTAACAAGAAACATCGACCGGCTAACTGGCGCTGTGCTAAGTTAACCAGCTAGCTAATAGCTTGGAAGGTAACGTTAGTAAACAGAAGCGAACACTCGCGTTCAAGAAGCACCACTTTGTCTTTGACTACAAACGCATCGACGTCCGTGCGCGGCGAACTAGCAGTTTGCCAGATAATCTAACTAACACGAATCCCAAAGACAACGGCTGGGGAGAGCTAACGTTAGCCTGCTGGTCTGTGTCGTGTTTAACCTCGCGTCTGTTGACAGCCAGCGGTTCGCGTCTGAAGCCGTCTGTGCCGGGGCATGACAGAGGGCTGCGGAGCTTACCGTGCAACGCTGAAGCCTGGAGAATGGCCCCCGAAGTCCCGTCAATTACTTTGATACTGCCGCGGCTCGTAACGGCCAAGATAGTGTTGAGGGCCGGGTGGTAGGAAAGGCTTCGCAGGCCCTCCTCGTCGCAGCGCAGGCAACCGTCTCTCAGTACGATCCAGTCTGAAGGGGTGGACGAGCCGAAGCCCGGCGAGGCCGCGGCCGCCATCTTTCCTTATTTTTTTTTGCTTCTCTTGCTTGTGATGTTTGTAAGGATTACCTAATAAACGTAATATTGTTAATTCTAAGAGACTAACTCCGAACTATCACTCCTCTGCCACTGCTGACTCCTTCTCCGGCTTCTTCTCCTCCGCCCGTTACCTCAGCAGTGGCTATTCACCACCAGCGCTAAGCAACTCCAGGCTGGGCTCTCTGTCAGTGACACGATAGGTACATGGAGCTAGCGTATCTTCATGCACTTCTCGCGATAGCACCAAGTGCAAACGAGAATCACGGGTGGAATAAAAAACTGTCTGTCAGAGTAATGGCTCTGCAACAAACAAGAGGTGACAACGTTGTACTGCGCCCTGCAGAGGAAACAATTGATGCATTACCCCAAACTACTACTGATACTTTGAATCAACATTTTAGAGCCTGAAATGATAAGCCTAATATATATTACACTTTATAAATTCATATTATACGGAGAAACCGTGTATGTCCTTACACTAGAAATAACATATTTCCATCATTGATTTATCCATCTGTCAGGTTTATATTTCTGATTTGTATCCCAAAAGAGACAATTAAACACAAAAAATGATGCGGTAGTGAACATTTCAACAGCACAACGGCAGATGTCATAACCGACACATATTCTTTTTTGCTAAAGTAAATTAGAATGAAAAATACATTCATAATTGAATTTCATAAAAGGATAAGTAATAATATCCGTTGACATTTTAAATAAAAAGTGAGAGGAAAAGACGGATTGCTGGCAAAACATTACATTACATTACATTACATTACATGTCATTTAGCGGACGCTTTTATCCAAAGCGACGTACAATAAGTGCATTCAACCATAGGGTACAAACTCAGGAGAACAAGAAACAAGAAAGTGCAATTTCCTCAAATAAGCCAATTTACAATTTGCTATAGACGAGTGACGTTACAAGTACAATTTAAGTGCTACAATTTGTTAGTCTTTAGTCGAGGTAGAGTCTGAAGAGGTGTGTCTTTAGTTTGCGGCAGAAGATGTGAAGGCTCTCTGCAGTCCTGGTGTCTTCAGAGAGCTCGTTCCACCATTTCGGCGCAAGGACAGCAAAGAGTCGAGATCTAGTCGAGTGTTTTGCTCTCAGTGAGGGAGGGACGAGTAGTTTTGCAGATGCAGAGCGGAGAGTGCGGGTTGGGATGTAGGGTTTGACCATGTCCTGGATGTAAGCTGGACCCGATCCATTCACAGCATGGTACGTGAGCACCAATGTTTTGAACTGGATGCGGGCGGCCACCGGTAGCCAGTGAAGAGAGCGGAGGAGTGGAGTAGTGTGGGAGAATTTCGGAAGGTTGAAGACCAATCGAGCTGCTGCATTCTGAATGAGCTGCAGAGGTCGAATGGCGGTGGCAGGGAGACCAGCCAGGAGGGAGTTGCAGTAGTCCAGGCGGGAGATGACAAGAGCCTGAATCATTACCTGCGCTGCCTTCTGAGTGAAAAGGGGACGTATTCTCCTGATGTTGTAGAGCGTGTATCTACAGGATCGCGATGTCGTGGTGATGTTGGGAGTCAGGGAGAGTTGGCTGTCAAGTGTGACGCCGAGGTTCTTAGCGGTCAAAGTGGGCGTTAGCACAGAGTTTCCAAAGTTGACTGTCAGGTCCTGGGTAAGCGAATCTTTTCCGGGAAAGAGAAGTAGTTCAGTCTTGTCGGGGTTGATTTTTAGATGGTGAGCGGACATCCACTGACAGGTGTCAGTTAGACAGGCAGAGATCCGAGCCGCCACCTGGGTGTCCGAGTGAGGGAAGGAGAGAATTAGTTGGGTGTCATCGGCATAGCTGTGGTAAGAGAAGCCATGCGAGCGAATGACAGCGCCAAGAGAGTTGGTGTAGAGCGAAAACAGGAGGGGACCCAGCACGGAACCCTGAGGAACTCCAGTAGTAAGAGGACAAGGTTCCGACACAGATCCTCGCCAGGTTACCCGGTAGGTGCGGCCGTCGAGGTAGGACGAGAGAAGGGAGAGAGCAGAGCCTGTGACACCAAGTTCCTGAAGGGAGGAAATAAGGATCTGGTGGTTGATCGTGTCAAATGCAGCAGAGAGGTCCAGAAGGATGAGGACAGAGGAGAGAGAGGCGGCTCTAGCAGTGTGGAGTTGCTCTGAGACAGCAAGGAGAGCAGTCTCTGTGGAGTGGCCTGCCTTGAAACCTGACTGGTGGGGGTCAAGGAGGTTGTTACAGTGGAGATAAGAGGAGAGTTGATTAAAGATAGCACGTTCAAGGGTTTTGGACAAAAAGGGAAGAAGAGAGACCGGTCTGTAGTTGTTTTCTTCAGAAGGGTTGAGGGTAGGTTTCTTCAGGAGGGGGTGAATTGGGAAAACAGCCAGATAACAGAGCGTTGTTGATGAGACAGGTGAGGAACGGAAGAAGGTCAGGTGCGATAGATTGTAGAAGATGTGATGGAATGGGGTCAAGAGGGCAGGTGGTCGGACGGGCAGAGGTTACTAGGGTAAGAATTTGGTTAGGAGAGAGGGCGGTGAAAGAGGAAAGTGAGGGCGAAAGAGGTGAGGTCGGTGCGACGCGAGAAGTAGGAGGTGGGTTTGAGAAGGAGCGTATGTCAGCTATTTTCTTGGTGAAGTAGTTGACAAAGTCTCCCAGAAGAAGGGTGGAGGGGGGAGGAGGGGTAGGGGGTTCGAGGAGATTGGAGAAGATCGAGAAGAGTTTTTTGGGGTTAGAAAATAAAGATTCGATTTTGGATTGGTAGTAAGAGCTTTTGGCAGCAGAGATAGAAGCAGAAAACGAGGAGAAGAGAGATTGAAATTTAAGCAGGTCGTCAGGTCGTTTATATTTACGCCATCTCCTCTCCGAGGCTCGCATGGTGGCTCTCATGGCACGGACCGGTTGAGACAGCCACGGAGCCGAAGGGGATTTGCCAGTCCGTCGTGTCGTAAGAGGGCAGAGAGAGTCTAGAGAGGAGGAAAGAGTTGAGAGGACAGTGTCTGCAGCAGCGTTCGGATGCAAGAGTGAGAAGGAATCAGTTGAAGGGAGAGCTGATAGAACGGAGGATGCCAGCGAGGAGGGAGAGAGGGAGCGAATATTGCGACGAGCCGGTATAGACTGAATGTTTTTTACTTACTGAATGTTTGCTATGACACATATTTGCATCATTCCCTATCATGCTCACTATCTACTATTCAACATAGCTGATGTTACAGCAGGCCCCATAAAAGTGAAAAAAACCCTGTACTGAATCTTTTATGAAATGAGTGTAGTCAAGGGCGTAACCTCGCATTTTTTGGGGGGTCGTGTTCCCCCAAATATTGAGAAAATACCAATCTGCCCCCCCCCAATATACAGCAGGAAATATGTATGTAATATATGTTCTCCTTTTATGAACCCTGTCAATGGATCGGCCTCTTGTTATGTCTTATCTCTGTGTGGTTACAATGCAGGCAGCAGAGAGACGCCACGCTGAACTCACCAAAACAAAGTGGGGGGGCAGTCAGTGTCTCGGAGAAATTGCACTATTCCTTTAGATGTGAATCCAAATGGTCAATGTCGTCCTCGAAACTATGTTCTAAATGTGCACATTTTTATATATAAATATAGAATTGTAGGCAATGCACTTAACAAAAAATAGTTATGAAGAAGGGTATTAATTTGGACCCCCCCAATGTCTAAACCATGATTACGCCCTTGATTGTAGTTATGTTCAATTCTGTATGAAATTAAAAATGCTCAATATATACACAATAAAATAACAGAGAAGATATTCAATTAAATGTAACTGCTGAATTAAATAGAAAATAAAGAAGTGCAGAAAATACAATATATATAGTGCTTTATGCAAATACTGTGAAATGAACACAACGGCTGAGATGACATTGTAACTATTTACTGCAGGAACTGGGGGCAAATGAAACAAATGATGAACACAGGACATGTCCTATACCGAGCAGATAAGCATGTTGTAGCCGCTAAAGCACAACAAAACAAAACAGGCGGAGCCATACCAAGCACTTCCAGTTAGCCGGAGGTCTGCTTCCCCATTGGCACCATTGGAACCTCCCATCACAACACCGTACCCAGTGTCTCCTTACCCTCACAGCACCCTGAACAGTGCACGTAATACAATTCACCAGCAGTTACACTAAATGATGGCCCTAAACATACCAGTGACTGATAACGACAGGGCAGCACGGCGGCGTGGTGGTTAGCACTGTCGCCTCACAGCAAGGAGGTCCTGGGTTCCACTCCGCCCAGTGGCCTTTCTGTGTGGACTCTGCATGTTCTCTCCGGGTTCTCTGGCTTCCTCCCACAGTCCAAAGACATGCACTGGGGATCCGTGTGAGTGGTTGTTGTCTCCGTGTCAGCCCTGCGATTGGCTGGCAACCAATCCAAGGTGTACCCGGTCTCTTGGCCGAAGTTGGCTGGGATAGACTCCAGCCCTGTGCAGTCCTTGTCCATCCTGTGTGCAGGATAAGTGGTTTGCAGATGGATGGATGATAACGACAGCAGGTTACTGCTATGGGAGCTCGCAGGTTTGTACCCATGTCACAGTCATAGTATCATTAACCCTGTTACCCTAGAATTTGCAAAACTTGTGATCCTCATACTTTTGATCAAGTCCAACTTTCCATTTCACTTTAGTTTACGACCAAATACCTGTGAAAGAAAATGAAATTCCCATCTGCCTGTAGACGCTTCGCGTTTGGCTCACAGAGCTGTTTGTCTGAAAGTTAGGTGGCTTGTTACTCAGCCTGGCGAGTCCCATTTGAGGCTCTCTGTATTGACACCGCTGCCTTCACTGCACTTTAGCGTTTCACGTGTGTGTACACTGGGTTCATGATGTCACTTTTACATGAATTTTTGGTGTTGCATGAAACCGGTAAAAAAATCCCATTTAAGCCCGTCACCTTCAGGAATGTCATTAAAAGTATCATACAATCCCAAGACATCTGCAGAACTTGATTTCTGTGGTTTACATGTATGAAGCGCTGAACATGAGTCAAGAACAAAACAAGAACAGGACCAAAGTTACAGGAGAGGGAGAGAGATGTCAGGCTGACAGTGACACAACAAATAACAGAGCAGAGCAGAACACACACATATATATATATATATATATATATATGCAGTAATGTAAAACCCACCAGAAGCTTCAGATGGGTCCAGTGGATGGTGCTCAACCTCAGCCAGATGTTGTGGTTGTGTTCCCAGAGGATGCTGATCTTTAACCCCGCCAGACTTTAACCACAATACCAACCAACTACTCAGAGAGAAGCGCATTAGAGAAACCCTTCAGGTCTCATTGGACAGTAATTGAGGCCCTCAGAGGCTTTTGAATGTATTTCATGACACGTCTTTCTGAACAAAAACACAATAATCATTTGTGCTTTGCTTTATATAAAGAAAAAAAGGAAACACCGGATGTTTAATGTTAAAGTGCCAAATAACTATTGATTTAGTGTAAATGTTGATCAAATGGTTATATTCCTGTACGAAGCGGCTGGCAAACAGGACTCTGCTATTACGACCCACAAATTAAGAAAAACAAGACTGAAAAGTACAACACAACAGTGCATCACAATAAACCTCATGGTTGAATGCACAGATTGTAAGTGGCTTTGGATTAACGCAACAGCTAAATGAAACGTAACATTAGGCTCAAACTATCTTTTTCTTTCTTTGTAGTGCTTCCTCTTCTGTTGAATTCTTCACCACCTTTGGCACCAAATCCTTCAGTTGTACAAAATATACCATTAAATGAATATACAGCCCTGGGTGATAACGACAAGGTCTTCGTCCTGGCGTGTAAGCTGGAAAAGCATATTGGGTTTATTGACTAAAGAGGGACACAACTATGTACATTGTTATATATTTCTAAAATCCCCACCGTCTACAATGAAATACAGTTAAAAAAGAAATCAAACCCCTTTTAAAAAATCCTGGTTCTGTAGTTAGGCTGCCCCTTTCTACCCGTGTCCATGGAACGGTCCAGTTTCAACTGGTCGAGTCACACACCAGTATATAGTGACAGGAAGTAGATATACAAAAGGAGAATGGGATAAATGAGAAGGGGTTTCTTCGTTTTAAATTCATCTCCGACGAGCAGTGAAGCAGCACTGTAAGCAGCCCAGAACACTCCGAACAGCTGGAAGACAGAGACAGCTTATTCAGTCATCAATATGTCCACCACACAACTCACATCACTTCAAGTAGCATACTAGAACATTTGAATTCATTTTCCTTTTCATCTTTCGATACTCAAAGAATCCCATATTAACACCAGGTTTTGGCCAAATACATAAAAAGGAAAAACTTAAATACCACATTGATATATTCACACTTCCCTATGACACTTGTAATTGAGCTCATTCCTCTTTGAGATGTTTCTAAACCTTCAGGAGTCAGTTGATTGGACAGTGAAGCCAGAGCTTCATGTGTCAAAGCTGCATAATCTCTACTGTCCACCAAGGGGCGACTCCTCTGGTCCTATAGAAGTCTGAGAAAATGTCCCTACTTCTCTCTTGATTTATTCCCTCAGTAAATATTGTAAACATTAGTTTACAGATTCCATCTGTAGTTTAAAGTCTTCTTCAATACAGCATGATCTTCATCAAGTAAATGGTGGTCCAGATAGTGCCCACTTTGATCAGAAGCAGGCCAGACCATTGAAGTTATAGAGGGGGGGGGTGGCACGGATGATACAGCCGGTTAATATTGAAGACGACAAAACTATAAAGGAACACATATGGAATTATGCGGTGAACAAAAAACGCTTAACAAACCAGAATATGTTTGATATTTTAGACCTTTTGCTTCGATGACAGCTTTGCACACTCGTGGGAGTCTTCACCTCATGGAATGGTTCCCCAACAGTCCTGAAGGAGTTCCAGAGGTGCTGAGCACTTGCTGGCTGCTTTGCCATCACTGTGCAGTCCAACTCATCCCAGGCCATCTCAATGGGGTTAGGTGGTCATCTGACGGAGATGCCCGTCACTCTTACAGAGCCTGGAGGTGTGTTTGGGATGGCATGTCGCTGCAGAAGGCTGGTTAAGTATGCCTTGGATTTAGAATAAATCATCAACAGTGTCACCAGCAAAAGCCCCCACACCATCACACCTCCTCCTCCACTCTTCACGAGGGGAACCTCACATGTGGAAACCATCCGTTCACCTTTAAAGCGCCTTACAAAGACACAGCGGATGGAGCCAAAGATCTCAAACGTGGACTCCTCAGCCCAAAGTACAGATTGCCTCTGGTTTAACGTCCATTCCTTGTGTCTCTTCTTCCTCTTGATCCTGCTCGCGGCTTCTTTGCAGAGGTTCAACCATGCAGGCCTCACGCAGTCTCCTCTGACAGCTGACGTTGAGATGTGTCTGCTACTTGAACTGAACTTGAATGTGGGCTCTAATCTGAAGTTTCCGAGTCTGGGAACTCTATTGAATGTATCCTCGGCAAGTTCTCCGGATTGACTGACTCCTGTCTTAAAGTAATGATGGTCATTACTTACATTACATTTCTCTTTACTTTGTTGAGCAGTTCTTCCAATAATCTGGATTAGAACTGTAGTGGAATAGGCCTGTTCACTGAATAGAACTATGCACCAACCAGGGCCTCCACAACACCAAGGATGGTCTCGAACACATTAAGGAGGCAAGACATTCCAGAAATAAACTCACACCTGTTAATGGAAACCATTCCATGTGACTGCGTCGTGAAGCTGACTGAAAGAATGCCACGAGTGTGCAAAGCTGTCATCAAAGTGAACGGTGGCTACGATGAAGAATCAAAAATCAAACATATTCTGGTTTATTTAACACTTTTTTGTTTACAGCATAATCTATGTGTTCCTTCATAGTTTTGATGTCTTCAATATTTATATAGAATGTGGACAAAAGAAAAACCATTGAATGCGAAGGTGTGACCAAACTTTTGACCGATACTGTACCTTACTAATCCACGTGGAGAGAAATAGTAACTCAAACTCTGTTATCTGACATATTAATAAAAAGAGAATATCACACATTAACCCACAAGGCAAAAATGAGATGTTTTCTGCCCTTCTGATTAGCCTCATGCTTTGTTTGTGCCACTTTCTCTTCCTCAACCATTTATCCTGCCCACGTGAGGATTACGGTCAGACTCCCCACCTCGCCTTATGTAGCATTGACCAATACCTGCATGTCCAGAGTAGCCATCTTGTCCATTCTGGGATTGAATGGGATAAGACTTGTGTTTTCTGGAATTAATGTCCATGAATATGGTGCCGGTGTGTAAATTATTACACAGAAAATAATACAAGCGATTCACTCTACAGAAAAAGGGAATAATGATCCCTGCTGGAAAATGTAATCATTAGGGATGTTAATAAATGAAGGAGATTATGCTTCCCCATTAACTGACAATATGAGATGAAAAATTCAATTTAGGTGTTTTTGGCAACGTGTGGTCTTTTACTCACTTTGATGAGGGTAGAAACCACCTCGAACCCTCCAATGACTACGAGCAGAGGGGCTATGACGATGAGGGGAAGGAGGGAATATCCGATCACTCCAAGGACCTGGCCGAAGGAAACCTGCTCACGATAACAAAGGACTCCGTGAGAACCACTCAGAGGATTGTCTGAGCAGACCTGCCGTCAGGCTGTGCTACTTACTTCACCACCAAGAACACGAGCCAGCAGGAAGATTGTTAGAGACCCAAAAATCCAGATAGTGATTATCCAAGACACAACCTGCAAAATAGAAGCACGCTTTATTATCCTGTTGATGTTCATTTAAAGTGTGAGAAGCGATCATAACAATCCAATCTACCAAACAAGCCACATACTCAATCATCACAAACGGGTCTGTAAACTGAAGGATTTCTACCTTTAACTGGTCAACAACCGTTTGCACAAACACGTAAGACAAGCCCCAAACAATACAGGGGACAAAAAACATGAAATCAATCCTGCCCCTCAAACACAGACTGGGCAATCGTAGCGTAGCATCAGCCGGTTCTGCTGCGTGCACTCTAACCACAGGTCTGCGGTTTTCTTCATGCTTTGGTGGAGTTGGGGCTGGTCATGGTAAACCGTGTAACGCAGATACATTACTGAGAAAGGAGGAAGGAGATAGACCTTTTGAGATCATTAACGGAATATAAGCAGCGGGCTGTCTACCCAATAGTACATAAAAAAGAAACTGATATTACCATCTTTAGTCGCACAGTAAGCTTCTCTTATGGTTTGTATCCAAAATGTACCAGCTGATAAAAAGCCTCACACTCCATCTAAAACCTCTGATTATGGGAGATACCAGCTTATGGGTATTTGAGTTCCTGCAGTAGACAAGTCAAGACAATTCCGGACCAGGATGACGGACATGACAGTGGTGCTTATTGTGTTAACTACTCACCCTAAACTGCCCATAGATGGAGATCATGGAGAAGAGCAGCACCACGGCTAGAGGACCCCAGAAGTCCGGGTTGTCTCTGACCACCTGCCGGTTATAACCCAGCGATGGCATTGGCATCAGCACACATCGAATCTTGTAATAGATGTCCTTCAGGTCGATGTCCAGCTCCTCCCTTCTCACACAGACAACATTACAATTTCAAGCTTTGCACGAGGGAATATGCAAAAGAAAAAGTGTTTTTATTGACATCAGATCTGCACCAGTGAGTTAAATCTGTCTCTGATACTAAAGCCAGAACCACAAAATCTATCCAACAATTATTTGGCACATTTACCTTGGTGACGATTAAATGACCAAACGCATTCAAAGCGTTGAACACACACGTTTTGAAGGTCATCTATTGTTTTAAATGGCCAAATACTCAGGAAAAGCCCAACCGCTTTGATGAATCTACTCGCTGCTTTTTTGCCACAGTGTCATTTGAAAGTCAGTTTAATGGAAATATATCCATGGACTAATGATACTGCTGTGCCTTTCACTGGTTATAATGACAAATGCCACATCCGTTTACACTACCCAAGATAATTCAGATTGTATGTTGATGCAGAACCGTGAATGTACTTTTTATGAGGTAAGAGAGGCTTCACTATGGAGCAACATTTTGCAACAGCGAGTGGCCTCATTGTTTTTCTACGATATTTTTTATAGAACACTGCTGAGTATGCTGTGTTGGTATTCTAAAGCTGATGCCTGCAGTGCATTAACTGATGCACGTTGCTTTCACGGGAATTAATAATGACAAAATCTAATAAAAATGTACCTAAATAGTATGTTTATGCATGTGCTTTTTCCTAAAGGCATGTGTCGTTTCCTGAGGCCACTGAAGGACGGCACGAGTTTACTGTAAGAGAACATTTACTCACAGAAGAGGTTTACTCTCTTCCCTCTCATCTTCCTCCACCTCAAGCAACCAGCCGTAGCCTCGCTGCCTCAGGAAGGTGGTTGCATATGGATCTTTACCGCTGTCGCTACCCACGTTCAGTTTGATATCCGGGGCACTGATGGTGCCGCTGAGCTCTGTGGAAAACATGTTGGTTTGCAGAGTTAATAATTTAATCATAGAGCAACAATTTACACAGCTTAAGTTTTATTAATGCATTTCTGACAATATCAGATATGCAGTTACCACGTAAACATCATTGAACATTAGAGTGAACAAAATCAAATTTGAACAATCGATTTGTTAATTAGCAGAAAAAGGAATCATTAATTATTTGGACAATGTTTTGCTAGCTTCCTGTGAATTCATTATCTTTGGGTTTACATACAATTGCAATGATTGGACAGCATTTATAGACTAAATAAGTGAAGTCAATAAGTCAATCAATAACAGCAGTAAAGGTCGGCTGTGAACACGAACACACACACACACACACACACACACACACACACACACAATATTGAACTTTTTTGTTAGGTACTGAACGACGTTAGTTGGCAGAGCTAACGATAGCATGCTCATTTAAACAGGTGACGTTCGCGTGGCTGTTACGAACAGCACAACGTGGACCCACGCGACGGTTCGTGTTTTTACACTGATTGCGTGAGTACTTGCGTGACTGTAACACGTCCCGTAACGTTACACGGGGGGGTTGTCTCTCGTAGGCCTTGCTAGCCGTGTGTCACTGCGGGCATTAGCTTACCTTCAGCCTCCGTCGAAGAGACGAACGTAAAGTCTCCGTTTGAGGGAGAGAACTGCATAGTTAATCGTGACTGCTGCCAAACGCCTCAGCTACAGACATGTGACATTTACACACGCAGACAGTGAAATGTGCCGAGAAGCGTTAACAGCGTCGTCATTGATCACAGCTCATCGGGGAAGTTAAACTATCGCATTTTGTTTTCGTTCAGGCTCCGCTTGGCGAGCCGGAAGTGCAGCGGAAGCTGCAAAGTGGGACACGTTTTATGATGCGTTCACGTCCCGACATAAGGTGGGAAACAAGGAACTCCAGCTCAACGGGAAAACATATACACGTTATTTTATTCACCAGCCGATGCGTGTAAAAAATAATCCCACGTTTTACGTAACAAGTCATTTGTTTGTAACATGTCAGCACTTAATTGATTTGGGTGTAGAGTTCATTCGATCATAAGAAAGAAAATACTGTTGGAAGTGGCGACTATAACAGAGTAACTAAAGGTGTAATAACAATATTTTTGATAGAGATTTGATTTTGAGAAGGTCTATGACTTGAAGTTGAAGGAACAATACCGAATTTCCTAAATTCTGGGCTAAATGTTGTCTGTTGGAGTGGAACGAGAACGTTTAAATTGGAACATCAGTTCAAGCAATGAAGGATATCTGTATTTGGGATGTTGGGTAGTAAGACACTTAGAAGATAGTATAATACATTATGGATTTACAATATTGGACGATTGAATGGGGGTTTCTGTCTTGGCAGATAATGGTGCAATGAAGAAAAGAGGAATGAATGTGGAATTTCAGTTGGGAGTTGTCAGAAATTCTACTTGAAAAGGAAACAAGTGGTCAGTTAACTGTGTTTAGAGTGGATTAAGCAAAAACATGATCCCTGACAATAGAGATAAATAGTAAATGAGTCATTTAAGACTTGGAAAGTTTCACAACATTAATGGGGCCCTTCATATCCAGAAAGTTTTTGATAAAGGTCCGAAAATTTAAACATTTTTCAAACAAACAGTTAATATCAATTTTATTCACACCTAAACTATTTTTTTCATTCCTAAAAGTATATAAGTCTTGAGTAAAGACCAAAAAACAAAAGCTAACTGCTGACAGACGTGTAAATCATGACCTGTATTTTTATCATCCCCCAGCATGTACGCACACAATTAAGAATCGTACGAGCGATATTGGCAACAACACCACTATTTGGAAAGTGAAATATTGATACAACACATAATATTATGTATGTATCCAGTGCCTCTGAAATCACACCTTCGTAGTTACAGACTTTCCCTTCACCTCTCACTTGGATGTTGCATCAAATTAAATTGCAACAAAGAAGACAATAAGCTAAACATGAATTTCACTAGGACAATCTGATTCGCCACCATAATTGGGTAATGAAAATCTGATTCTGCACGCAGGCACTATAGGGCCCTGCTCATTAATTACCACACCGGTATAATTCTAGTGTTCTAAGGATAACACGAAAAGTATTGTTATTCATAGACCATCTTGATGGCAGACATTTGGAAAGAAAGGCACGTGCGTAAATAAGTGTCCCAGTAAGCTAGTGAGTGTAAACTGGCTCATTTAGTGTGAATTCAGATATTATTAATGTCATTAATGCCACATGCACCTTTTTCTGCTTGACAAGTAAAGTATGGCTGCACTTCATTTCATTTTCAAACACCGGTGCTTCTACTTCTAGTGTATTGACTTATTAATACAGCCACCATGTCACATGGCCGCTGACAGCACCTGATCAGTATGGAAACCGCCAACCTGAACCTCTAATTAAGACCTGCGTGAGGCTGTAGGTTGAGTTCCTTTATACTCCCTGATGTTCTGGCTGCTCTCTGGCTCAGTCTTAGCGCTAGTGAAGATACTAGAATCATTTGCCACTATAGGAGCCCTAACTAGCTTGCCAACCATGTCATGCCTCCAGATTTTTGAATGAAAATGTGTGTAATTCCCACAACTCTTCCCTTTACACACATGCCTATGATCATCCCATATTATTGGGGCAATAACATGCAGTTGTAATGTATGAATGGGTTATTTTCACCTATTCTATAAATGCAGCTTATGATTATTTCTGCTTTGGGTCTTTAAACAGTCATGTGATTGCATAAATTGGGTATGACCGGCAGCATGAGTGATGAGGATAAAAATCCTCATCATAACCAATTCACATAGTGAGACCTAGTTATTAGAAACTTGGTGTCTAAAATGACCTTTTGGGATCCCGAGGATAATCACGACTCTAGAGAAGAGTACGACCCTGAACTACAGCCGGAGGACAATCAAAAGATGCATGGCTTATTATGTATTGTTTTATGTATTGACGTGTGAAGTTATATCCAAACACCAAAGAAACAAAATTCTTGATGATTGGTCTTCTCTCTAAAAGTCCAATCCTTTTGCTACGACGCCATATCGTGGATTTTTCTTATGGTAAGGATCCACCCGGTGTCACTTATTGTGCTATTTGTTTGGTACTTTTGATTGAAAAAAGATTTCATCAATTCTTAAGTCATTCAACATTCCATTCAGCACCAAACCATTTTACACTTCTCTCATGGCGTTATAATCCCCTAAACACTTTTTAATACATTTTATTTAATCAATTAGTTAATTGTTCAATTCCTAATGTATGACTATAACCAGCAAACAATGCTGAGCTACATCTAAACGTAATCTTTAAGTTGTCAACTGTAGAGAAAAGGCTCGTTTATGTGGGCTTCTTTATTAAATGGGTCCGGGTTGCTTGTCTCTGCTTCTCTGCGGCGTTTAGCGCGCCGGCACAATCCCTCAGCCCATCGAACCGCCGCCAGCCGCCTACGACTGGGAGAACTCGGTATCAACACCGGCGTGCCTCATTTCAAGAGGCAGTGCGGGGACACTAGCTGTACATGTAGACAAGTATGCGGACTCGAGTATACAATGGCATCTCTCTCTGATGGTGGTCAGACAGCAGAAGCTAGCATGGTGATGAACCAGAGTAAACAACCCAGAGGTCGTTAGCACATCAACTACATAAGTACGTTAATGGGATGTAGCGGTCAGGTTTTGGAGCGCATCTCTTTTCCTACCATAACACCCTCCTCTTCCGGCCAACTGGCCAATAGCGGAAGCACATAGTGGATTTTTTTTTTGCCGCTCAAAGTAAATTCGCTCCAACTCCTTCAGCCCAGCTGCCTGCATGTGTCGATTACACCAAAGGTAGAAGGAAACAAGTAAGTTTTACGTTGACATTCGTCATTATATTCATTTTGCTAGTTTAGGTCACTGTGTGTAATCTTTGACGTGGGCTGCAGCCACAGTTGGCAATATGGAGCGAAGAAACTGTCGACGTCTTTCAGTTAGTTTAAATGAATGTTTCTCTGAGACGACGGATGCCCGTTGTTGTCGTTTGTCACCTATTTGACATTTGGTAGGGTAACGATACTCATACTGGATATTATGAACCTACACGTTAATACGGACTTCCATATTGATATATAGAAGTCTTTTTGCATCATTCGATGGCATTTATTCTTCCTTGAGGTGTTGGGTCCTGTTTGCTGTTGGATGGATACAGTGGGAAGAACCGATGACGTGATATTCCTGACAGGGAATTCGACGTGTTTGAGGCATCAGAAGGGGCGTAATGTAACGTGTGACAGAATTCCATCTTCCATTAGTAAACTCAGTATGAACCCCTCCCTCCATCACCAACTTGAGCTCAACCAATAGCTACTGAGTGCTGCTCACCTGAGCTGTGGGACACGTGACGCGGTGCAGTAACTCCATAATGTGTGACCTACAGATCCCACAAGACCACGGTTCACAAAGAACGACTGGATCCTTTGTTTCTGCTTATTGTCAGTGAGCAATTAGGGCTACATCATCAATGAATACTGGCATGCATCCTGCAGCATTATAAACCCTTTTAATCATGAATCTGGACACACATAACTGAAATACTATACGGACCTATTTCACTATTTGTGCAGCAATGAATCAAGACCCTTTGATGCAGAGCGGATCCAACATTTCTTATAATAAAGATATACACTGTCCCCTAAACTGTTCCAAAACAGAACAGAAACCAACAAACTGAATGTGTCTAAAGTCTTTGCATGTGTGGACATGTGTGAAGCTGAAGGTGATGTTGTAAATCTACTATTGCTGTGGAAGTTTGAGCTTCCTTTTTTTCCCTCCATCCATTCATCCTCAAAACGCTTATCCTGCACGGGGGGGGGTCAATGGGGCGAGAGACTGGGTACATCCTGGACTGGTCGCCAGCCAATCGCAGGGCTAACATCAGTGTTTTCCTGATTCTTTTAAAGTTGCTGAATCAGCGTGGCTCCTCTCAGCAGCAGAAAATGGGAATCTCTGGACTGCTGCAGTTCATTAAAGATGCTGCGGAGCCCGTCAGCGTGAAGAAATACAAAGGCCAGACTGTGGCTGTGGACACATACTGTTGGTTGCATAAAGGAGCATTTTCATGTGCTGAGAAACTCGCTAAAGGAGAACCAACTGACCAGTAAGCATTTTTTATATTGCAGCTGAACGTAAAATAAAAATGATTTCAGAAATATGGGAACATTTTGTAATTGTTAGTGGGCTTCTGTTTATTTGTTAAAAAAGCCAACTTATCACATCATGGTACGTGTATAATTGATATCACTATATCTTTAACACTATACAGACATGCTAGACACCGGGACAACAGTAAACTGGTTTATTGCGCTCACAAGGATTCATAGTTGGAACTAAACGATCCAAGCAGCCCAGGCAACATGTCCTCTATGTGAACCTTTCAGCTGACTGCATGAAACCAGATCTCTATTTATCCATGCCAGAATAAATACAGCCAAATTGATGATATTTAAAACAATTTGTCTATTGTTTCAATTACACTAAAGGTAATCTGACAATGATGTTAATCCCCAGAACTAATCTTGACAGTTTGATGTATTCAATCCTAGGTATGTGTGGTACTGCATGAAATTTGTGGAAATGCTTTTGGCCTTCGGTGTCAAACCAGTTCTGGTGTTTGATGGACGCAATCTGCCTTCAAAAAAAGAAGTGGAAAAGTCTCGCAGAGAGTGAGTATATTTCTTTTTATTGTGCAGTGGTGTTTAGATGCACAACATACATTTCATGGACAGCACCATCGACAACCTCACGAGTCCTTGAAAAGCCATCAGTCCTGTCGAAAACTAAAACTTAGTTTGAATGCATGTTCAGCCAAGATCAAAGCAGGTTCTATGCAAAAACTCCATCCTCCAAGTTGATCTCTTTATAATATGTATTCTGTCATTTACGTTTGTTTTCTACCCTGTGTGAACTGGTCACATTACTTTGAAACCGGCACATAAGACCAACAAATGAAATGAATAAATACCGTTGGCCTGGTATTTCTGAAACTGAACGATTGAGTGGTTGAATCGTTTTCCCTTTTATCTGACAGTTTTCTGTTCTTCATCATAACTTTAACATATTCCTCCCAGGGGAAGCTGGCTCTACATCCGACATGGCAAATTGGCAGCAAAAGAATAAAATAGTCAGTCGCTTCCGATATGTGAAGTGAAGATCTGGTCCTATTGTTGACTATCCCACATAGAAAGGGATCAGTATCTACAAAGTGTACTTTTGTGGGCTGAGCTTAGCTGGTTGAAAATGAACTAATGAGTGAAGAAAGTTACACCATGTTCATCACGATCATCCAGTGTTTTCCACAACTGGTAACAAGCACACCCAATTAGAAGGACTGCACTCTAAACAGCAGCAGCAGAGCAACGTTGTTATGTGTGCAGGTGCAGAGAGGAATGTACAGAGACAGCCCCTCCACCACCAAATAAGTCAGCCGTTATTCATTCTGTTTCCTTCATGTCCTTCACAGGCGTAGAGAAGCCAACCTTCAGAAAGGGCGACAGCTTCTACGTGATGGCAAACTGTCTGAGGCCAGAGACTGTTTTACCCGCTGTATCAACATCACCCCAACCATGGCTCATAACCTTATTAAGGTGAGGACTCCCTAGCCACATGGAATCCCGTCGTATGCATTCCTTTGCTCCACGACCGCCGCTGACCTGGAATCTCCTCACATGGGCCGTCAAATGACAGCACTTAAATTATTTTAACTTGTATTTTATACAGCTAAGTAGTTTAGCTGTTAGTCAGCTGAACTACTTTTCAACCAGACCCAGTAGAGGCCCCTACTGGGTCTCTTCTGGGTTGCATCAACGCAGCCAACATTAAAAAGGCTATGAAAATATTACATTTTGACCATTTAGGCCCCATAGTCCCATGCTTTCTATGAAATATTCTTTTTCCATAAGCAATTCAGCAAAGCTGCGTGTGGGTGTAGGTCTGCAGAACATGTTTTTGTAAACCAGGTTGCTAGGGCGAGAGGTGTGGACTGTGTTGTGGCGCCATATGAGGCTGATGCTCAGTTAGCCTTCCTCACTCGATCTGGCTTGGCCCAGGCTGTCATCACAGAAGACTCTGACCTGCTGGCATTCGGATGCAAAAAGGTATGTCGTGATCCATCCAGCGGAAGCATTCCCAGCTGCATACACATTTAGACATGAACCAGATGTTTTAATGCGAAACGTGTGCATGGAGAAGTTATTTATAGAGTGTTGATGTTATAGCAGCAGAGGTTAAGAAACCCCATCACCTGTTATTTTCAGAATTACATTTTTCACAACAAAACCTGACAAAAATCTAAATCTAGTTTGAGAAACTGAAAAGACTCGACCTGAATTCAAGGTTCTAACTGTTAAAAGACCAATGGAGCATATGGCAGTTCATTGGAATTGGTGATAACCATTTTAATTTTCAAACAGGCTTCTTGCTAGTCAGGGAGAGCCTCACCATTATGCACCAGACATTACTGGCAATCAGACCACATTAACTGGAAATATCTCACTGTGATGTGGAGATATTGTGCAGCATGATGGAGTAAAAATGACACAAGCAAAAATGCAGCAACATATATATATTAATTTTATTGATCAACACTGCAAGCTCCATTAATTTTATCTTGATTTCACAATTAAGAGCACACTGATTTGCTTCATAATCTCAACCCCGATTTACTAATCGATTACCAAACTACCGGCAAACATCACCCAAATTAGCGGGATAAAAATAGGCCGGTGTAGTTTAGGCTGACATCTGCTCGTTAGCCTCAATTAAAAAAATAACACCATCACACACCGCAATTCCATACCTTAAACTTAGGAAAGCGCAACCATAAAGTAGAGCGACAACTGCCTTTACGCTGCCGCTAACTTGTTATGCAACCGTCTTTAACAATCATGCAGGTGATCCTCAAGATGGACAAGCAGGGAAATGGCCTGGAGATCGACCAAAGCAACATGGGCCGCTGCCAGTCTCTGGGAAACATTTTCACTGAGGAGAAGTTTCGCTACATGTGTATCCTCTCTGGATGCGACTATCTGGCCTCCTTACATGGCATCGGCCTGGGGAAAGCATGCAAACTGCTGCGACTGGCCAGAGACCCTGATATCCTCAAGGTGAGACCAGGTGGAGAGATTATTCATTTTGGAAAGTTACTGCTATTTGAAATTGTGATTCCAGAATCACCTCATTTTTAAGACCACCAAAACACCAAACTTGCTTCGGGGGAAACCGGGTTATGGCAGCAAATCACTGTCAAAATTTGAGAGTGCAAATCAGGTTGATGCGTGCGCGTAAAGCAAACATCCGCGAGCAAATCTCCGTCTCGCGTAAGATATTTGCTCGCTCGCGGAACGTGAACTTCCTCGCTCGCGAGGCTAATCTCTGCTCGCGCTCGAAGGTGTTTTCTACACGCTTGCTGCTGTTCTTTTTGGCAGTAAGGGGGCGGAGCCAGTCACCATGATATCTCTACATCGAATTGGTTACAAACCCCGTCTTTGGATTGGCTGGAGTGATGCATTCACAGAACACGTAGTTTGTGTTTTGACGACGTTCTATCTCATAATTTCGACTTTCTTTCCCTGTTCTGTAGTGCGGAAATGGGCTTCTATAGTTGTGTGAATGCATCACTTCAGCCAATCCAAAGATGGGGTTTGTAACCATCTAGATGTAGAGACCATGGCGACTGAGCGAGTAGAAAACACCTTCGAGCGCCTCGCGAACAAGGAAGTTCACGTTGTTGACCCAGCAGATTTGATCACTTTTTCTGTTAACCCATAATAAAGTCATAAAAGAACCAAACTTCATGAATGTTTTTTGTGACAAAGAAGTATCTGTTCCAATCACTCAATCCCAATCAGATAAAAATCAGACTAGTAGAAATAACAGGAAACTCGAGAGCCACGACATTATGTTCGTTACAAGTGTATGTAAACCTTTGACCACAAATGTACGTGTCCTCTTTACTTGTGCTAATATCACTGCACATTTTGAAATCCACTATTCTCCCAGAAGAGTTTATGGCCAGCGTGTCACACGTTGCATACACTCGGCGCTGACTTTCTGGTTCTCTGGTGCTTCCCCAGCAAGACAGCCTGGGCCGCCAGCAGCAGGATGTTTGTATCTGCGCTGCTCTGGTCTGCAGTAAGCCGGTTGCTGCTGGGGGCCTTGCTGTAGTCTCAGCTGAAGGAATTTTTGATGTAGTCTGATTTTGCCAGAATTTAGTTAGTTAGTAAAGGCTGGGAGCAGTGGTCCAGTAGCAGAAGGTTTATTATGAGCTTTTGTTGCCTTTTCAGGTGATCAGGAAGATGGGCCAATATCTGAAGATGAATCTAGTCATCCCTGAGGAGTACATTGAGGGGTTTGTCAAAGCCAACAACACCTTCCTCTACCAACTGGTGTTTGATCCTGTCAGGAGGAAGGTGGTACCTCTCAACAAGTACCCAGAGCACATCGACCCGGCCACCCTCAGCTACGCTGGACTGTATCCTCCTGCCCTCAATCGCAGCGTCCTCGAAACCCACCTCTTCAAACTGGCCTTCACCTGTTGCCCCCCCACTATGACTCATTCCACACAGCTTTCCTTACCAAAATGTTCTGTTTGTTTTTCTTTACCCCTTTTTGTCTTTCTTTTTTGTGTATGTAAAGCAAAAAGCGCTTTATCAAATATACACACATTATTTAAAAAAAGAGATTTTTTTATGTTTTTATCCTTGACGCCATGGAATCCAGTAATCTAGGAGATGACAAAGGCTTGCAGATGGCCTTGGGAAACCTTGACATCAACACCATGGAGAGGATAGACAACTTCAGCCCAGATAAACCATTGCCACAGGTACCAGATCAGTCAATATTGATAATCTCTTTAACCAAGTGTGTGATGGGATTTGATTTGAAACAACTTTGCAAATGTCTATTTTTAGCCTTCTAAACCCTGCAGTCACCGCTGGAACCACTCAGCGGCCCCCAGTGGGCCCAGTATCTGGAGTGGAGGCGTAAAGCAGGCAGCAGTTGCCCCGTCCATGTCTTCTGTGTCCCCAGGCAGGCCTCCCCCCACCAGGGGGAAAGAGAGAATCATCAGCCTGGTTGGTCTGAAGCGGTCTGCCAGAGAGCTGCAGGGGAAGAGAGCACGAGAAGGTGAGATGTCAACATGCAGTGTTTTGATTGTGTCAGTAGCCTTCAGCGTAAAATCTGATTGGTTACTAGGCACAATAGTGTGTGTGTTGTTGTGGACATACGCAGCCACTTGATGCATCTACAAACATGGTGTCAGGGTGTCTGCCTGGTTCACTCGGTCAGGATTTACCAGTGTCCTGACTTATTCATGTTGTTTTTGTCTGCAGGAGTATTTACCTTACATGGTAGGCTGTCATCAGTGTGTATATGATGACATGTAGTGTTAAAGAGCTTCGGGTGGATGCAACACTAGAAAAGTACAGTGCATTTATCATAAATCAAAAACAAGCAAACCATTGAGAAGTTGAATATGAAAGAAATGAATAGAACAACGTGCTAAATGGTAAATGGCCCGTACTTGTTTAGCGCTTTTCTAGTCTTCCGACCACTCAAAGCGCTTTAACACTACATGACATCATTCACATCCATTCATACACTGATGACAGGAGAACCACACACAGTGACACCTGCCCATCCGTCACTAACACACACTGTAGTCGCAGCTACAGGAGCATGTTGTGTTAAGTGTCTTGCCCGAGGACACATCGACATGCGGGTTAGCAGAGCCTGGGATCAAACTGACAACCCTCTGATTGGAGGACGACCCGACTCAGCCACAGTGGCAAAGTGCAAACCAATATTACATTTGTAAAGCCAATGTTTTCCAGTGTATTGCGGTTTAGTTTAGTTATCTTTCCTTTTAGGAAACAGCTCAAACTAAGGGATTAAAAATAAGCGTTGTGATAAAACCTAATGGAATCTGTACTTATGTACTGATCTTTTTCCTCCTATAGACTCCAGTGTATCAGATCAGGATGTGCTCCAGCAGTACTCGTCCTCCGGTCACAAGCGCTCCAAGTCAGACCAGCATCCAGACACGCCAACATTAACCAGTCCGCCTTGGCCCCGCAACTGCTTCTCCACCCTGCTGCAGAGGAGGAACCAGCACGCCGAGGAGGACAGCCTCACACGCAGCAGGTGACATCGCACCCAACGATTGGCTTATCAGCAGGCTCATTGTTTTAATGAGATCAATGATTTAACAAACTACTCAGTTAGCACATTTATCATGGACGGGATTTAATCCCCAAACTCACGGCTGGTTGAATAGTGTGTGCATGCATGGGCGGACGGACCCGGCGATGGGGTGGGAGGGGGATTAGGGATGGCTGGCGCGAGCCTGGGAGGGGCGGGGGGGCTCCCTCCACGCATTGCATGGTAATGAGCAAAATTCAATGATGATTTTCATGAAGTTGCTATTTTTAACAATAGTATTCCCTTCACACTTGCTCAGTTAAAATAGTTGTAAATATTGATTTAATCTTAAAAATGTGTGTAATCAATTGTAGAACTGTCATCATTAAACCGGATTAATAATTCATATTTATTAATACTTGCAAGTAGGAGACGCACTGAAACACACATTATGCATCAAGGCTTCTTGAAGGTCTCCAAATTATATAGTTGAGATAAAACGCACTAAAACGTGGAGTGCTGGACAAGAGCTTCATCTGTTCACTTCCTGTCTGGAAATGAAGGGAAAAAAAGGTATAAAAAGAAAAGCAAATCTAAAACCAACATGGACTTCACAGTGAATCCCAGCTGAGTTCTTAGTGGTGGACCACTTCACCTGACTGACAGGGACACTTGTTGCTTAAGCAGCACAGTCTTTCATTATCCTGATGTTGTTGTACTTATTTCCATATGTAGATTCTTCAGCAGTTCCACTTCAGCAGCCAGTCGGATCACTAAGGAGGATTTACCTCAGCCAGAAGAGCCCACCGCAGGGAGTCCCACTGCCCTGATTGAAAATGATGTTCCAGACATTCCATCTGTGGACACCCCCAGCCCGCCTGCCTCCCCCAGCACCGCATCCCCCAGCACAGCCTCCCCCAGTTCAGCCAGTCAGGGCCCCAGGCTATTCCTGTGGTCAGGCAGCTCCTCCACGACTGATCAATCGATAATGCCCAAGTCCTCTTCAGGCCTGGCCGCCCTGCAGCAGTTTCAGTATAAGAAGGAGAGTGTTTCCTTTTCCACAAAGACTGTGTCGCCCTCTCGTCCGACCGCTGACGGAACCTCCGTGCAAAGGGACCTTCAAGATTCGCCTCCCTCACAGGACAGCGCCTACTTCTCTCAGCCTCACCTCACTTCCTGCCGAAAAGAGGAAATGCTCGTCGACAGATTTCCCTCCTCCAGCCAGGAGGATGCTAAAACTGTGCGTTCTAACACATCTACACTGCCTTTTAAAAATATTTGTAGACCCCTTATGGTTGAGTCACATTCACACACACATCAGAGTTTCATGGTTTGAGAATTCGTATGCAGAATGATATTTTAGTAGCACGACATTGTACATGTTTTTCATTTTACTTCCAGATGGAAATGAATTCGAGCAAAGATTCTGAGTCGGTGCAGAGTCCCACACACTTGACAGAGTGCGATCAGAAAGCTGCTGTGCTGAGATCAAAGGTGGGTTTGTGCCTGCGTGGTCCCATAGTTCTGTTTTTCCACACAGACACACAAGTAAACTAATATAGTTTTAAAAATGTCACTCATTACGCTTAGAGAAAAAGGGCCCCTTTTATAATAACTTATCTTCCCCGTTAAGATGGTTCAGCTACTGTAGAGAAAAGGACGCCGTCTCTCGCTCTTTAATCTCATGAAGTGCTCGGCGAGAACGACAGCTTTGTTTCTCCGACGCGCCCTGAAAGCAGCTCCATATCTCACGCGCTTGAGCGCCGCTCAGCATCTCGCCGTCGTAGACGCGCTTTGGCGTGTTTGGCAGAGCGCCTTGAGCGCCGTGTACGACCAGTATGGATCAACCGATTAACCAATTGATCCATATATAAGGTGCTCCGGATTATAAGGCACTGTCTTTTTTTGAGAAATTTAAAGCCTTTTAAGTGCGCCTTGGAGTGCGGAAAATGCGGTACTTAACGTTCCATTTAAAAGTGGACTCCTCCCCGCTGTTGGTTCACCTGCCTCCTTCCTGAGTAAATGAAATCCTCGTCGGCCCGCACTGCATGCTGGGATATGCTTGGCTGCAAATGATAGATCGGGTGTGTCCTCCAAATTGGCTCCTGGAGGACTGCGTCCCTCGGAGACGACGGGACAGGACAGCCATGGGGACGGATCACATTGGTCTCTTTGGTTTGCTCAAAAGATGTATGTATAAGTTGTATAAGTAGATGTATGTTCGGTCTTGTAGTGGTGTCATGCATTGACGATAACAATGTGTGACCTTACGTGAGTGGTTTTGTAGCGCAAGCAGAAAGAATGAACAAATAATATTCTTCTGCCAATGTATGACTGTCAAGTATCCATCAGTTGTAGGTCCGGGTCCGAATAGGCTGGCGTCTGGGTCCGTATCCGGAGCACAGCCCGCCTACCAGCGACCCCTTGAGAACCTTATACGCTCCATTCAAACAGGCGCATATTGCAGAGACATGTCCCTGCAATGTGCCTGTGTTTGTAGTAATGCTATTATATCATTGTTCATAATATGTGTGTATTTCAGTTGTTTTTCTTAAAAACACACACACACACATGACATAGTCTTTCTCCCTCTAGGTTTCAGGTCTGTCGAAACCAAAGTCCAGCAGCCAGGGTCAGTCAGCGAAGGCGCGCCCGCTGGGCCCAGCCAGGGCCAGCGGGCTGAGGAGGAGGTCTGCGGGTTCTTCCTCCAACAATGAAAACGACCCTGGAGTCCAGCCCACCATCAGCAGCCTCTGGAAGAATTTCAGCTTTCAAAAGTAAGAGAAATACTCAATGGACTCTGTAAACATCACCGAACATTCTGGAACAAAACGGATGAGTGCCTCTGCTTTCAATTAGAGGTTCCAGGCCCCCGGACGGCTTTGCCGGTGTGAGATTTACAGGCTCGACCGGCTGGATTAGAATTGTCAAAAGAAATCCTCCTAACCACTTTTCCCTCACCTCTGTAAAACACGTCAACGAAAGGATTAGGAGAAGTCATGAGGAGTTAGGAGAAGACAGCCGTGGTGTTCAGGGAGTCCGACTGCACTAAGCTGTAGTTCTGATGTTAGTGACGTCAGGGCGCAGCGGCCAAACTGCAACTTCTATGAAGTCGGACTACAAAGAAGCCTTCAGGAGTTCTTGCAGACATAAAACAAGCAGGTTCTAATTATTATTACTTTATTAGCAAGGCTGCAACATAAGTGAGTTATGCTAACGCTTTCTCATATAATCTATTTATGTTTCTCAGTCATGATCGTTAATTCTCGTGCACAATAAGTCACTATTTAATATCTAAGTATTTTCGCTGTGAGGAACTGTGGGACGTTCCTTTTGTAAAGGGTGCAGTGGTTCCTCTGCTGAAGGAACTAAGTAGGGAAGCATTCAAGCTCCTTTCCTTAGCATTAGAGCATTTCTATAAAAGTAGGTACTATTCCTAATGAGTCCACTGGGGGTCGCACTGAATGAGCGCATGCCACAGACTCTCTGTGAGTCAGCTGACATCTCGGCGTCACTCCGGGCAGCTCTGCAAGCTGTGTTGGTGTTTGGTCGTGCACCTCATCGAATGCAAACAAAACCCAGTGGTGTCTGCAACCGTGTGCTGGGAAACCCACTTCATTGCCACTCAATGTTGTTTTACACTGAAATACGGTGAGACACAAAGAGCAGCGTGTTTCTGGTAGTAGCGTGGCACCCAGTGGTCCGGTCTTTAATGTCCCACGGGGTAATTTGAGCACAAACTAATAAGTAATGGTAAACACAAAATAACAGTGAGAATAAACAGCGATCATTCACAGCAACAGCAGCAGTAACAAAATCCCCTTTCAGTCTATTCGTCCTGCAGTTGGACTGTGTGTACCTGTATTAGCTCCTAACTTAGAAGCCTAGAGTCTGTTTTTAGGTTCAGGAGACTCTTCCAACTAACATAGAAAAGGTTCCGAGAGAATCAATAAAACGGAAAAAAACATTTGCATGAAAGTTCGGTCAACAACAAATTGGCGAAAGAGATACAAGCACTAAGAAGTCCACTGATGATTAGTATTCCCTGTGTAAACTGAGTTAGTAGAAATCCAACTAAAGGTATGTACCACGCTCATTCGCCTTCGGGTAAATACAGCTGGCTCTCTGCACCGTTCCCGCTCTTATTGGCCGCCATGTGGCGGCAGCAGAATTCCATACCAACAAACTTTAAAGGGGAACTGCTGGTTTTTACCCCTAACGTATTAGAAAGTGTGATCGGCAGACTTTCTGGTTTATCAAAGACAAAGAAATTCTAATTTGTGTTGTAAAACTATTATTCAACCATTTATAATGACTTTATAAACACTTTCATGAAGGTGCCAAATAATACAAATGCATCCGATTCTGTGCTGCTGCGCATCAGCTGTCACTGGTTTGTACAGCTCTACCCCTCTGTGTGAGTCTCTGCATGCACGACACATGCTTCAGCACGCAGCGAAATAGGATGCAGTTCTGTAAAAACGTAAAGAACTAAACTCTAAAACTTTACTTGTGTTTTTCAGAAATTGCCAGAAGATTGTGGCGTGTAAGAAAGGAGAGCCCATGTCTCCTGTCAAAGACAACCTGCAGGCCAGCTCACCTCAGACAGACAAGAACATAATCATTAGCTTCTGATCACAAGCTGTGCATGACACCCTTAAAGTAAGCCCACCATGGATGATTTGTCATCAACTTGTTTTCTTAATGTACAGTTTTAAATAAAGCAACTGCCGTCTAATACAGCCTTTTACTAACTTGACTTCAGTTGCATCACATTGTGTTATTGTCTTTTGTAGCAGCCAAAGAATGTGTCACTTGGTAAGAATGCACAATGCATACTTGAGTTTTACTGAAAATGTCCGTCCCACATGCAAGCGGAGGAATGTGGCGACGACACCGCTGGCTTCCTTTCTCCTCGCAACACGTCTCGTCCTTTATCTCCAGCTGTCAGTGTGCAGTCATGCATTTATCAGATCATTGAACAGGAAAAGAATCTCCTAACTATTATCTTATAATCAGGATGACTTATGTATTTATGACCTGTTAAAGAGCATTTTCTCTCTACAGCCTCCAGCTGTTCATTCATTACACCATTTATACAAAGGCTTCTCTTTAATTCCTCCCTAACTCTGTGGCTGTAATCAAATAACTTTTTTATTTTGACTCCCAAATGCCGCCCTCCACCCACCTGCATATTGAAATGTAAACTATAACAACGTTCTCATGCATGCACTACCTGTTGTCTTTAATGTCAGTGTTATTGCGTATGATCAGTATTCGCGTGATTGCTTCACTTATCCAACTCTTGACGTTGACGTTTTGCTCAGCAGTGGTCAAAGGAGATGAACGGAGGAGAGTTTCTGCGGGGCAGAGTACCTGAAATACTCCAAATACCAAACATGCCTCCCTTCCTTCACCCCGCCGGCTTTATTGCCCAAGAGACTGAACATTGCACTTTAAGCATCAGGGTACATGCGTTAATCCCATGTTCTCTACTTTGTCGTTTCCTTCAACTACAATGTGTTCGGCCCCCTGCTGCCTGAACACATGGCTTGTAGGTGTGCACATAGGATATCTTCTTGAAAAACATATCTTGATCATTGCAGGGTAACACCGGCTTGAGAAATGTTAATTGTAGACCCTAAACAAGTTCCTAGATCAGCAAACTAAATGTTGCAGTTAAAAGGAGTGTGGCTTGTCACAGTACACAATGTCCTAATCTAACAAGTAAATATTTGAATTGTTATTGTGCCGATGGGAGGAAGACAGATTTACAGTGATGCAGACTTGTTTGGAATGCTTCGGGCGATGACGGTTCTGTGTAATGGATGGAGAATGTTCCATCATACCTGAGTGTGTGGTTTGTTACTTTGTGTTCGATGCACCAATCAGTGTTTAGTAAGTTTAGACAGTCACACGTCTGTGCTTAATGTGCCTCCACCGTGCACACACACGTGCATGTGAAGGAATGCCGTTCCTCTGCATTCCCTTGGTGTCACAAGACAAGAGCAAAGGCTGTTTCAACACTCCGCCTCGCTGATTGACACTTTGTTGAAGAAAATCAAGTCCAGCAGTCCAAAAATCAACGACGTCATTCATGCTGGCGAAAGTTTACAAAACGCTGTAATTACACACCGAGCAATTTGATAATTCTAGGAAATCTCGAACTGTTTGATATGACTCAAGCACACATCTGTATCCAAACTTTATTTCCAAACCAACTGGTTCTCTGAAGCAGCTCGAGTCACACACACTGAGGACTCCGTAAGTAATCAAATAAAAACCACATATTTAGAACTAGTAATTAACATTGTAACATATTCCTCAGTTTTCTTTCTGCGTGTGGGACCCATCCAACGGAATAAGACTCATCTGCTGCTCTGCACTCTGCATGAGACCTGTGAGGTCCTCGGGTTGGTGCCGCCATTAAGAACGCACTTCTGACCTATATACATATGTGTGTGTGTGTGTGTGTGTGTGTGTATATATATATATAATTACACACACGCCTAATATTCAGAGTAGTCCGTCTCTGCAGCAACTTGTTCCTGTTGGTTCACAGAAGTAGGTTTGGGCCCTGGGGCCCTTACAGCGCTGAGGCCCTTGTTTTAGGCTTCAATGATAAAGACAGTAATGCACCATTGACAGCTTTGCTATTTGAATCAATATCTTCAAGTTCAAACTATGGTTTTGCACCATAAAAATAAAAGGAAGTTGACGACCAGAACTGTTTCTCTAATTATTGTAATTACTTGATATTTTAGTTTTATTATTTTTGGAAACGGTTAATTTAGTAGTAGTTACCTGTATTTGTTAACAAGCTGTAAACGTTGTTCCAGAAGGATTTATTAATGTCAATCGTACTTTGATTCAGGTTTTCATTCACAGACTTTGTTTGTTTTTACCATTCTGCATTTCTATCCAATTGATCTTACTTTATACTTGGTGTTGCTCAACATAGCTGCAGGTCATGTCATCAACGGGTTCGTAGAAGTCATGCTGTGGCATGTAGCATGTTGCTGACGCATCTCTATACGATGATACTTAGTCAGAATTAAACGATCGTTCTCATTCTCAACTAACCGCACCAAAGCTGTGAATACACCCACAATGGACACGCACGCAGCCCTGCAGCCCAGTGCTGATACCCAAAGGTGTGTGCCTTGAAGTGAGAGGAAGGCCAGGTATGAGCGGAATGCCGCCCCCCAGCTGGACGACAGCGTCCTCGGCCCCACATGCCGACGACATACCGGCAGTAGACTGACACACATCGCTGTTGTGACAGCAGAGAAGGCGGATGTCTGTGTACTGATGTGTGCATCTTTGTTTTATAGACCTCTTTTCCGCAGGTATTCATTAAAAGGTACCAGTTTGGACCTGAAACTGAGGCAGTAAATGAAACATGAATCGAGGAATCTTTTTTTCCTCCTATCTGACTTCACCAAAAGCCGCCTTCGGCAAAGAGACGTGTACCAACAAATTCACCATTCAGCCCTCACCCGAAGAACTGTCCCTATTTGGTGATCTGACAGTAGACCGGATTTAATCAATCTCACAGCAAGACTCTTAATATAAATCCCTGGGGAATGCCGACGGGCTGCATCTTTGGAAAACGTTTTCTATCCTTTCAGAATTAGATGTATTTAATTTGAGAAGTTGTTCTGAGTTTTGCTCTCTTTCAGCACCTTTCATCATGACTTTCTATGTCTTTACACATGTAACAGATGGCAGATTACAAGGTAGCAGGGCTTCAGTAAAACCGGCCTCCAGGCCCCACTGGGAATAGTGTGAGTGATCACTGTGAATTAATATGCAAGATTCAGGAACATTTTGTGGTCACTATGCTACACATGTTGACACAATGCCATGCCGTTGTACCTTGCTAACCAAGGAAAGGACTAACGGAACAGAATAGTATTGCTTGGAATCTTTTGAATTTGCATAAACAATGGCAACACAACAACGACATGGAAAATATGACATCCAAACAGAAAAAAAGATGAAACATTGTCCATGACTGCGTTTGACCATCAGGCATCACGATGTAAACCCAGAGTCAACTTCCTCTTGTCCGATCGGAGTCCTGCCGTCCGCCCATCAAGAGCAGCTCGATCCGGGATGAACGATGGATTTAGGTCTCTGAGAAGACGTCGGCTCAATTGTTGCATGTTGGGTACGCTGGAATATTTCTGCAACAGATTAATAGCCAATGGGTCAGAAGGTGAGCTTAGCCTTCTCAAGGGCTCCTCCACTTTTAGTATATATACTGTATATACATGCATGTATGTATGTGTATATATGTATATATATATATGATGGTCGCGTAGCCTGTTACAGCTGTCTCTCTCTCTGGGGGCGGGGCTAGTGCATTTCACATAGTTTCTGCTTTCTTTCTTTTTCGTTCATTTATATTTCTTAAGTGCCACCATATGATACACTGCCCCATCTTTACAACTTGTAATTGCAATTGGATTTTTTATCATTCTATTTGGTATTGTTTTACCTGTGTGTGTTTTAGTGCTGAAGATGCGCCCCTCCCAGGGTGCGCTCCCCTGCTTTGGGACGTTCAGATGACTCTATTGTCCCCAGGTGTTGCGCTGGTAGCCTCGTGACAGTCGGGCAACCAGTCCAGGGCGAACCCTGCCTTCGCCCAATGTCAGCTGGGGATCGGCTATTCCCTGTATTCAGAACATGGTTGTTATTTTTCCTCTTTCTTCATGTAGCAGGACATCGTACCAGAAAAAGCACGTAACATAAAATTGGACTCTCGCTCACTAACTTACTCCCTCGAATTCTTAAATCCCACACACAATATATTGCTTATTATTTGGCTATTGTCTTACAATAACAAAAGCCTCCTTAGTCTGTCTGCATCAGACAGTGTAGTAATTGATTGGCAGGGTTGGGTGGTGACACATCATTTGGGCGTCCCTAAGCATGCAGCCTAAAGTGGGAAATATGGTGCAGTTTGCTGCAGCAGAATGAGAGATTTAAACTTATAAACACACCCCAGGTTACAGTACTGCTTGGAAGAACTCATTATGAGAATAGCGCCTGTTGTTGAATCATTACCATGACTCATTAAAGGAAAGCAGCTGCTGTTTTATAAGACGTCGAGCTGATTTACTCTTCAACTGGGTCATTTAAACAAATTACAAGAAATCCATCTATATTTCATAAAAAGTAATCTTAAATTCTGTATGTATCTAGCAGTAAGGTCCCTAACTTGGAGAATTGTGATACCTGAAAAGTAGAAGTAATAAGATACCACAAGATCCCAGGTACCGTGGTTCTGCCGTTCTACGCTACAGCTTCTCTGCCAACATTTCACTGTTGTTGCTATTCACTATATTTTGAATGTTTGTCCTTTCCAGCCACCAGCCAAGTAGAAACTAATATTGACATGGGACATTCCCCCCAAAAATCTAATGGTACATGGAGATATGTTAGTAATCACATAAAACTAATTAATCGCCAGCAGAATGTATGTATAAATGTATGTTGAATCAGTAATTGAAGCGCTATTATTTTGAGCATTATGCTGTTTTTCAAGCTGATTGTGGGATTTGTACATCTGGTTGTTTTAAACTAGTAGCCATGGTTTTACATTTATGTTACTCTGGTATGAAACATGATAATAGGTTCTGATCTTATTGTTGGTAAATGCTGTGCTAAGGGAATGTTGATTGACTCTAAAGTCTGCACACACAACATGACCAAAACACCCTGACTTGAAGCTCTCCAACTGGATATACATTATGTACCAAAACAAATCAAACTGTTACTATTTGGAATGATGAAAATACTGTCATATTCCTAATGGGAAATAAAGTTATGTAATTGGAAATACTATGCACAGACAGAGATACGATCCTTTAACGACAACAGTGACTGTGGAAATATGTACGTAAAGTTGAGGCCAAAATGTATTAATCTGTGCACATAAGACCGTAATCCTAAATTTGATTGAAGTTTCTACCTCAAGCTACAACTGGGCGTTGCGCAAAATCATATATTAGTGTCCAAATGAATCACTGGTGTCGACGTATATGTTTGCCCCCGACCTACTTGCCAAAAGTGTCAAAATAATTCCACGTCCACACAATTGCCCAAGGCCCGCTTTATCAAAGCAGAAATACCAAAACGTGATTGTGAGCCAAGTTTCTGTGTATGAGAGTGTTGCTATGTGTTATTTCTTGGAGAACCGGGTTGGTCCTGTTCAGAAGGAGTGGTGTTTCTCCCTTGTCTCTCCTAGTCAGGTTTCGGCTGCTGAAATACTCGGTGACACAACCGGTTCTCCCGGTTTGCTTTGGTCTTAAAGCCAGTGGACTGCCAGAACCATCCAGTCTTGCCTTTCAGTACTGCAGTGACACGCAGGGGAGGCGACATCTCTCCGCGGCTTTCCTTCAGTAGAGGCGTCCGTAGAAGCAGCATACGGTGAGTCTATCGAATGGGTCTTTTTGCTTGATGGGATCATTAGGCGGGACATTCGCTCTAATGAGTTCTTTCTCTAACTTTGTGACTTGGTGCAAGGATGTACACTAGATCTGAAAGTATCAAAGTGCAAAGTTCTAGGTCCGTATTTTGGACATATATTAACATTACATTGTCTCGTAATCGTCTTTTTGAATTTGATTAAAAAAAACAAAAAACATCAGCTGCTTTTCTGAGTGGGACAAACCATAGTCTGCCTCCATTTTACTCGCCCCCTGCTGTGAGTCAATGTGGTTGGTGTCAGTGTTGATGGTGCCACCATGTTTCAGTAGAAAATATGCACATTTACCAGTCTTTTATTAATCTCGCGTGACTTTCCTGCCTTTCCTGATTTCTGGTTTGGAAAAGTGTGGCCACTTTGCAGTTCTGGCTCTTTGCAATATTTCATTTTGTTTTGGAAGTCAAGAACATTTGTGGAGTAACATCCGCAATTCTGATCAGTGTCGTTCTAACAAACTCAGTACCCTAATGTGTATTTTGATTCCTCATCTGATATACAAAATGTGACAGTCTAGCACGTAGTAGAATTAAACATCCTTAATCCTTTTTTAGGATTTATTTCACAACTTTGTATTAACTAAATGTAATCATCTTAAACAACATCATTTATGTGACTGTGGATTACATGATTTCCATGTGGAGATGTTGGGGTGTGGTTGAATGGAAGCCTGTGTGTGGTGTGGCATGTCAGTCAGAATGCATCCCAACCAACCGGTTTACATGCATACATTCCCCATGACGGTTGGGATTCCTAAAATGTGAGGTGATCGGGTCTGTGGGCGTCGTTGTTGATACTTCAGCCAGGTTCAGAAAATAAAAGAGCTGCTCAAGACAGGTGAAGAGCCCTGGGTACGTGCAAGAATGTGTGGATAGAGGCATGAACTGACCAATAGGGAGGGCTACAGACAGCTGATTGAAATCATTTTCAAATATATAATGAAGATATTCTGCTATTTTCATAGTATGACATTTGTAGATAATGTTTGTATGTATGTATGTACATCTTCAAGGTCAAGCTTCATCGTCTACTGTTGAGGGTTCATCAGGGGTCCAATAGATTTTAGATAAACTTGTATTGCCATCATTTGTTAACATTGAATCCCTACATATTCATAATGGGCATCTTTGTTAATTGATTATATACTGGAAACCTAAACTGGTGGTTTATAAATAGTCTAAAAAAGGTGTTGTATGCTCTTTCTTTTCTTGTACAATGATAAAGACTTAGAGAATAAGTCTAAGCTTTGTGATGTGTGAGACAAATATATTATGTCAGATTCTGCATTGTTGCCTGAATCTTCATCTCACACAAGGTACATAATAGCTTTGTCACAAATTGAAGTTATCTTGACACGAAAATAAAGTAATTTTTTGTTGTTTTGCAGATAACTGCTGTGGATTGGAGTTTCTGTGTTTTTTTGTGTTTTGGTAAAAAAGTCAACGATACGTGGATGTAATACAATTAAGAAATTATGGTAAGTAAAAAAGTAAACAAGATTGTCGCTAAATAAATGTTGCTAAGTGTAAACATTGCAAGTCTCATCTTGTGTTCTGTGAACCACTTTAAAACATAGAGTGGAGACAGCAAGAGTAGACTTTTCTCAGAAAGTCTGGTCCTAGACGACTCCGAGGAAGGAGATGACAAAATGGCTGCAAGAAGTGGCCTACAAGCAGGTAAGACAAAATAAGTAAATATTGAAACTCATATTTTGTTCTTGCTGCAGTTTCATTAAATTGAACCAGTGTCTGTAGGTAAAGTATTTTTGGAAAAGATAAACATGCTTATTTTGGTAATTTGTTTTCAATCTGTTGCAGGGGATGAGATTGTTGCAGCCACGATACATCTAGACCACTTCAACCAAGGTGAAGTCTTGAAGATCCTTAAGGTCTTGGAGCCATATGATAAAAATATGGTGTTTCTGACAAAGAAGCAGCTGGGTGCCAGTGCTGACCTTGGCTCCTTTGGATTAGTACGCAATGACTCTGGAAAGGTAATATTTGCCTAAATTGGGTAAAACTACTTTGGGGGAAATGGAAATAAATAATAATAATAATAGTAACAGCAGATCTTTAACACAGTGCTAATGATAACGGTACAGTTTATGTTTGTTATAACCTATTAATGACACAAGTTAACCTAGTTTGTTTATCATTCCATTACCAACAGATGCTCAACTTTAAAAAGGATCTGTCACTGGATGCTTCCCTTGACGGCCTGAGTGGAAAGCTAAATGCTTCACAGGGCTTGGGGGGTGAAATAGGTGGTCCTACTCTCAATGGAGACCTTCCCAGTCTCAGTTTAAGTAAGCCCTCAGCTGATGCCAGTGCCAAATTCCCAATGCCCTCTCTTGGGCTGAATGGACCAGATATAAAAGGAGATCTAGATGGCACCCTTAAAGCACCTAATGTCAGTGTCTTTCCCAAGATCAACACCAAAAGTGCCTCACTCGACCTCGAGAAACCAAAAATCAAGACAGACAACCTGAAATACAAGGCCCCAAAATTCACAATGCCACACTTCAATCTCCCTCAACTCAAAACACCAAAAGCAGACATGCATGTTTCTGGTGATACAAGTCTCCCTTTCAGTGATTTCAGCCTCAACACACCAAAGATCAATGGGGATCTCAGTGCACCAGATGTTGACATCAACTTACCCAAAACTGACAACAAAAGCTTTGATCTAGATGTTCAAACCCCAAATCCTGACATTGATGCCTCATCTGGTAAATTCTGGACTAATTTTAGGAAAAAACCCAAACTTCATAGCCCTAAAGCTGGTCTGGACTTGGATGCAAACCTAAACACACCACATGTTGATCCCTCTCTTTCAAAAATGGAGGCCCCAGATTTTGACATAAATTTGCCGAAGGCTGAGCTAGACATGCAAACCCCAAACATTGATGTGGATGCTCCATCTGGTAAAACCAACTGGCTAAATTGGAAATGGAAGAACCCAAAACTTCAAGGCCCCAAAGCAGACCTAGACACAGACATAAGCGTATCCGATGTTTTAACTCCAACAATTGAGGGTGACATTAATGTACCAAATACTGAGCTGAATCTCCCAAAAGCTGACCTTAGCAGCCCCAATGTAGACTTTCAGGCACCAGACATTAATGCTCCATCAGGGAAAATAAACTGGCCTCATCTGAAGTGGAAAAAAAACAAACTTCATGGTCCCAAAGCTGATATGGACCTTAGTGCAGATCTGAGCACACCAGATGTAGATCTCACAGCTCCTAAAATTGACGGTGCGTTAAGCACACCTGATGTTGATCTGAATTTACCGAGAGCTGATGTTGATGTTAAAGCACCAGAGACTGGCAAACTCAGGTTCCCCACACTCAAAAAGGGCAAGTTCCTGCTTTCTGGGCCAAAGGTGAAAAGCTCATTGATTGACGTTGATGCTGAAGCCCCTGACCTCAATCTCTCTCCTAAAGCATCCCTTGATGGACCCGATGTTGATTTGAATCTACCCCAAGCTGATGTTAAAGCCCCAAATGTCGACATTGCGGGTCAATCTGAGAAGTTCAAATGGACTTTAAAAAAGCCAAAGGGTTCAGTCTCCAATTGGAGTCTCAAAGCTCCACAGATTAATGGTGAGATGAAAGCACCAGATCTACCCAGAGCTGACCTGAAAGGCCCAGAGTTGGGCATTGATACTCCCGATTGTGACAATTCTGGAAAATTGAAATGGTTCAACTTGAAGAAACCCAAATTTGGTACACCAAAGGGTCCAAAGGGTGACATTGATGTTGATGTGAAGGTACCACAAATGGACCTCAACGGGGTTGATGTGAACATGAGCGCCCCAAAAATCAAGACTCCAAAACTCAATATGGCAGATCCGCATTTGGGTATTAACGGTCCAGATACCAACTATGACATTAACCTTCCTAAAAGCAATGTGGTTGCACCTAATGTAGACCTTAAAGCAACAGATCTCACCTTGTCTGCACCGAAAATAGATTTTAATGCCCCAGATCTTGACATTAATGTCCCAAAGGCTGATCTGAAAGGTCCTCACATAGACCTTCAAACTCCAGGCATTGATACCCCAGCTGGAAAATTAAAGCTACCCAAAATAAATCTTCCAGGGTTTGGCCGGAAAGGGCTAGAGGTAAAAGGACCCAATCTTAATGTGGATGCTGAAAATGTCAATCTTCCTGATGTAAATCTTAAGTTGCCAAAAGCTGCTGTCAAAACGCCTTGCTTGAATCCAATTAAAGGAGATCTCTGCACTCCAGATCTAGATCTGGATGCTGCTCTTAACAAAAATGTGGATCTTTCTGGCCCCAAAACAACCATCAGTGTACCAAACATCAATGTTCCTACCCTGGATACTAAAGGTTCACATCTCAACCTTAATTTGCCTCAAGCTGATGTAACAGGGCCCAGTTTTGATCTAAAAGCACCAGATCTCAGCCTGTCTCCACAAAAATTCGCAGCACCAAAAATAGACACCAAAGGGCCAAAAACTGAGCTGGAAGCACCTGTCACACTGAAAGCTCCAAACATGGATATTAACCTGCCAACAGCAGACCTCAAAGGACCTGACACGCAGTTAAAAACACCAGATTTAAATTTTGATTCACATCTCGGTGATTTCAATTTTCCTCATTTCAAGCATCCAAAATTTGGTCTTGAAAATCCCAAAGTAGAAGTTCCTAGTGTTAGTACCGCAGTGGAGAATGGAATTGAGGCCCCAAAGGTCAACATGGTCACTCCTATCAACACACCGGAACTTGATATCACAGCTGAAGCAGATGCTGAAGTCAAAGGTACTCCGAAGAGTAGGATAAAATGGCCTTTCAAATGGGGATTAAAGTCTGGAACAGAAAGCAATGAAGAGGAAAGTGGTGATGAGTCTGAAACTGTTGTGTCTAATGCCGATTTGGAGGTTCCTGTATTCAAAATGCACAAACTGCCCAGGAACAATCTTGATGGCATTGGAGGAACTGAGGATATTTTAAGCGTATCGAAACTTGACTCAGAGGCAAAGGATTACATCGTCAGCAAAGGGATCCGCTTGCCAATAGTAAATCCTACAACAACAGCAGGAGAAAAAATTGACATTAGGCAGAGACTAAAAATGGCCACAGAAAAATCGGCGACAGCTAACATCTCAACAACTGAAGCAACAAGACACACTCTTAATGTCAATACATCTGCAAACACAGATTCTTTAGTGAGAGGAGGTACTTTCAAAGTAGACAAGCCGGAGTCCATAGTGGGTCTGGTAGCCCCTGAAATTTCTATCCCAGATGAACGTGACAAATTGTCTTTGAGCCTCTCCAATATGCTTGGCCTTAATGTTAAGGATTCAGACGCTGACTGATTTCTGTTTTACTTACCTAAAGTAAAGCTTCAGTCCAAAAATATTGTAAATACATGTAACTTAACCAATTATTTGTCTCAGTTTGTGACTGTGACAGATCATTTACACATGAGAGAGCAACAAAGAGAGGGCAGGAAGAGGTATTTCACACTGTTTCTACAAGTTAATAATACCGTACTCACTATTTTTTGTACACGTCAGCCCAAACTCCGATATTTTCCAGTAAGCTTGGCCTGTATTGTCCTGACCCACTGGTTGACCCCAGCATCACTGCCAGCTAATGTATCAATCTTGTCTAATAACTGATTAAACTTGTTTTACACTGTGTATATTCCTGTTATTTATGTGTTATTTTCCCAACATTTTTGATTTGGAAGTATGTTACTTATTACATAACTGCATTAGCATTACATGTGATCCCATTAAGGGGTTTAAGATTCTAAGATATGCATTACTTCAACATCTTTACTTGATAGAATAATTGTGTGAAAGCATTTGTGGATAAAACTTAAAATGATGCTGATAGAGATGCTTATGTTTCATAACTAATAAAAATCTTGAAAAAGATTTGTTGGTTTGTTGATTAATTAATTAATGCATGACAATGAGGAATATTACTAATAAAAAAAAAGGTTTCGTTAAAGAAATCCTCTGGAAAAAAATGAAATATATAGAACTTATTGAAAAAAGGAAGCTCAAATACCATCAAAATAAGTATCAATTCAAAAGTTAACTTTAGGGATGATGTTGCTTCTTAGTTTTACTTTGAAAATGACTGAAGCGTTTACGAATTTTGAAATTTATTTATTTCATAGTGACAAAACAAGTTTATTACAAAAAATTATTTAAAAAACAGAATAACATAACTTTTAAGTTGGCAATAGTTCAGTTTTTTTGGTTTGCAAATTTAACAAAGTAGAATTTCTTTTGATGTAGTAGATATTTATGACATCATTGTTGTAGTTGTGCGTAGAATCGTCCTCTGATGTTGATCACTTAGCTCCATTCAACTGCCAGTAACAAACGGGGATGTAATAACAGTAAAACAACGGTAAAAAGTATGCGATTAGAACTCAAAGGTGACATATTCTGCTATGTCGTAGGAGAGTAAGTGTTAATTCCAAATATAAAACAACATTCTTAATATAAAGAAATGCTCTGACCTCTACCTTGGTTCTCTTTCTAGAAATATGCAGCTATAAATCATATAGATTGAGTCTACTAGCTGACAGCTCTGTGAATACTTTGATCTAAATGCTAACATGCACATGATGAAGCTGAAAACATGTAGGCGTACTGTTGACTATGTTTATCATCTTATACTGGCATGTCAGAATTAGAATAATTAGCGAATTATCACTAAACACAAAGTACAGCTCAGACTGATGATGAAAAACTAATTTTATTTCAAACTGCAGATAGCGATCCAGAAAAAAAAGGAGAATCACCAATTCAATTATAATTCATCCCAAGGGGAATAGAATGCCATGTCCAAGTGTCTTGGTAACCCATCCAAAGGTTTGTTAGGACAAAGGACATTAGGCTCAAACCCAAAGACAACCCTCTTGTGGTTGTGCTAGTCAGTTCAGTTCTGTTTGTGGATCATTGTTTTGTCTTTTTCTTTTTTACTAAAGTCCCTAACAATGAACACTTATGAAGGAGAAGAAATCTCTTACAGTTTCCTGACCAAAGGAAAACATACATGAGTTAATGAGCATGTTGCCAGCGTGACGGCCAGTCCTTCTCCATCCAGCTCTGCAGCAGTCGCAGGACATCAATGCGCTGGTATATGCGGCAGAGTTCCGTGAGCTCATTAACCGTCTTCTGGTTGTAGCGAAGCAAGAACTCCTGGGTGGGGCTGTGGGACAGCGAGCCTTGGGCCCGGTGCTCCAGCAAGGTCAGTTCATCATAGCTCATCCCCCAGCGACTTGCAAAGTTCTTCCAGTTTTTGATTGTGCAGTGATTTGGATCCAGCTTGAGCCGCAATAAGTCCAGGAGATCCTTGTCGTTCATGAGGTCACTTATCTTGGGGGGGGGTGCTGGGCAGCTGCACCTTTCGCAGTGGTTGCTAAGTAACTGTAGTTCTTTAGGAGAGTCTATGCTCAGAGATCAACGAGAAAGATTAGGTTAGCGAAAGATAATGGGTGTATTGCAAATTACAGTATATTGCAGTAACACTACAACTGAAGTGTAGTTCCATTGTTCCATTCCATTTATTCATTCAGTCACTTAAACTATCCAACCGCTCAAGGCTATCCCAAAGTGTGTCCATTTTGGGTCTCCCTGTCATCTTGTGCACACATTCATAGATACAGTATGTATATAAAGGCTAGATGTCTCGTCCGCGTTGCCGGCCAACGAAGTTGAATGTTCGCACATGGCGGCCATCTTGGTACAGTCAGCTCGCTCACCCATAACATTCTGTTGGTAGTGATACATGTACTTTTTAAATAACCATAACTCAACCAATTTTTAAACGGTTTGTAATGAACGTCAGTTATGACACTGTGTACATTTTATGAATAATTATGTATAAAAGGATTCTCCTATACAAATATACATCAAGAAATGCCCACCCTGTACAGAGATGTATTGATGACACTACATACTATTATAATAATTATAACCATAGGTTTTCATATGAAAGTTACATTAAACAGAACATTATTCCTAAGTGTGTCATAACTACATCTCTGACGTTAATTTTATTTGGAAGTTATTGGAAGTACATGTACCACTAACAACTAACCGTACCAAGACGGCTGCCATGTGCGGACGTTCTATACTATAAAAAAGGATTTCTTTTATGGAATTTTAGAGTCTGCCTTTTAAAGAAAGACTTCATTGCACATGTCTGTGCCCAGCGGGGACGGACGTCTTCTACATGTCCATGGGTCGACACTGACCGCTACACTAGCGTAGTGAAACGGTGTGATGTTCTGTCTTTGCCTCTGTGTAAAGTAGTTTTTGACTTAATGTGTTCCACCTGCAAAATTAAAAATAAACAAAAACACTGCTGCTGTTATTTCACAGCGATGTTTTCAAAATGGCATTTCCTTGCATTGAAGATACCTCTGTAAATATTAATAACAATATTTGCAAATAAGAATCCACCAACATATAAAGACACTTTGAATGCATGAGGATTAAGCACTGAATTTACCTGGTGAAGTAGATGTTGGCCAGGTGCATTCTTCAACATCTTGAACTGGCTACAATGTAGAGAAACAGACATGATTAATACCACGTTTACTTCTTTTCATGTGCTTAATGAAAAATTACTATCACTGCGTCATCTGGTCTGGGGTTTGTCCTTGTTCCCATCTTTTCACTTTTTTGTTTTCAGATCATTATAGATGATATAAAAAAGACAGCGGCGGCCAAAATGACTAGCTCGGAGCTCCCAAATCGTAGTCCACAAGGTCATGACCTCTAGTTCCACTTGTAAAGTTGTGTTTTGCCCTCTACACACAACACATCAACAGCAGGTGTGCATGCCTCTTTGAAGAGATCCATTATTTTCCATAAAATGTCTCTTCTTCGGTCTTCCTCTTCTTCCTTTCTACTTTTCACACTTAAAACTGCACCTGCAATAACACTTACTGAATCTAACCATTAATGCTCCAGTAGGGGGAGAAAGAGGACTTTGAAATCAATCCACCAATAACAAAAAATCAATGTGCAAATGTTTTCTTTATAAATTCTTTAAAAACAAGTGTTGGATTTCAGAGGCCAGAATCCGAACCCAAAAAAAGCACGTGTTGCACACAGGTCAAGTCACTGCTTGCATTTGTCATACAAATTCAATGTTAAGTCAATTCTGACAGTGAAAGTAATAAATAAATACATTCTTTATTTATAAGTTAAATCTTTTTATGAAAATCTGTACTGTGGGCTTTCATTCTGATGAGAATGGGCCTTGTTATTTTACTTAATGTAGATATAATATATTGGGGGTATGTGCCACGTTTCACTACTTTTACCATCTATTCTGGTACCATTCCCTTACTATTTTGGCCTGACATATTCTAGAGCCAAATACGCTTTGGAATCCACAAAACTTCAGGAGAAGGCAGTTTTTATTCTTGTTGCACAAAACAAAAATCCAGACACTACTACATTGTGTTGGTGAGTGGGCGGTCTGGAATGGACCCATTTCCCTTCCAGTCCCACTGATAACATTTGTTTACAAGTTACTTTTTAAGAAAGGCGGTCCCTTTAAAAGCTCCACGGCGGAGAATGGCATTAACATTCGTTCTGCTTCCTGTCTTCCTGCTGTGTTATTAGCATCACTCACGGTTCAGCGGTTAAAAACCACATCCTGTGTGCTCACCCGCTGAATATGAGGAAGCACCCACAGAGTGCACTTCTGCCTCAGTACAAAAATGTATTGATGCTGGTTTCTGATTGGTTGATGGCAGTCATATACTTGGAGAACACACCAATATATTATTTAATACGCACACTGTTCAGTGTATTGTTAGACATCAAAGTATAGGGTGGCTGTTGGACCTTTCTTTCCTACAAGTGGAAACGTTTGTGGTTAAATACTCAACAGCTATAAACTACCGGACTTGAGAAAAAAAGATCATGATGCAAAAGTGAAAATGTAAAATCAAGCTTTTCTTGCCACTTCTAGACCACCATTTTGTTTTAAATCAACACCATTTTGTTTGACGTGTAGGTGGAACTTCTCTGTGAAAGATAAACTAAGGTGGTGTCAAAGCAAACAAACCTGTCTTATTCGGTCAGAGGAGGGGCTCAGGAATCCAGCGGACATGGAGCTCAGGTGAAGTGTCACAGCATCTGCTGGAGACAGATTACAGTGTATCCTGAAAACACTGCAGGGATATATAGATATTCACAGAAACAAAGGTTTTTACTTTCTTTACAATTTAGCTCAATTCATATTACCATACTTTTTGTTTTCTCAAATGTGTTTCTAAGCATAGTCTACATAAAGTGGATGAGTCATAACAGGGCTTTCACATAGGACACTACGGGTTGTGTCTAGACGAAACCATGATGTCTTTACTAAACATCACCAAATAGTTTTGTTCAAATCACAGCGTGTTTAACACTGCACCCATGACCTGGGAGAAAACGTGTTTCGCTACTAACACAACTCAGAATGCAGTTTAACTGTATATAACCGTTTTAGTTATGATAGGGGCAAAAGGAACCATTGCAATTTGAACCTTATTTACCATTCCGATCGGTCACCTGCACGGGATAATTGGCCTCCAGGGACTGTGGGAGAGACAAGAGAAGACAAGATTACATGAATAAAAGGTGGGGAGAGAAACTGCTCTGTTAACCCGTTTCTGTTCAGAAGAGTTAGACAACATTCAAGATGTAGTAGTGCCTGTGGAAGAGCAAGATAGAAAACAGCGTGCTGCGACCTGTTCTTCAGTGAGCCCTCAGGCTCGACCAATCACAGCACAGTTATTGTACATTTTTAGGGGATTATTGTAAGACTCCTTTCTGAGGAAGAACAATGCGAAATCTGTGCAAAGCAAACTGCATAGAAGACATGTCAAGACAATGAGTCAGGTAAACAACATGAGTGGAGGAAAGACAAATAAAGGAGCTTACAAATTCTGCCAGAAAGCTGGTGGTGTCCGTGTCCTCCACAGGTTCTGAGCTGCTTCTGTCTGTTACCAAGTAAAGGAAATGCTTCAATATTGTGTTTAATGTCACCTCTAAGCTTATCATATAGTTTCAGTCAACTTTGCAGTATTATATTTACCCAACAAAAGTAAACAAGCCTTAGTACATGAACGTTCCTTCAGAACAAGGAAATAACCACCATCACACCAACATGGAAAACTAAATGAAATGCCCTCCGGCATTTAACTCATAGATGACGAGTTGGGAGAGCAACACAAAGGCAGCTTTTTCTGCAGGACGGTGCTAAGTGGGCCTTGGTTTCAAGTGGTAATTATTTTAGATTCTGGCATTATAGTCCCGATGTCATGAGCAGTTGCATATTACAATGCTTCCTCTTCCTTTAGAATTGTCTTTCTGCACTGAATTTTCTGAATTGAAAGCCATCGTAGATTCCAATTCCAATAAAATCAAATCATGAGATACCAAAGAAAAATCTTCAGGTGGAATATGACTAAAAAAGAAAGTTTATTGAGGGGGAACCTGCTCGTTCTGCTTGAAGGGATTCATAAAGACAGATTCCTTGCTTTATAGTTAGATATGGTGAAAATGTTAAATTAAAAATACAAGTAGTCTGAATAAGTATTCATCTGATTTTCCGTCTGAAAGAAAAACCTTCAGTACATTTTCATTTAGGTCATATTACAGTTTAAAAGATGTTTTGGATCCACTTCCAAAAAACAATATTAAGCATTTGCATAAGCGTAGCCAACCAATGAGTACAACCATAAACGCGTAGACCCCAGGGTGAATAAGGAAGCACACCTGCTGATAGGCTATCCTTTGCCACTTACTTTCTTGCCCACCGACGGCCTATAGCAGCTCAAGTGGTCCTGCATACTGGGCATTTAAACAGCCGTGGGCTGTTTAAATGCCCATCGTAGAGTCCGAAATGTGTGGGGTGCCTCCATTCATTGGGATGCATCCTTTCAGGACTCATTCATCGACCGCATACTCTCCAGGCGCCGATTGAAGGACACATCTTATCTATCCTATGCAGTCGAGGACATCCCATCATGCAGTGCGGGCCAATGAGAATTTAATTTATTCAGGACGGAGGCAGGGGAGCCTTGCAGTGGGGGAAGCGGGAGCTCACTTTTAAATGTAAATACTAGAATTCACATTAAAATATCTACCGATAGAAATGTTACAATATTGTCAGGTTGAGGTGGCAAAAGTAGTTCTTTGTAACAAAAGTACACCACTTTATGCAAAGATTAACGGACTCGACAACAAAGCCACAAAAAGAGAAGGGACACACATGGTATAAATACACTGGGAAGGTGCAGGTGATTGGACACAGGAGGAAACAATCAGGGACATGGGAGACAACCGCAGGGGAAAACACACCAGGCACATTAATGTACCAACACACATTTCTAACAAATACACAACGAGCTGCTCACGTTGCCGGGAGCCACTGCGTCCCGTTCCATAGTTATTAGTGAAAGGTCACTTTGGTGCCTTCACTTTCATACTTTAGAGGCTGACTAACATCTTACTCAGCCTGTGACGACTTCATGTTATGAACAGAAATGAATCGAAGTGAGCTCCAGTCGGCAGGTTATGAACCTGAAATATCACTTTCTAAGTCCATTGACGTGAAATACACAAAGAAACTGAATTTGGTGGCTTTGCTCCTTTTGTTTTGTGTGATGATAAACTAACTTTACACATTGTTTTGTGGTGAGATTATAAGAAAACAGTACATTTTGTTTTGTTTTAGGGAACCAGGAGGAATGATTTTAATTTCATTTAAAATTACTTGGAAATGTTCTTTGTTCTCTCAGCCTGAAATACATCATGCTCTGGAGGCGAGGCATGTCTTCCTGAATTAAATGAAATAAGATTATCTTCTTCACTGCATTTCATCTGTTTTTGTGATTTTAAGGCTTTTACTGCCAAGCGCAGCCGGTTGCTGGGCAACGGGAGCAGCGGAGGAAAAGCTGGTGACGCAAGCAGGAAGTGTCCCCGTAGGCCAGACCGCCCCGTGTCAAAGGCCGCTCGGTTCAGCCTACGACCAGCCCAGGTCTACCACGGTCCCACAAGGACGCAGCCCAACGAGATGAGACATTATGGGGAAGTGGTCTCTCAAAGCGTAGAAGCTTAAACAACAGAAATATAAATACTTTGAAAAGCTGAGTTCTAAATATAGTTTAAAAAAAATAGTTGTAACTAAAAGCCTCCCACATACATGAGCACTCGTCATGACACAGACGTTTCTATGTAGGCCCGTGTGCTCCATTACTATTCCTTAAAATACACACACACACACACACACACGTTTTTTTTTCCAGTGTGTGGTGCGGCATTTCCTGCTGCCAGTAAGCGTCAGAGGTGCTCTTCCGCTGTCTTATCTTGTACTATCAGTGGATTTTTTCTAATGGAATTAAACATTTCTACAGGGAAGTGACAGCCGTCTAGGCCACTGAACGGTACATTAAAAGGTAAATCCCCTTCACCAGTTTTTAGACCAGCCTACACAAGTGCACTTTGCCCCAATTTGACTTTCAGTCTGTTTATTTCTATGGTCTATATTAGTCTCCATTAGTTATGGGAATATACACGTGTTTCACCAATCATTTGTGGCTGATTTACATGTTGAACTAACTACACACGTATGTGTTTTTTAATTGGCAGAAATATGTGTCCCCAGACACTAATTGATGCGATTTGATTATATTTTTAATTGGAATGGTTCAACCTGAATATTGCTGTGTATCAATTTATTAGGCACTATTCAGGGATCAAAGTTAAAATGCCAACATAACAGAAACCAGCAGCATTTGTGTGTGATTGGTCTTTTAGTTATCAACTACCTAGAATCACATAATTTTATATATGATTTATTCATTTTTAGACTGAATCCTAATTCATTCATTATTTTCATTGATTTTGGGTGGTCTGTATTTAATCCTCACTGTGAATTCTCTCTCCACCTCCACATTAAGTTCTCATTTGAACATGGGATCAACGTAGACCGTGGGAGTTGGAGGATTTTAAACAAAGTGTCCATCAAATTCAATTAATTAAAAAATATTAAAATAAAATATATTTTCATAAATATGCTCTGCTTACTGCGCACTGTTGTCAAAAATAAATTGGCTGTTGTGAGCTCACCAATGTGGTTAAGAGAGTGCTTTGAAAAGGAAGCGGAGAAGTGAGTGGTGCAGTTTGAGTGGACCAGGGGCAAGTCTGAGCCATATTGAGTAGAATGGCCTGGAGCGGTTTTAAAGGGAGGGAACGCAGCAAACAGACAGCTTTGTGAGCCAGAACCAAAGCGTATTCTATTTCACACTACTGAGACACAAATCCAGTTGATGAAAAAAAGAATAAAGTGCAGATCCACACACTACCGGTTTGTGGAGTGTACATTTTAATGGAACGAGAAAATAACTAGGATTTTCTTTTTTGTCCCCAAAAAGGAGGTATAGCTTCAAACCAGAGATCTTCACTTGGCAACAGTGGCAGCTCAAATTTGTCCAGCGTGAATACGCATTGACTGAGGTTAAGGATTGGAAGTCCAACATATGGGGAAGCAACTCTTTCTGCTTCACTTCAAAGATTATCATAAAAAAAGACAATTTACCGGAATGCCTCAAGCTATAACCTGTTTCCACTAATCTTAAATGTTTATACATTACCATTAAGAGTCATCATCAGTAAGTTCTGTATCAGTTTTCATAGGTATGCAGATTAAACCAAATAATATTGCTAATTTCTCTGGCTCAACCATCTCTAGATCTCTAGAAAGGAATATTGATATTGGACAATTTTTCCCTCTTTCCCTTTTATCTGCCCATTGCAAATACAGTATGGCAAAGGTTGGAGAAAGACTCTACAGCTACAAGGTGGATGTTAACAGCACGTGTTGACTGAATGATGCTTCTTGGTTAGCAGATCGGGTGTAACATATGGAACGTGAATTTGTCCAATGTGGAATTATAGCCCACAGTGACACTGGCCTGGACAATCTGAGCCCCTTTAATAAACTAACATGTAATCTCTGACTTGATTCAACTCATCACACACACACACACACACACACACACACACACACACACACACACACACACACCTTGGACTTTTCACCCGTTACAAACTGGAATTCAAACAGACGTTAACCCTGAGATGAGGGAAACTCTGGCTTGTGTAAAGCTCAGGCTCAGTCACCATGGTAACTGAGCCTGTGAACCTCACCTGGTCAGGTGGTCTGGAGCAGGTTTTTTTCAATAAACCTTCGAGTTTCTTTCACAGTCTCCTCCCTCTGACAGCAGCCCAGCCAATCACACAGCGCGCTTTCATTGAATCATTCATTCAAGTACTATAAGTGTATCAGGTGGATTTATCGCAGTTTCCACATATAAACAAAATAAGATGTTACGTTAAAGACTAAAGTGTTCTCCCGAACATGTCACGTCCTTTTCTGGACGATCCTGTTGATGAAGAAGCGCTTTTACTTCGCAGGTTGTTAAACACGTCGCGAGAGAATATTGAGGCCCCGATTAGATATATTGTCATTTCCAGAACAACGTCGTAAAACGTATGGATTATGATTAGTGTGTACATTAATATTAACGAACAACACTATATTGGAACTTACAGTAATTTTCTTCCACGCAGTTTCTCTCTCCTTTGCTGCATTAGCGGTGTTGCTTTTTCTTTCTAATTATGGTTCATACTCGTCGTTCGTTGCATTAATATTTCCAGCTCTATGAGCACGCGCTCAACTCTGAGTCAACCTAGTCAGGGTTGTTTGAACCAACCCAAAACTCAGTTTCTCATCTCAGGGTAAATCAACTCAGAGTTTAGGGTTTGTGAAACCTCCTACTTGAAACGGACCCCTGTAATGTAATGTAAAAGGCAGTATGGATCCATGCTTTCATCTGATTTAGGTCTAATTCTGACCATCTGAATGTTCAGCTGAAATCAAGACTTGAGTGGCTGGTGAGTGTATATACATGAAAATATAAACTGCCGCTGAAAAATACATAGGACAGCATATATTGAAAACATACTGTTAATATGTGAAGAATGAAAATAAATATATTTTTTTTAAATATTCAAAATGATATTTGATCCAAACGTGCTTACCATTCACTTATTTATTTTGAATACATTGTAGGGGCTTTCAATGTTAAAGACCAAAACTTTCAGGTTCAATTTTCTTTTTAAATGAACAACACTTTTGGCCTTGATTAGGCTCCATACATTCTCATTAAGTCAATGAATTGTTTGGTTTCTTATCAAATCTTTGTCTGAATTAGTATAAAACCAGCAGACTCCCCCTAACATCTATTCCGTAAAGAAAAAGAAAAAACAACTGTCCAAGTTATAAATAGTATCACTGCTTAATAATATTGAAATGTAAAGGTAAGTAATTGCTCACTGTAATGGGTTTCTTATCCCAAGCAGGGTTTCAGTTAAGTTGCTGTTGCCTTGAAGGTACAAAATGAACTTAATAATGAAATAAATAAAGATGTCATATGAATGAAGCAGTGAAAGAGGGAGTTGATTTCTAGTTAGAATGTTAAAAAAAAAAAGTAAAACTTCCCGTTTACAACTAAACATTGTCCCCTGGGTGGTATCCTTCTTAAAATAGTGTACGTTAAGTTTTAGGACTTACAGCATCAAGCGTAAGTCAAACCCCAGATGAGTTGAGCATTGTTTCTCCCTCTCTGGGAATGCAGGGGCATGTAACGGCACGCTCTGGGTAAAGTTCAAGAGATGAAACATAAACCACATCATAATGTATCGCTAAGGGCCATAATTCCACACAGGTGAATCCAGCTTTTCTCCGTTTTGACCACCCATGTTTCCATTCTGTGTCACAGATCGTGAGCCTGTTTCCACATTTGAATGGAGGTGAATGGCATGCCAATACCTGTGGCACAGTGAAGTCTACACACACCTTGAACAAACTCTCTGCTACATGTAGAACATAGCTTATTGTGTCTCTCTTTTTGTGCGCATGTGGGAAAACGTTAGCCTAGTTCTGTGAAAACTTTGTATATAGTTTGTCTAATCGAAGAAAGTGTGAATATGACACGTTTTGATGTGACAGTAAAGAGTTGTCAAGTTTAGAAGCATCACATGACCTGGTAAGGGGAGGTCAAACAGCCTAAAGATATTTACTTCCTTGTTATCAGAATTAGAGTCAAAATCAGAAGCCATCTATTGGCACATATGTTACACGTAGAGGGATTTGACTTGGTTAATTGTTGCAATATGGAATAAAAATTTTAAAAAAGAAAGAAAAAAAGAAATTATACATTATTTGGTTTTATTCTATGTCTGCCAGAATCACATCATTCTCACACAAGAATTGCTATTGCAAAATTTCTACCGGATATATTTCTACCGTCTCACCCTATGCAACCTTATCTCTGATAAGATCAGAGATCTTTCGAAAAAAAAAAAAAAGTTAATAGAAAGGTCTTAGGTTTCACATATCTCTATTGATGCCAGTCAATAAAAGTCACATCAGTTATGTCCTACATCTGCAGGCATGAAGCTATTTAAATGAGGCCCAACTGTTTACAGCCAAAGGTCAAGAATAAAGGTTGAAAGTTAGCTGTGGTATGAAAGGTTGTGAACTAGTCCAGTGCTTCAAACTTATGTTGGTTGTATCACGGCCGACTTCAGCATTCATTAGATCAGAAACTTATTCGTTATCCAAACACACTATGGGAAAGTGGTGTAGTTTACTAGAGTATACAGCCTGTCGCGATATGCAATATACTGACTTATCACACAATATTGGAAAATAAGTGCGATAATATTTGGTGGTATTCATTTCACATATAAAGAACGTCACCAACATTTTAGTCGATGCACTTCACTCTTGTCTGCGTTCATTGTTTCAGGCAGCGCCTCCACACACAGGGGGAAGGGAATGCGTCAAACCACGGGGGTATTTTTAGCGTACAATGACGTAAACGAGCCGGTGTGTCAACTTTGTTTAAAAACAGTGGCAACAAAAACACAACTAAGTTAAAACAACAACAATCCGCAGTCTTTAATACTTCTGATGTCTAATTATTCTGACGTATAAAATGTTCTTTGTTCTTTGAAATAGTGTACTTCTATTACTATTCTATTATATTGTCATTATGTCATCAGTGGCATAGAATGGTCTGAAAATTGCAATAATTTCGCATATCGTAATAAATGTTGGTGCAATAATCGCACAAAAAAAATAATATATATATACACACAAGTCAATTTTGTCATTGTGAAAACATTCTTGGTTGTGAATTCAGGTGGTTAACCAGGACACACATAGTTTCACTCAAATGAATGGCAGACATAACAAAATAAGCATGAATATATACATATTATTGAGCTAATAAATTAAAATAAATCAAATGGTTAAATGTTTTCTTTTTTTGCAACAAAGCCATTACAACATGCAGCATGTCAAGATATATTGCATTAGGTCTCAATCTCAGCCTATAGTTCCAAACGTTAACTAAAAAAATGTAGCTACCGAATATATTGAGCGAATCTGTAAGACACTGGAATGTCTGACTTACCAAATGATTCCTTAAATAGCCTCAAACTGCTCATTTTTGAGTCGATGACGTCTGCCATGGAGGAAAATGTTTCAAGGTAATATATGAAATGTCTCTATATCGATGTCCGGCTCAAAGCAAACAGTAATCCTCTCCGCGGAGCCACAAGACGCGCCGATAGCAGCCCAGCGGCGGCAACTCACACTAATGAAACACCTGGTGATGCGAAGGTAGCATCCTACCAGCAACCATGCTGCCTTCATGGTCCCCTCGGAAATGGAACAATATTCACTTCGGAAATGTTTAATGACCGAATATGTGTCTATGTAAAAGCGGCGAAAAGTATCAGCTGGTTTATGCAGTTTAAACCATTCAACAGGACTGACAATAGGAGGTGCGCAGGTTTCTTTAATGCCACATTGATTCATAGTCTAAAGTTTATGTCCGCGGACTTGCCATGAACTGCGGGAATTTGGTGTTAAAGAGTAGTACGTCGGTCATTCCTAACGCCTCATCCAGCGCCACCAGCTGGTCAGCGCAAGTCAGAACAGCTTCCGTGTCTGAACAACGTCATATTAGAATATGTGAGGTGTGTGTCTACTGATTAGAGGGATAAGACACTTTTACTCTGCCCAAGGACAATACAGGACATCAAGTCATAATGAAGCATTAACTTGTTATGGTTTCCCTTATAAACTTAAATGTTTCATATAGCAACATAAAGGCAATTCAATTGTTGGATGTTGTTATAACGCTTCCTGTCTTGTGTATATTAAAGTCCATTTTCATATGCATATCATTGCTGGTTCTGTTATAATACAATTTTACAGAACATCGTTACTGCAGCATTAGTCACGTGTCCCCACACAAGTTGGATAAACCGAATGAAGTATCCTGCTGAAAAAAGGTCAACTTAAACTGGTGTTGTAGTGGAAACCCGGTGAATCCGGCATACCGTGAACGCATCAAAAGAAACATATTCCGTCTCCGTCATCACGCACAGCAACGTAATCCGTTTGTCCAATCAGGTGAAGAGCCTGAAGCTCAGGGAAGAAGCTGATGATATGGCAGCTTTCAGAGCGACCAGGTGGAACTTGCTTTGTTACCGCGGCTAACCCCTCGATTATGAAAGCGTGTTGTCCTCGGGACGGCGGCCGCTCGACATGATTTACGTTATATTGATTTCCGCGGTCTCCGGTGCGGTCGTTGCGCTGATATTACAGTTTCTGTTGATATACAGGAGAAGCCCCGAGCCCATAGGCAGGACAGTGCAGTATGTCAAAGTAGAGCCCGAGAACGCATTGAAGGATTACTTCAACACCCAACATGCCGAAGCAGGCCAGCCGCAGCAGGACGGCACGGCACCGAACGTTAGCGCCCACAAACAGCAAGAGGCCGCCGCGGCGGCGGCTGTCACCGGCGGAAGCCCCAAACAACAACAACAGCCGCCGCCGCCGCCTCCCGGCGGCGAACCCGCGACGCGGCGGACCCGAACGTGCATTTCCTAAGCGCCATATTCCTGTCCTGTCCGAGAGCTCCGGGACACCCCCGCCGTCAGACACTGGTCACAAAAAGATCAGGTGGAGTTCGAGGAGCTGCTGCAGACCAAGACGGCGGGTCGCTCCTGGAGGGTCTCAGTCTCAGAGACATCTCGCTGGGCAAGTCGCTGCCGGTGTTTAAAGCGCCAGACTGTTGAAGCCGGTGCAGCTGAACGAGGACGACATGCCCGAAGAAATCAACTTCGAGGTGGACATTGAGTACAACGGGGGCTTTCACCTCGCCATCGACGTCGAGCTCGTCTTCGGGAAGTCCGCCTACCTGTTCGTCAAGATGAGGCGCGTGGTGGGTCGACTTCGGCTGCAGTTCACGCGCATGCCCTTCTCCCATTGGTCCTTCTCCTTCCTCGAGGACCCGCTAGTGGACTTTGAGGTGAAATCCCAGTTCGAGGGAAGGCCGCTGCCTCAGCTGACCTCCATCATAGTGAACCAGCTGAAACGGGTGATCAAGAAGAAACACACCTTACCCAACTACAAGATCAGGTGAGCTCCAGCCAGCTGTTTATCAGATCCAACCACAGCCACGAGGGCCAAGATAGTGCCCAGCAAAGTATGCAGCACAGAGGCCTCCTCAACCAGACCACCTCATTCGGGATAGTAGTCATTCAATTGTGCATACTTGTATTCTTTGCATTTAAAGGTGATGTGTTGGCTTATAACGGAAAACAATGACCTGTTTCTGGGAGAGAAGATCCAACGTGTCCAAACAACTAGTAAACATAGTAGACCTGTCTTATTCTATTATGTGGGTTGGGGTTATTACCCAACATGATCTCCAAAACCTGTTCATAAAAATGTACACGAAATATTTGACATAGAAACTTGTAACAATACATACTAACTGGCGGTGGTTAACCACGCCCCTTGAGTGAACGGCTCACCGCCATGTTGGATTCTTGAGTGAACGTCTCTCTGCCATGTTGGATTCTTGAGTGAACGTCTCTCCGCCATGTTGGATTCTTGAGTGAACGTCTCTCTGCCATGTTGGATTCTTGAGTGAACGTCTCTCCGCCATGTTGGATTTTTTGAGGGGGTTAGGGTTAGTATTCTTACAATTTAACATTGATTTCTCGTTAAAAATGCAATCATAACACGTTTATTTTACATCGTTAGACTTCACGAAGTGTGTTTACGGGGTGCAGGTCCCCATTCACTTTGAATAGGGTGACATCATCAGTTGCCAGTCCGTATTTATTTCGTATGTATCACTACGAATTTGTATCTTCAAGATTTTTGTATACATTTTTACCAACAGGTTTTGGAGATCAGGCTGTATTACCATGGACTAGATGAGCTTTTCTGGTGTGTAACTACTTTTCCTAAGACCGTATCATAATATCATATTGATCTTAGTAGCATATCCCCATCCAATAACACAAGGAGAGGTAAAGCGCATTGGTCTGACACAAACTAGTCTTAGTGCTTAGTAGGCCTATTTTGGTAAATAAACTTGAGAAACTTCTGACTTGACTGTTAGTTCATCCAGAGAGATGAAGGATTGTCATCAATGGGCGATGCCGAACAGTAAAACTAATGGAAAAGTAAATTACTGCCTAACTTCGTTGGGGGGAGTAGAAATGAAGGCTTTCTGACTTTATTCTGTGTTTTCTGACCTGTCACTAGAGCTGCTGCTCTGTAAACTTCCTCCAGTAGTGAATGGCTCCTTTATTTCCATTTTAAGTTCTCTTGTGGAACAACAGTCAACATTGTGTAAATAAGGAGTTTCTTTCTCGTACAGGGACTTTTTAGTAATGTTTGGATGGCGACTTATCACACGTCTGTCATTTTTAGCTGTGGCTGTATCCTGAGAAGGACCATGGTAGTGGAATCAACATGACCTCTAAGTCTGAGCTTTGTTAACCAATCTCAATACAAGGTCCACAATATTCTGGAGCTTTTGAGTGTATTATAATCTTCCTCAGTCCACAAGTTCATCCAGATGTCATGGAAATTGTAGATCAAATTTACAATTGTTTGCTGGGAATATTTTGTGTATAAAAACAAATTAAAGTCACAGTCAAATGGATGCCCCGTTTTTCATTTAGGACTTCCCCACCATTCCTCTCCTGTCTTTTTCTGCGAATGTAGATACTGAAAACTATGCAGTTTAAAGCTACTGAAAGAAAGAATCTACTTAATTGACCCCGCGTCAAGTATTTTTTTTGTTGTTTTATATTTTTCGTGGAAAGAGTCCACAGAATGGCTTTGAGTTCTTTTTTTAAAAAGGAGAAACGGAAGATGCACAGAAAGGGAAAGTAGAGCATTTTCGTGCGAGAGAAAGGAAACTCTCTAAAGCAGAGGTTTTCAACAGGGGGTCTGTGACCCCCTGGGGGTCCGCTGAGGTACTGCAGGGGGGGGGGGGGGGTCGCGAAAGTTTTGGTTGATAAGACAATTTTCTTTCCACAAATTTAAATGTCTTCAGAATCGGAATTGTATTTATTGTCTTCTTTATTGTTACACATTAACATAAATCCAACATAGTGTAGCGAACGGATAAATTAATGGAGAAGACATTATCTTTCTGTCCGCAAAACACACATCCAGCTTCCTTCAGCAGCTCTCAAGCTGGGCACCGGTTCACTCACAGCACCTTTTATGCTGATACCAGGGTTCCTGCGGGTCCTTAAAAAGTCTTAAAATGTCTTAAATTAAAATTCGGGTAATTAAGGTATTAAATTGTCTTTAAATTTCACGTGAAGATGCTGTAGGTATTAATTTTTTTGCCGGTGCACTTAATGCCAAGCATGAAAGCACAGTGGCGTAAAACATCCAATAGTTGATTAATTTAATTTAATTTAGTATTGTGCGAAATGAGAAATGTCTGCGCAATTGAATAGCTGTTTACGGTACGTCGACTAGAGGAACTAGCCAATCAGATCACGTTCATGCTCACGTAAAAGCGCAAAGCTCAAAAATAAAAGATGGCGGACGAAACTCTGTAGAATAGGGGGTCCCTGCTCCATCTCGCCGTCAGTTTGGGGGTCCTTGGCCTGAAAAACGTTGAAGACCCCTGCTCTGAAGCTCTGCGTTTGCTCAGTGTTTGCTCTCTGAATCCTTAACTCATTGATCACACTCCTGGTTTTGCGTCTAGGAATAGTACTTGTTCAACAAGTAGTTTTGTGAAATGTCAAGTCTCCCTGTTCCTGATCAGTCTGCCTCAATCTGTGGTCACAGATGATTGATGAGTGCAGTCTCACACACACACACACACACACACAACTTGTTTATATTCAGACATTGGAGTACCTACTTTTCCTCTCCTACTGCCGCCTCCACCCACCCCCACCTTACTGCTTCTTCCTTCATACCCCCTGCCTCCTTTATGCCTCCTTTATGCCCCCTGCCTCCTTTATGCCCCCTGCCTCCTTTATGCCCCCTGCCTCCTTTATGCCCCCTGCCTCCTTTATGCCTCCTTCATGCCCCCTGCCTCCTTTCTGCCTCCTTCATGCACCCTGCCTCCTTTATGCCTCCTTTATGCCCCCTGCCTCCTTTATGCCTCCTTCATGCCCCCTGCCTCCTTTATGCCTCCTTCATGCCCCCTGCCTCCTTTATGCCTCCTTCATGCCCCCTGCCTCCTTTATGCCTCCTTCATGCCCCCTGCCTCCTTTATGCCTCCTTTATGCCTCCTTCATGCCCCCTGCCTCCTTTATGCCTCCTTCATGCCCCCTGCCTCCTTACTGCTTCCTCCTTCATGCACCCTGCCTCCTTTATGCCTCCTTTATGCCCCCTGCCTCCTTTATGCCTCCTTCATGCCCCCTGCCTCCTTTATGCCTCCTTCATGCCCCCTGCCTCCTTTATGCCTCCTTCATGCCCCCTGCCTCCTTTATGCCTCCTTCATGCCCCCTGCCTCCTTTATGCCTCCTTCATGCCCCCTGCCTCCTTTATGCCTCCTTCATGCCCCCTGCCTCCTTTATGCCTCCTTCATGCCCCCTGCCTCCTTTATGCCTCCTTTATGCCTCCTTTATGCCCCCTGCCTCCTTTATGCCTCCTTTATGCCCCCTGCCTCCTTTATGCCTCTTTTATGCCCCCTGCCTCCTTTATGCCTCCTTCATGCCCCCTGCCTCCTTTATGCCTCCTTCATGCCCCCTGCCTCCTTACTGCTTCCTCCTTCATGCACCCTGCCTCCTTTATGCCTCCTTCATGCCCCCTGCCTCCTTTATGCCTCCTTCATGCCCCCTGCCTCCTTTATGCCTCCTTCATGCCCCCTGCCTCCTTTATGCCTCCTTCATGCACCCTGCCTCCTTTATGCCTCCTTCATGCACCCTGCCTCCTTTATGCCTCCTTCATGCACCCTGCCTCCTTTATGCCTCCTTCATGCACCCTGCCTCCTTTATGGCCCCTGCCTCCTTATGCCTCCTTTATGCCCCCTGCCTCCTTTATGCCTCCTTTATGCCCCCTGCCTCCTTC